AAGAAACCTAGTCAAGTGTGTATTTGTATGTGTATATATATATGCATTGGTCAGTCAGGAATCGAATAGATTGCAATTATATGTTTATAGTGAGGAAAGAGAAACAGACTCATCTCTCTAGATCGATCCATCTTGACTATTGTCTGTCTAGAGCGTGTCTGACCGAAGTATGACCACTATACTATTGTTGTCTATTTCAGAAATGGCACTAAGCCTACTTCTTCAATTGTTCATATTCTCTTCAATCCCATGTAAGTCTTTCTAAATGAATCTATTTTATATTATTAGAAATGTCATCATCATCATCATTTGCTTTTTTTCTTTTTTCCTATCTTAGATTTATCCTGCAGTCAAGGTCAATTCTACGAGGTAAAACCTCACGATATAGCCGCACTAATTGGCTCAAATATAACAATTCCATGTGTGATTGCACCGCCTCATGGTGATGTTCAATGGACAAAAGATGGACTTGCTTTGGGTGAGTTTCTATTCAAATGCATCTTTATATGCGAATGCACACACTATGCATAATTGTCTAATTGACATCATCTTCATCCTCACCATCACTATGTATATGTGTTTGTGTGTGTGTGAGACAAGTGAAGTGTATACATATGATAAACATCCATTACCGGCCATTTTTCTTCTCCCATTGGCAAGTATTTGAATGATTCGTTCTCTCTCTCTCTTCGTCTTATTTGATAATGATAAGTAACACTAACCCTTCAATTTGAACAAATAATCCACCCCCTCTATACCGATTAAAGAGGAATAAGAGAAAAGCTAAATATCTCCAAAAAACAATGGAACTACTTCGCTATTTAACAATGAATACATATTAGTGAGAATGTAGGTGGAGTCGATCAACGAACATGAGGAGCAATTAACTCTCGTTATCATAGCAGGAATGAAAGCAATTGATTGACACACATATTTTATCGGCCGACAAGAATTACTTAGAATAATACTACTATCGCCACCACGTGTGTAACTATCTTTGTCTACTAATGAGCATTAGGGAGACATGAAAGACGATTGACCTTTTGTGTTTTTGTTTCCTCTAGGTTATGATCGACAACTTCCGGCTTTTCCCAGTTGGTCCATAACTGGCAATGAAAATCGAGGCGAATTTAATTTCTTCATCGAATCATTGAAATTGGAAGATGAAGGCGTCTTTGCTTGCGAAGTTTCACCTTATAATGATATGCCGGCATTGAAACAAGTTGCTCATGTTCGAGCTCTTGTTCGACCAGAACGTGTACAAATCAATGAACGACCACCGTCGAACAAGACGACTGTTGTAACAATGAGATATGATGAATCAATACATCAAGTTAATTGTCGAGTCGATGGGGCGAGACCAGCTGCACAAATTAAGTGGTTCAATGAAGGCGGACAGGAATTTAACGCAACAACACGTACATTTACTCAAGGTAATCATCACGATAATTAACTAGAACATGGTTTCTTCTCTCATAGACAAATATCTTATAACACATCTCCTTCGAGCACAATTAGTAGTGAAAGTACATTCTAAAACATCTAGATGCAAAAAAAAGGATCGTCTTTTGATTAGTTGTAGTCGATATACCGACGAAACATTCTATTCAATAAGCTCATTAACAACTAGAATTTCTTTTGTGAGTCTGACCTTTTCTTCAAAGGGCTAAGTTTTCTTTATATTATTCTTCATTAGATGGTTGATCGTGTCAATAGAAATGATCTTGTATCATTTGATATTATCTGTTTTTAGGTCGTCTTTTTTCTACTGTCAGTACTCTGTCTTTGACGCCATCATTAGCTTTACACAAAACTCGCTACACATGCGAGGTTCGCCATGAAACCCTAACCAATGATGCAAATAAACTTCAAACATCATTCAATGTGGAAATCACGTCACCACCAAGTCTCCCAGTTATTCGTGGTTATCCATCAACATTTCGATTAATCAATGGGTCACGTTTAACTTTATCATGTCAAACTCGTGGCGGACATCCGTTAGGTCGACTCTCATGGCATCGGATCGAAAGTGGCAACGATACGTCGATTTTAATCGATAATTCCTTTGTTGTACTTCCACAACAAAATGTTACGGAAAATAATATTACAATGTTAGTCACGCCTATCGACAATGGTGCAACGCTATCATGTCATGTTGTCAATGCTTACCTGTATTCGTTAGGACAACGATTGCAAACGAATATTACTTTACAAGTTGCATGTAAGTGCTTTGTTGAAATTGAATTCAGAGGAAAAAGGTTGAATATCAATTTCTCTAGTTGGGCCATCGTCCGTACAAATACGTGGAAATACGCCAAATACAAGTTTGAGTGTAACGACATTGGTAGATGGAACGACGCGACAATTCATCTGTCGAACAAGTTCATCTAATCCTCCACCTATCGTTGTTTGGAAATTGGATGGACAGATCGTTACGGGTGACGTAGATCCTTTAGAAGAACGTGGAGATTACGGTGGAATGACGATTCAATTAGTAAAAACAATTGGTTTGGACAAACCTTTACGAGATTATCATACAAAAATACTTTCTTGTGAAGCGAGAAATTCAGAAACAGGTCACCAAGTCATCGATTCAACACGATTGAACATCATTTGTAAGTATCTTTCAGCTATCCTTTCTTATAGTCTTGACTTGTTCTATTGTAGATGATGCCACTAGTATTGAAATGCATGGTGTAACGAAAGACAAAGTTATAAAAGCGGGTGATAAAGTTGCTGCTGAATGTATACTTACAGGCGGAAATCCACTAGGAAGAATCACTTGGTTAAAGGGTTCGTAAGATAACGAATGTAGATTTGAAAAGAAATTGTCGTTGTCATTGCATAGGCGATGAAATACTTCGCTCGGAATATGTCAGTGAAACAAGTGGAAAATATGTGTTGAGCCGTGTGGAATTTCTTGCTGCACCGTCTGATAATAATCTTTCATTGGTATGCAAAGGACAAGTGGAGAATTTTCCCGAACGAATTGCTTCATTCTCATTGAACGTTGCTTGTAAGTATATTGAAAGACGAAAAAGTAGCATTTAAACCAAGTTCCTTAATTCCATAGATCTTCCATCGGAAATGAAGATCATCGATAGTAGTATCTTATCGAATTTAACTGTCGGAAACGACAGTCTAGGAGAATTTGAATGTCGAACATCAGCATCGAATCCTCAGGCGACTTTGACAATACTTAGACAATCCAATGATGGAACAAAATATTCAGATATTCAGTACAAAACAGCAAGTACTTATGTAGATGGCATCAACTCAGTGAAATTCATGGTAGAAAAGTCTATTTTTCCAAAATCTGAACCATTTTCAATCGTTTTCTTTAGTTACCTCCAATCGATCTTTCTTTACATGGAAATTTGTTAACATGTGAAGCGACGATCGATGCTGATACTACACCGTTAACAAAACAAGTGACGTATGTGCTCAATGTTAATCGTAAGTATCTGATTCAGCAAGTCTCTGATTCGGTTTGAAAAGAGTACTGTGTCATTGATAGATAAGCCACATTTCCATGACTTTGATGCGTTTGCTGATGTGGAAGAAAATCAACCGTTTAATGTAACACTTGAAGCAAGTGCTTATCCAATGCCAATTACTTACACATGGTTTCATCCATCGGGCCGACAATTATTTGCTGACCAATCAAGGATATTTATCAATCAAGGACGCTTATCGTTAACAAGTGTTCAAAAAAGTGATTTAGGCGTTTATCGATGTGTAGCAACAAACACATATGGAAGTGCTGAAGCGAATTTTACATTGAATGTTCTTTGTAAGTGATAAAAGAAACAAGAGACAGAAAAGAAAAGAAGCTTGCTTTGACTATTCCTTTAGATGGACCGGTAATAACACGCACTAAAGGTTATTCGGTATCGGAAGCCGCCGCTTCAGGTTCATCTGTAACCTTGACTTGCACTGTTGATGCTAATCCAATTGAATTGAATAATATACGATGGTTTAAAGATAATGAAGAGCTGTTCTCGAGCCAAAATGCTCCTCAATGGGAGAAACGAGTCGAAGGTCAGGAAGCATCTATCCTTGCCAAATCTATCCGAAGAAGTGATGCCGGACAATATGCTTGTGAAATTAGTAATGCACACGGAAATAGTCGAGCAACAATGCCATTAGCTGTACAATGTAAGGATTTCAGTTTATTAACCGTGATATTTTCTCACGTCTCGATTGGTTTTATTTAGACGCACCGGAAATCGATCGTACGGATCCAAGTCGAAGTAAAGCAGCAGCTGATTCTGATCGTTTGCTTACAGCTGAATTGCACTGTTATGTATCGGCTGTCCCGCGACCAACAGTAACATGGCTGAAGGTTAGTTAGACGAATAAGATAATGTGGACAGATGAGCAATCTCTTATCTTGATTATTAATTGCACTCGTCTGAGGCTTTTTGTCAAGAATGAAAGATTAGTTTTTTATCGTTCTCTCGACACTCTCACACAGATAAATTCGTTTCGAAAATTACCTCTATTGCTCTATTCCATTCAAGGATAATCAACCAGTACCATTCTCATCGAAATATCGATCAGTTTTGAATGAAAGAACCACTGGATCTACCGCGTTTTCGCCAAATCTTCTCTTCGATGCCATACTTTATATAGCCAATGTAACCAAATCAGACTATGGCGTATATAAATGTAAAGTGGAAAATTCAGTTAATACAGATACGGCGGATGTCACTCTCTCCGGATTGAGTAAGTTTTGTTTTGCTGGAAAAGTTCGAAAGATTTACTCGATCTTCGCCTTACTTAGCCGCACCTGATGTCCCGAGTCAAGTGCGTGTAGCAAATGCATCGCATTCATCGTTATTAATTAGTTGGCTACCTGGCTTCGATGGTGGTTCACGTCAAACGTTTCAAATTCGTTATCGTGTTGCATCTGATACACGTTACTCATACGAAGATGTTCCACTAGGTGATCAATCATTTGATCTGAAAAATTTACAATTGGCTACTGAATATTATGTCAGTATACGTGCAAATAATTCCTATCATCTAAGCAGTTGGACTGAGGAAATCGTTGCTTCAACGTCACGATATCTACCATCTTCGCCATTCTATTCATTTTCAAGTTCAAATTCATCATCAAGATTTTCCTTAACCGTCATCGTTACTGTTGCCGTGTTTGGTTTATTCATTTTCTTGATCAACATTATACTTATATCATTATTTATTATGAAACGTCGACGTGCACATGTCTCTAGTGATAATTCATCAACAACAGGAACAAATGAAACTGAAGCAAATACTGTTGACATTTTTCAACCGATTCCATCTAATCTCTTTTTCGAACGTCCATATTCATCGACAACGAATGCTTATCCGTTTAGTACCTATCAAAAATATGATGATGATGATGCGAAAAGACCGTTCGTACCTTCGTATTCTTCGGCAACCTTGACTCGATTAACTCCTAGTCATCACCGACTGTGGCCTCAAGGTAATTGCTAAATTCATATATGCTAATTACCATTTCGGATTTATTTAGATGACGTCTCATCCTATTTAGCATTAGACACCAGTATTAGAACTAAAGCTGGTTCACCTTATGCAGCCATTAAGGTTCGTATAGCCGCGTTAATATGAAGATTAGATTTGTGACAAGCTGTTTTCTTTTTTGGATTATTTTTTAGAAAGGTCGGTTCTCCCCGTATGACAATGTTCGATTACATCATTATTCTCCATCGAGTGTAGATAATGGCCTTGTTACATACAGAAGTTTTAAAGATGGGATCAGCGGCTCATCGGTTACACATGATTGTATAAGAGCTGAACTTGTTTAATTTAACGAATTTTCTTTGTTTTCAAACAGTGATTATGTGTGTATTGGTTTGGAATCAGATAGGAAAAAGAATATCTATTCATTGTGTCTTCTTCCTTTTTCCTGTGCGTTCTTTTTTTCTATTTTTCCATAAATATATCTCATGGACAACAATTGTATCTAGACATTTTCTAGCGAAAACTACCAAAATCAATATGAAGAAGATGAAAAAGTATCGGCAGAGATGTCTCTAGTTTCTGACGACAAGCATAGACTCCAACTACCAATCACAGATCGTCTGTACGAAGATGAGTTTCGAATCAAATTCAAACCATTTTGTCTATAAGTTTCATCGGAAATGCAACGATTCCTCAGGTTTTCTTGTCGCTCATCTTTCGATCTCTATTGCCGGACTCTTACCTCCCGTCAAGCAAGTTCTTTCAATGGAACTGTCCGAATGGGCTTACCATTTTCCTTTGATGAAAAAATAGCACTAGACTATTTCAATCGCTGGCGAAAATCATTCTGGTAATTAATCAGCACTTTGCTTCTCTCAACTATCCTCTATTCTGTCTTTCTCCTAAGAGGCTGACGCCTAGTGATTGGCGCCAAACACCGGTTACTGTCACTCAACGCTTTTTACCTTGCTGGTCGTTTTCGTTGACAGGCACTGTCTATGCTGAAGCTTACGTAATCATACATTGTGCACTCTAATCATCTTTCAGAAAACAGCCAACGCTCTCTTCTAGGTCAAACGTGGCGCATGGATATGGGGTGGGACGGAGTGGCATCCTCTACCTGATCAGATTTCTGTAGCGAATGTGAATCTGTCGAATGTCAATGTCTATGCCGCTCACGTATATGATCGGCAACATATTCTTGAGATAGATATGAAGACAAATGATTCACTCGAGCCGATCAATAGTTCATTGACAAACGATGACATTCTTGAAGAATGGACGGTAGATCGAGACACGGCTTTTGAAATCGGCTGGGACCTGCAGATCATACCGAAAGTGCAAGAACTTTGTATAAAGCAGTTAAAGCAACAGAAAAAAGATGAATATCGTATTACTTCAATTCGTTTTTCGATTGTACAAGAAACACAACAATTGGTCTATTTTCCTGTCTATGTTGTCGAATATCAGTACCGTGATAAACAATTACAGTGTCTAATCAATGGGCGTACTGGGCAAGTAGCTGGTTTCAGACAATTCTCTCGATTAAAAGTAAAATTCTTCGGTTTCACTCAACTCACAACCCATACCTTATTATTTCAGATCGCTGCGCTAGCTTTAGGAATTGTTTATCCTGTATGCGCAGTATCATGCATTTCTCTTCTATCATTTACTGTCTACGCGATGACTCGACGAGTTCTTGTTATACCGATTGCTTTACTTACAACTGGATTTACCTTGCCGATTGTTTCGCTCGCTGTTTTGCAGATGGCCAGATATGTGCGAGATTATTCTCATCTTTACCGAGGCAAACAGGATATTCGAGATTGGTTAGAATTCAAAAGACAAAATCCGCACATATTCACGGATAAAAGCTTCGATCAAAAGACGGCGCAGTCAACTTTTCATCGGCAGCGAACGCAAGAGAGCAAGTGAGTTTTAATGACAAATTCGATCGAGAAAATACCTATTTTTGTTTTCAGAAAAGCTACAGTTTCATTTGAGATTGGTCCGGACCTGTATGGATTATTAGGTGTCAGTCGAGTAGCATCCAATACTGATATAAAACATGCCTATTTATTGAAAGCAAAAGAATTTCATCCTGATCGCAATGTCGGTAATAAACAAATCGAAGAAAAATTCAAATTAATTAATCAAGCATATGCAATCTTATCCGATCCTGAACAACGACAGTTATTCGATGAATACGGATACGATCAAGTCAAATATAAATGATGAAAGTTGAAAATAAAGATCTTCTAGAATTGACTAATTTCTTATTTTATATTTACTAAAAAATATAAATTGCAAAGAAAAAAGACAAACATTGCGCATCGATCTGTCAAGATTGAAGACCTAGATTGTGTAACATAGCATCAAAAGCTATTTTGGATTCTATAGATGGAGCTTCAAAATTTGCCTCTTGTCCTACTTGGAGTTGCGAGAGAAGGTGGCGAAATAATTTTGGATCATAATCGAGAAATGGTCTGCCATGTTGATCTAAATCGGATGGCTTATTCGCCAACAGAAATTTTGATAATTTCGAGTTCGGCACACGATTGAGTGTTCGACGTCTTGTCGCGAACATTTCATCGCCCACATTGAAAGTAAAAATATCATCATCGGAGATTGGCGCTGGTTCAAGACCGAGTTTTGCCAACATGGCATTGAATTGTATAGTTAGAATTGGTGTCGACGGAGGATAGAAAACAACCTTTTCATTTTCTTCAAATAATCGTAGTTGTTCGAGTGCATGACGAAATAATTTAGGATTAAAATCGAGAAAAACATTCCCCTCCTTGTCAATACTGATGTTTTCCTCTGATTTGTTCAGAAGCATGTTTGTTAGAGTTGAATCGGGCGCATACAGTAAACTAGCCCGAGTCGTATACATAATCTCGCCACCAACGTTAAATTGGATAACATCGGAATTTTTCAAAAATCTTTCCATGATCGCTTTTTCAACGTCTAGATCATTCGATGAGTTCTTCGATTCCTTTTCTAATGCATTTAGCTCATCAGCAACAACTGTTGATACATCATTTACTGATGACGTTAACTCAGTCGAATTGCATTTTATGTATCTGTCGTCGTATAATAGAAATATTAAAAAATAAAACAACTAAACAGAAATCATATCGACTGCAATCTTTATAGAAATCTTCACCTATAATTTCTACTTACAAAACTCTTGCACATATTCATGCTAATCGTATGCTATTGTGTAGAATCATTTAGATATATCTATTGTTTATATATAGATAATCGCCTGTTACTCTTATCTGCAGATTTCAACAACAGTCGTTATCTACGTCAGTCAAAGGAAATACACACGACTAGTGGGAGAAGTGTATTTCTGTCATTGAAATACTTCGCCTATAACGTAAACAATATTTGAAAACTATTTCGATAAATCTTTTTACAATAAGAACGTTTCTAGGAAACCAAAAGAATAGTTTAGATTCAATTTAATTTTACAATTACTAATTTATCATGGCATGTATCTTCAATTCTAACTAACTTCTTTAACTATGTTTGTATCTCTTCTCTCATTTTTCTGCATCACTTCAATTCTCTCATTTGCTGGTAAATATTCTCAACACAAAACATTTTCATTTGAGGTATATCTACATATCGAAGTATTAAGATAGTTTCACAAACGATTGACAAAAAATGTTTGACCGATAATGATTGTCATCATGAACTTCTCTGTCACACAACGAGGAACGTGTGTGTATGTCCGAAAGCATATTTTTGGCATGAGGATATGTACAGGTGTTCGGATTGTCCAAAACATTGGGAAAAATTTGATGAGAAGAAGTGTTTTCTATTTCCGACCCACTCTTCTTCGATTGTATCATGGAATGAAGCGCAACATATTTGTCGCTCGCTGATTGCACAACCGTTAGTAATCAGTACAAGAACGGAATTCATTGCATTACAACGTCATATGAAATATACATCGCATGAAGATGATCCTTTGACTGTTGCTGTTCATTTTCATCAAGGTATATGGATTCAAATCGATAATAGTAAGTGGTACTTACATGCATGACGGCATTGATTTCCTTTGGGAAAAGCAGATTTCATACATTCTTTTTACCACATTGCAGAGTGGACCGACTCACATCTATGGTGTGATAAGAATGTTGCACATCGTTTTGGAGATTGCGTACAAGTGCGATGGAATAGTTCGACAGAAATGATTTGTTTACGATATGTATCATGTACTAGAAGAGCTCAGTACATATGTGAAGGTTAATTGAAGATCAATTGAGAATGAAAGTGAATTCTAGAATTTAGTTTCAAGTCGAACAGAATCGTATTTCGACAACAGTCGAAGACTTCGAATTTTATCTCGAAGGACTAAACGGTTGATTACTGAAGAACATATCCGAGCTCTTCCTAACAAGAAGCCTCCGAAAACGCCACCGAAAAAACCAGGAGCATCAACACCGAATAAAAATCCTGCTTCCTCAATAAATAATGCTGGAAACATTCTTGTCAGTGGGATCAATACTGCTGGTCACGTTGCTAATGCAGTGAATAATGTGTTTGGTATAGGCAAAGAATGTATTATTGTCACTATACTTTCATGATTTGATCTAGGCGGCGCAAACAATGCTAACAACGGGAATACTAATCAAAATTACAACTCACAAAGTTATAAACTAATGAATGTACTGAAGATATGTTATGATTGTTCTTGAATTTATATTTCATAGATGATTATACTAATAATAATCTGCAAGCGCTTGGATCTGGTAAAGCGTAGCTACTCTTCGTTACTCATCTACTCTTTTCGAATGCATCGTATAGGTAATGGTGATAACAACAAATCAGATACCAGTTGGACGACTATACTTTTTATTGGCGCTCTTGTTATCGGTGGAATCATGTTTGTATTCGTCGTACTATTCATCGTAATCTGTTTATTACGAAAGAGTAAAACAAATTCACGCAATCGAAGAAGTGCTGGAAGTGTAGAAAGTACTCTAACTACCGGGACATCCGAATAAAGAAAGAGAAAGCTGAAGAACATCATTTGTTTTCATATTTTCTACTGCAAGATAGTCGTCTTTCATCAATAAATATTCTCCTATGAATAGTTAATATCATCGAATGATGATAATAAGAAAGTTTTCTTCTCTCTGTTGATTGACAACAGACATGGTCGAAATGCTGACTGAAGGAAGGAATTCTTCATTCATTGATTCATTCATTCTTTCTTTCTTTCTTTCTCGTCTCGCGACATACACACATCTCTCGTTGGTTGTCCAGCAATTCATTACTTAAAAGAGTTCGCTAGCTTCGACCTTTGTCCAACGATGCATGTGGCGCTCGGAAAGTATTAACAATGGCATCGGATAAAATTCATCTGTTCAATATGTTCAATTAATTCACTTCATATCATCATGCGTCTTTGTACATTTCGCTCAATATGAAAGCAGCAGAAATCAAAGCGTATCTTGAAGAGAAATATGCATTTCTCAGCGGTATGTATTCCAGTCGATCGACGACTTTGTAGTTAACGAAATTCTTTTTTTTTCTCAGGAGCTATTGATAAAAAAGGTTACCTGATCGTAACATTTCCAAGTTCAGCAGCAATTGAAAAACTATCAGCAGAAGAATTAAAGAAATTAATCATCTATCTCGCATCGATAAAGTATGAAAAGACAGTAGAAGAGAAATTCTTGATCTCATTCGAAATTATCCATATTTAGCTCTTCCAATGGCGACCCAAGATTTACATTTATTGTTGATATGCGTCAACGAACATGGGAGAATTGTAAACATATTTTCAAAGTTCTACAAGTTTGTATTCTTCAATTCAATATACGGACGAATATTGAATTCGATTCTGTGTTTAGGAACAATTTCCATATAAGATAGAACACGTGTATATTGTTAAACCAGATGGATTTTGGGATAAACATAAAATCTCTCTCGGAATGTCCAAATACACATTTGATGTAAATATATAGATTTTCATCGAATTTCGAAAATGAATTTTATATCAATTTTTAGCATTCGGTTGAATCTGTCGACAGTTTATCTCATGCAATTGATCGTCATCAGTTAACACCTGATCTGAATGGTACATTCCAGTACAACCATCATCGATGGTTGGATTTTCGTTTAGTATGTTTTCAATAAACGTTTGACGCTTTCACTGATAGTTTTTGTTTTCATTCAGAAACTGGAAACATTTGTCTTTAATTCCAAAGAAACTCTACATACATACGAACTGCTTTACAACGAACTTCAACAAATTGATCAAGTGAATAATGTTGCGCGAGCACAAGAAGCAATCGAAACTCACATGACGGTTTTCAAAGATCAACTATCACGTGTAAACATCGAACCATTGATCAACGACGGGCAACATCTACTGAATATGCTGCGAGGAAATCCAGATAATGACAATTCGATGATGAAATCTCAACAACAACGGACTTACCCATTCGATTATTTTGACGAAGCGCGGAAGATCTCTTTGGTAAGACAAGACATTCTGATAAGGTTTAGTTCAGTCGATTGTATTTGTAAGGTGATGGATAATCTTCGTTCAGCAAAAGAGCGATGTTTTCAACTATGGCATCAGAAAAAGAACCGATTGGAACAAAGCTTACAACTGAAGTTATTTGAACAAGATTGCGATCGTGTAAGTGAAGCGAATTAACAATCGGTAGTGATTGCATTGAAAAATCATCAAATATTCCTTTAGTTATGTTCATGGATTGCAAACAGTCGGTCAATACTGGCACCGAAATATACTGAAATCGGTTCGAGTTGTTCCGAAGCTATGCAACTATTAGCGGAACATGAACAATTTGCTAAAGTCTGTCTGGTAAGTAGAAAATTTGTTTGATAAAGCAGAAAAATATCAATGTTATTTGAATTTCAAGGGAAATGAAACCGTTATTCGTCGAACTCAAAATGTCGGTGATCGACTTATATCGAGTGGACATTATGCGACCAATGCGATTAAAACTCAAATGAACCGTTTAAATGACGAATGGTTATCCTTAGCCCGATTGTTAGATAATCGAACAAATATTCTCACTGCCTCGCTTCAGTTTCATCAAAAAGCTGATGAAGTAAATATCCGACTAGGCTTATTTTTCTATAAATAAATCGATTCATCTGTTTGCAGTATTTGGTGCAAGTACCAACATGGAAACATCTCTGTTCGTTAACTGATGACTTGACAGCCATTGAAAGTATGGAACATCTTGAGCGTTTACTTCAACAACATTTTAATCTATCGGAAAATATCTCAAGAATATATGCTCAGGTACGACAGTACAAATGTTGGTTTTCGTTATGATATATTTTCTTTTTATAAAATAGATTTGTAACGATGGTAAAGCAATCATTGATTCGGTTGCACCATCTCAACAAGCTACGACTGAGCATCAATTTGATTTTCGTGCCGGTGCAAAACATATTCTCGAAATCGTTCAAGAAGTAAATTTACCCTTTTGGTCGCAGTATTTTTAACAAAACGTCTCTTGTTCATTCAGATTTTGGTAAATCATCGTTATCTTGACGCGAAATGGAACCAACGAAAAGTATTTCTTCAACAACGACTTAGTTTTGTTGCATTTGCAAATGACGTTCAACAGGTAATTGACAACGATGCGGATACCGTCTTTTTTTGTAACTGATAATGTCGGTCGATTTTCTAGATCCTTGACTGGATTGAAAAACACGGTGATGCTTTTCTGCAGAAGAATTTAGCAGTTGGGATAGGTAAATCCTTTCGACAAGCGAAGAAACTCGATAAAATGCATACTGACTTTGAAATGGCCATCAAAGTAAAATTTTACTCATTTTTCTCGAATGCGACTTATTTCTTTCAATGTTTTCGCTGTAGAATACGAAAACCAACGCAGAGAATTTGATTGCTGCTGCTGATAACATGTACAACGAACAAATTCAACAACAAAAACAATCGCAGTCGAATAACAACACGAATTCGAACAGCGATGAGACTAATGGTGACAAACAATTAAATCAAGGTCGAGCGAAGATTTATCAATTAGCACACGATCTTGAACGTCGTATGCGTGAATTTGACGAACGTGTTGCTCGTCGTCGATATATTCTCGATGTGAATCTCAATTTTCATACGCACTGTGAAGAGGTTCGAAGGAAATTGCTATATGAATTTGTTTTCAGCCTGCTTTTATGTAGTACTCAGATTGGTTGGCACAAGTTGAACTTGTTTGGTCAACAACAGCAGGTGATGATGATGACAATGAAACAATTGCTGCCAATTGTGAAGAGATGCTTGAGGCTTTGATCGAACAACACGAAGGAGCAATGGAAGCATGTGCAACAATTGAACAAGAAGGACAAATTCTATTAGATTATCTCACGTAAGTCTCTTCTTGTATAATGAATACTCTCGTGCATGCACTTTCTTACTTCAGCGAAGTTCAATCCATGATCACACCGACCGATACGACACCTTCACCTCAATATACTCATCTAATGAGTTTAATTGAGTCGATTCGAAAGAAAACAAATGAACTTGAAACGATTTGGGGGAAACGTCGTTTACGTGTCGAATTATTTGTACAAATTAAACATTTCGAAATGTATTCACGCGAGGTAAGTTGACATGAAAGTTACGTTTTAATTAATGTCGTTAATCATATCGTCTTATGTCAGGTTAATAGATTAATTAAATTTGCGCGCAGGTAAAATTCGGAGACGGAGAAAACGACGAAATTCAAGGCGAGACGACTGACACTTCAATTAGGGTATTTGAAAAAGTGAATGAACACTTTTTTTGTGCACATATAAAATTCGTCGCAATGCACGAGTTCAGTCCGATAAGAATATTTTTATCTAAATTACCAAATGTACGACACATGCGACAGATAATCTGACATTGATAGAATGAAAACGTTGTTCGTATTTATCTCAACAATGATTCTTCGCGTTTCTTTTCGCATCTCATCATTATTCTACCGAAAAATCTTGACTTCTCTGTATTTAATTAATAACTGTAGTATGAGATGAGAACGTGTAGAAAATAATTAGGATGATTTTGCGTATTTATTTCCATACCACTGTTAATGTCAATGTATGTGTAAAAGCGACATGAAGAAAGTCTACTCAACAACGGAAAGAAGAAGAAAAAAGCAAGCATCATCATCAATTTGGCAAGTTGTTAGCTCGGTAAAAAACAGACAGACAGTTGTCAGATACAAAAGAGTCGAGTGATAAATGGAGTTATTGTATGCATTACGTTAGTACTTGTCACTAATCGTCATCCACAAAAACAACAGAATTGACTGAAAAAAAAACGGCGAGAAATACGGGGTTTGCTATATACATATATTCCAATTTTGAGATACGGAAGAGAAAAAAATAAGGGGAAAGAGAGAAGTAAACGGGCGCGATTGCTCCTGTATGTCCACGTGAGTTGCATACCGTGTACATTCACACGTATATACATACATTCAATTCACCTTGCTTGTTCTTTTCCTACACGCAATGCTTCTGCGTTGATGATAATAATAAAAATCGCCCTTTTATAGCATTGATATTTATCTATTTTTCGTTTTTTTCCTCTTTCTATCCACAAGGTATCGCATTTGCTCGACGTTTGGTCACACGAATTGGTCAAAATGCAGCAGCAGCAACAGCAGCAACAACAACAAGCACAGTCGCAACCGCAATCGCCCAATTCGGTTAGTTCAGTCATCATTCCGCCCGCTTTGCCCTTAGCTTTACAAACGCTTATCAATGGCGGTGCGTCATCTACACGACATCGATCTCATCATCACAGTACCGATCGCACAACTGGAAAAGTCGATGATTGGGCACAAGTACAAGAACACATTCATACTCGTGTCGCACAAGTTGTACAACGCGGCAGAGATATTCTCAATGTAAGTATTCTGAGAAAAGCCAGACTTCCTATCAATGTATATCTCAATAGTTAATGGAAAGATCGAATGAAATGAAAGTAAAAACTGATCAACCATCGTCGATCAGTTCGGACACATCGAATAGTTCAAATTCTTCTCAACAACAATCATCAATACCGTCTGCTGATCAGATTCGTAATTTACTTCTTGTCATGAGTGATCGCGAACAAAAATTATCCGAACTTGCTACTCAGCAACAGAAACTTATCTTATGGCGAGTACAATTCATACGACTGGAACGAGAATGGACCGAAGTAAACCAGAAACAACATTTCTTTTTACCATAACTATCCATGAAAATTTCCGTTTAGATCAAAAATATGATCAATAATTTTGAAATCAAACTCGCGTCGAACCTAACGTTAGCTATAAGTTTAAGTGATGCTGAAAAGTTTCATCGCGATCACGAAGATATCAAACCATTTGTTGACGTAAGTCCACCGAAGGGAAGCCTTCTTAAAAACATAATTATAATGCAATCGATCTGTTTCCAATGCTCAAGGAAATCTAATCGTCTGAAGTATTTGACTTTCTTATTTACGTTTCTAGAATTAGAGCGGGTAAACAAGAAAATCTCTTGAGAGAAGTAACCTTTCGATTGCATTTCATAATGTACTAAAGCCATTTTCCTTTCTTTTTCGTCTCGGTTTTTCTTTGAACCTTGATCTTAATGATCGAACAGAAAATGAATAACGTACCCATCAACTGTGACAGAAATCAATCGAACTAGAGAGCGAGACCTATGAGTCATGGTATATAAATTCTTGTCATATCGATTCACTCGAGATGATTTTACTCTGCATGTTTTTTCCTTGTCATGAAAAGTTGTAAGTCGAAATATATATGTAACTGATCTATCAATTGATTCAATGTTTGATAACGAAAGAAGCAATGTGCACCGTTTACGTAAACAAAATCATATTTGATATGGTTTCTATAGAGAATATGCGAACGCATCGATACTCTTCAACGTAAAACAGAAAAGCTATGTACATTAATCTCCAGCAATGATCCACCATCGGGTCCTGCCGAATTAATTAATACGTTGATATCTGCTCGACAGAAAGTTCAGTTACAATTCGAAGATCGTCTACGATTGATCAATGCTCAGATTATATTCTACAAATCATCTGAACAAGTAAATTGACAATGGCAATCTTCAAATAAATCTTTACTGAGCAATCTTTCGATTGATTTTAGGTCTCACAAATGTTGGATACACTCGAACGAGAATATCGAACAATTGAAGATATTCATGAAAAATTGAAAATTTATACAGATGACGAAATACAGAAGATTCTAGTCGATCGTTTAGAACAATTAGACGAGAACAAACATAGTTTTCTACGAGTATGATTGCAATTCTGAACTTTTTTTGTTTCTACGAAGTCTCTTTGTCAGGCATGTACAGTGGCACGTCAAAAATCAGATTTATTCCATAAATATGCGCTCCGTAATGCTGCCAATCTAATCAAACCTGATGCCTACTTAAAACCGCTCGAACAGAAAATCAAAAGTAAGAAGAATCTTCTTTGTTTTCTCACACAGAAACCAACAAACTTGTCGTTCTCTTGTTGTAGATGTCTCTTCTATATTAAAAAGTAAAGAAGATACCGTTTTAAATGCTTGGCATCATCGAAAGAAGATTATCGATGAATATTTACAATATATTTCATTCAAACGCAACACCGACAAAGTTTTTGTATGGATTGACGAACACGACGAATGTTTTGTTTCCAAACTGGAAGAATTGGATATAAATGATGAAGGATACATGGATTTCGTTCGAGCACTTAAGGTTTGTTTGTCCATGACTTAGAGTAGATATTTATTCAAGAAAAAAAATAATATAATGACAGACATATTCCATTGATAGAATAACTTTTATGTTGATTCAACAGAGATTTCAAGCGATTGCATGTTTTTCGAATAATAAATGAATGAATGCTTTTGTACCTGAGAAACATTTGCGAACAGATCGAGTTCTTTGCAAATCATATCCGTATGAAGAATCGATAGACAAAGAAAACATCACGGTGTTTGACATTCTGCAGACATGTGTATCGTAAATATTGTTTTGAGTATCGTCGTCGTAGGAAATTTGATCATGATTAGCACAATTTAACCAAATTTCATGTTGAGAAGTGTCGAAAACTAATCGTCAAGTGTTTGCCTTCGATATCATAAGGCAATCGTCAAAGTTGATATATGGTTAAATGAAAAATGGGTTTCTTTTTTTTTAGGAAAAGAAGATCATGGTCCGAAAATTAGTCGAGCGTGCTGATGTGCTCGTTGAACGTTCACATTCGTTTGCACCATTGATTAAAGACACATGCAATCGACTGGATTCGGGTTTTAATGATTTCTTTCAAAAGATTATGAGAATTAATAATAAAGAGGTTTGTTACGATTGTGATTGGGTGAAATGAGAAATGAAGTTTCGTTTTCTAGGAAATTGATAAAGAAGCTGGACGAAAGAGTGATTCAAGTTTGGAAGAAAAACTAGAACAACAAGAATTGAATGAAGGCAAAAGAAAAGCTGCGAAACAACGAGAGTAAATTATTAATTTTCATGTTTGTTTTCAGTTCTATGGTTTGATTTAGGTTGATCTTTAATGAATTACTCAATACCGAACGTGCTTATGTCGATAGTTTAAGTAAATGCATTCAGGTAAGTCCGAGCTATTCGATGAATATAGAAGAATTTTATTCAAATATTCGTTTAGTATTATCTTGGTGAAATGCGACAACATCCAGAAGAGGTTCCAGAGTTAGTTCGAAACAAAGAATCGATTTTATTTTTAAACATTGAAGAGATTCATAATTTTCACAAAAAGTAAAAGAGTTCTAATCATGTTAGCAAAAGAAATGCATCTTATTTGTTTTAGTTTATTTATCAAAGACTTAGAGCGGTATGCAGATAGTCCAGAAGATGTTGGTCATTGTTTTGTCACATGGGTAAGACAAATGTTTTTTCCAAAGAAAAAGAACATGTTTTGAAAAAAAAACTTTTTTTAGGCAAAACAATTTCATATTTACTATGTCGAATATTGTAAAAACAATGAATCATGTATAAAATTATTAACACAATATCGTGGACCGTATTTCGAGGTAAATATTAGATTTTTTTGTTTCTCATAGGTAGACATTCGTTGTCAATAGACAGATTCAAATATCCACTGATAGTAGAAGTATATAATCACATAAAGAAATGATTTACAAGAGCAAACGAAATATTCGATGTGTTGTGCAATACATTTCAGTCGAGAAATCTTGCCTTTTGATTTGTATGAAGGCATGGATTGGAAAAGATTGAGCATAGGAAATAACTCTTGTTTATACTTACCACTTGTGACAAGACAAGGACTTCAATTACATCTGTGTCTTGCGTAACTTTGCCGGTAATATGATAATTATTATCTAAGATTTTCATTCGTTCTCTGAGAGTTCAATCGACATTGATTCACTCTTGTGTTCTAGACGATTCAACACAAATATCAAATTGATACAATCAATTCATATTTAATCAAACCTGTGCAACGTATTACTAAATATGAATTATTACTTCAGCGTTTAATGTCGTGCTGTGAAGAATCTAAAGGTGAAGTCAAAGAAGGTTATGATCTTATGTGTAGTGTACCGAAAAAGGCTAATGATGCCATGCATTTAAGTTATCTGGAAGAACTTGAGGTATGTCATGGATAATCATCTTGTTGTTTTCGTTTTCTAATTAAGATTCTTTTGCTTGTTATTAGCCTGGATTAACAAAAGAAGCATTAGGTGATGTCCTCCTCCAAAATGCCTTTCAAATTTGGGATTCGAAACAGATTATTAAAAAGGGCAAAGAACGACATGTTTTCCTCTTCGAAACCAGTATTGTCATTGCCAAAATTGTCAAACCAATGGCGCGTGGAGCGATTCGATATATTTACAAATACAAATTAATGGTAAGTTATTCGATCAACAGCTAATAAACAAATATTGATGGAATTCGCTACACATTCTTTGCTCTTTTCTCATTAGACTGCGGAAATTTTCGATGTCAAAGAACATTTAGAAGCTGGCGAACCATGTAAATTTGCATTGTATACAGGTCGGCCAATGTCTTCTCATGCGGGTGATCTTCGAGTGACGCTAAAGGTATGATTATGAAATAATGTAAAGGTTTGCGTTGAATGTAAAGTTCGTTTTCTAGGCAAATGATCTCAATACAAAACAACAGTGGGTTATTCGGATACGCGAACTCATTCAAGAGAATGATCTTTATCATGATTTAACAATGCATGAAAGCAACGCTAAGCCAACAACAACACCAAATAAAATTCCTAATCCGATTAGTAACAATAACAATGCTAATAATACTTCATCGGATCGGTACGTCAAAATGTCTTTTAGTCGTCAAAAGATAAGACGCAGAAACAACCTTCGATAATCATCAAAATATTTTATTTAGGCGATCGCAAGAAATAGCTGATAATATTTCGGATGATTATGAACATATTAGCCGTGGCGGATCACTATCAAGTATGACAACTGCCTCATTCTCTAGTAGTGGACAACATCATCAAATTCAACAGGTAGGAGAAATATAAGTTATGAAAATATTATGAATATCACTACATATAAATATTTACAGCTAATATTTTATCAATATATATATATATGTATCCGTTTCTATTTTCCTTCTTTCCCTTTTTCTTTGCCAGAACATCTTCTCAATTATGGATCCCTAGTAATTGCATATGTTATTCTGTGTCTGCGATAGAACGCGTTCTATCAACACGATAACCTTGACTGTACAGTGTTCCGTCTTCGTCCCATTATAAAGATGTATATATACACTTTTGTTGACTCTACGATAAAGATCTAATCTGAATAGTGTGCCAAGATCTTGAGAGATGAGAGCACTATTCAATGGATGATATGGTAAATAAACGATCAAATTTAAACAAAATATTTAATATACTCTGTTTCTAAACAGTAAACATGGACTGTTAAAGACTCCCCTAAGTATCGGATACGAAGGCAATTTGTGCTTTTGTACTGTATATTTATATTAACTAGAACAGCAGCTGATAAAAAAAGAAGGAGAAATATGAATATCGTATTATGAAACTAACCTAAAATCGACTAGCGAGATAATAAGCAAACATACGATTCTTTTCTTGCGTTTTTTTTATTTTGACTTTTTTCGGTCGAACAAATGACAGTTTTCTCTCGTTCTCTGCACTTCTTCCTTTCTCTCTCTCTCTCATAAATTCACTGCTTGTAATAACACAGATGCTATAAGCAAGCCACAAAGAGAAAATAAAAGCCTACGATGCTTCCAACGATTGGTGTGGTAGCCATTTGTGCTGAAGCTATCTATCATTTCTTGAATATACGCCTGGTTGCTAGTCTCTCTCTCTCTCTAATTCTCCCTGGTGTCTCATATACATATCATCCATTAGGTGTATATGACGCCGAAAAAAAAACAAGAGGAAAAAAGAAGGAGAGAAAACATATTCTCTTCTAGAAAACAGAAACCGAGAGATTCTTTTTCTCTCATCGCGAATGGTACAATCAAAGAAAAAAACCGCTTGTTTCTCTTTTTTGAATCTTCATTGACATCTTTTCAATACTTAAACACGGTCAGTGTCAATGAATGAGCGGTGAGAAAAAACGACGTCGACGAAAGCATGGTCCGGTGTTAATCGAGGAAAATGTCATAACAAATTTAAGATCAACAACCACAACGATCAGAACCGAAGAACAAAAACATACGGAAAATACTGTACGTCAATTCTATCATACTGAGGAGGATGAGGAAAGTGTTTCGGATGATTTACAATCAACAGCTATACCATCAAACGAGAAAATATCGAAAAAAATCGAACGCGTTTTACGGAAAATTAATGCCTGGACAAATGAAGTATCGTCAACACCAACACATCATAATAACGATATGCAACAAGATTCATTACAAGATATGTCTTTCAACAAAACAAATCTACCGGTTTATGATAATCCTCAACAAGGTCAACAGCACGAATCGAGTTTCATAAAACCCATCTCTTCATCATTATTTCATTCATTTCGGCAACGATGTTGTTCATCAACATACACTAATCCAAATATGCTTAATAGTCAGCAAATATCAGCTCATCGGCCGCATTCATTGATGACATTTGCTGATAAACCATTGCCACAAATGACAACTGCATCATGCCTTGTAAACAATGACAATAAGACTTATCCAAGCGAAGGACAGACTCGAAAGGTGAGCGGAACAACGCCCTCGTAATTAGTTATATAAGTAATCGATTCAAGAGAACCTGAATCGAATATTTATCTAACCAGCAGCTATTCTCTCTTTCCTTATACAATGAACATGATTCATATAAAAGACTCGACATACGCGTATATACGGAGAATAATCTTGATCTCGATCTGACTGAATAGGAATTATACTTGAGTGTCTATTTTGTACTTCTATGAAGGGAATCGCCGTCATTTTTCATTGTCAGAACGTCATACAAGCACGATCGTGGGTTGTACGAATCTCGATAGTAGTTCGTTTGTCGGATATGATGTTCCATCATTTATATCGGAAAGAAAACACTTAATTTTCATCTCTCAATCCACGCCCATATCTAATCAAGGCATTCATGTATGCCGATAACGGGCCATTTGGTGTTTTTGAGTGTAATTTCAGTAATTATCTATTAATCACAAAAACAAGAAAAAATCTTCTGTCATGGTTTCACGCCATGATTTATGATTTAGTCTAGCCTCCATTAGTGAAATTACCTTCTCGAACAGAAAAGAAACGAGACTATGTATCAGAATCTTGCCCAACAACAAGTTATTTATGTCCCCTAAAGTCGAGCGAGTCTCTAGCACAAGACTGTCAGAATGGGAGCATGATGCTACAAAACGAGATGAATCGATCGTAGTCGAGTTTTCAATTACAAATTTATATGAATCATGTTCATTAACTTTTCTTTTGCACGTCCGCTCCAAGAAACCTTTATTTGACATTTTATTCTATTAAATTAATAGAAAAAAATGTTCAATTCCAAAGCACATTCTTCCTCATTACGTCATAAATGTGCACGCGCTGAAAAACAACAGCCAGTTTTGATAAATTTGATTAACAATAACAGACTTCAACGTCGAGCGTCATTCTCTCAAGATACAAACTTAATACCCATATCGACCATGTATGGTTCAGATTTTTTCTTTCCGCTTGACAATGACGACCAGCAAAAACATCAGTATGACAATTTAACCTATCCTCAACCTCTTCCTCATCATTATTACGATCCATTACCGATTCCTGTGGCTTGCCAACGTTGTAGCCGGAGTACGGATCGATCATCATTTCGTGACATGTCATGTCAAGTACCATCCGATGACGAAGAAGATCGCAACATATACCAATATGTTCAATTCGAGCACCGTCAAAACAAAAGATCATCGCCCCTATATAATTCACCCTCGTCAACACCACCACCGTGTTCGCCACCATTAGCCAATAGTTTGCTGTCACCGTACCATCGTCGACGAAAACGCTCGCTATCATCCTATGACGCGTTACATAGCCGTTCGAAATCGGCTCCGTCTGCCTCGTCATCAACGTTGTCATCCATTACATACTCAAGAAAATCCTTCTTTGAGAAAAAGTCGAAACACCCTCTACCGTCACTTTTCCCCTTACAATCAGATATGACTGTATTATCTTTAACACCTGAAACAGTTCCTGTCACATCAACACCATCAACTACGGCACTTCTTCGTTCTATAAAAACATCGATACATGCCATGAAAAAACGTCTCAAAGATATTCGTCGTTTGTCCGAGGTGGGTATGTGTTGTTAATGATGATGACGCCGGCGACGACAACACAATATATAAGTATATACGTGGATAGAAAAAAAAGGAAAAAAAAGAGAGAGAGAGAGAGAGAGAGAGAGAGCGCAGCCGTATAAAGAAAAAAAAAGAAAAAAACAACATCTGTTGCCTGCTTGGTTTGCCTGCGCGCGCACACACACATACTCGCATCTTCATCAACTCATTCGACATTGTAGAGAAAGGAAAATCCGTGCACGCAACGTTGTTTTTTCTCAACAGACAATGTTTCACTACCTGCGTGCTTATCATCACAGCAAGGTATAGCATATCCTTTACGTTTTCTTTTATGTCTGCTTTATATTTGTGTCTACACGGATGAATTTATACCCAGGCGAAACTAAACGTCGTCGACAGATTCTCCTCTCATTTTTTTTTTCTCTCTATTACATCAAAATATTTTCCTTCATTTTTCCTNTACATACACATATATGCGCACAGTGCTTTATTAACACTTGACAATTAAAAATGACTGTCTTCGGCTTCGAACCAGTCAAGTGTTAGCTCGACTTTCAAGATAGAACGACATCACTGTTCAATTTTATAAAAAAGCATAGACTGTCTACTCAGCAGGTTGTTTTCTTTTTATCAACATTCGCAACATGACGAGAGAGAGAGGGAGAGAGGGAGGGAGCGAACGAAAGAATGAGCCAACGAGAGAGAAACGGAGACTTTCTTGTCCTCATTTCTCATGATAATTTTAATCATATAATGTTTGATTAAGTTTTAATATCATAGCCTCAATGTCTCTGTTGTTTCCTTTTCCTGGCGATGAGAATGATGAGGAAGCAAGAGAAATTCTGAAGATAAAGTAAAATAATTGTTGTGATTAATAAAATAATGACGTTGTTTTGATGATGATGATGATGTTGCTGATGAAAGAAGTAGTTATCGTAGTAGCAAACACGGCAAGGAGAAAGAAGGACGACAACTACTATTCGTAACGACAAACTCTATGAGTCCCATGCGTAGACGTCGACGACAACTCCGACGACAACGCGCGCACACATACACACTCGCACAAGAGGAAGAAAAACGGGAGAAGAGTATTATTTAATAAATAATCGTCAATGCTGATTTCATTTTTTTCTTCTCCGCTATACTAGCTTCTTGCACCGTACGTGACTGTCGAGATGACGTATACTTGACTGAATGGAAAAGCCGATAACACTTCAATTTCATCGCTATTCACTTAGCCATCTTCATCGTTAAGAACATTGTTTGTATTTGTCATTATCATCTTAGAAAATTGAGTCATCATCTTACGAATAAATATTACATATTCCGTCCTTTTTTATGGAATTCTGGCGCAAGATGAAATTTCGTTGGGTAATTAAGAAACACCTTACAGATAATAAGCAAGTTCATCTTCGATTGATCTCTTCGATAATTGATCGCCTACTATAAATACATCTAGCTTGTTCATGAAGAAAATACTGACGAACTGACTTGTTTTGAGCTCTTTTGCTTCTGATTTTTATAAATAACTTTGTATTTTCTTCTGTCATAGGATTCGAACGTGACAACCGTCTTAGACGATTATACGGCACGTAGTTCACAAGAATTGTCTGTAAGTAAAGGCCAACACGTTCGTATCATTCAAAAGCAACTTCCGAACGCACCTGATTGGTGTCTTATCCGCTTATTAAACGATCATTCACATCATCATAATCAATCAAATCCATCAATTGCGGCTTCGTCAACAACCACAGTCACAACCGGTTCATTCGATTTATCATCGCCACCCCCGTCATCAAAATATACTGAAGGACTCGTTCCAGCAGCTATTCTCAAAGCAACCAAGTCATCTGCGACAAACACTCATCCATTACCACCACCTCCACTATCCCTTCCAACAGGAATTAAAAGTGAACAAGGTAGGCGAGAACGAGAAGGATAATAAAACAAGACTAGAACGATGAATCTCTTTCGCTATTGATTGGATTTTTTGATTGAGTCAAAATATTGATGAAATATTCTTCGTTATCAGAAGAAAATAAAGAATTGTCTTGCTTCTTCGAATCGAACGAGTATTCCCAAATGAGAATAGGAAATAACTAAAGGCCTCTTGTTCCGAGAAAGAAAATATATTCTCTCTTTCTCCTTCTCATTCCTATTCTTCTTCTTCATCTCAATCTGATATAACGAACGTTGTTTATTTTTCTTTGATTTAGATAATCTTCTAAATAATAATACCGAAGATTCTCAACATCGATCACAATCATCGTCAGCGACTCATTTTAGTAAACGAAAAGCTAGTTTTAGGTAATTGATTTATTATTCTGTGATCACTAACGATAAATCATCGATGTCCTTGTTATTCTTAGACGAATCCTCAAGAATCCCGTTCGACGCTTGAGTCTAAAAGATAATAGTAGTAAAGATGTTAAAACTCCTACACCACGTGATCTAGCAAATACATCAGCGTCTTCAGTGTCGGTCGCTAGTGCTGATGGTACAACGAAAAAATCATTCACTTCAATCAATTCCACAGCCGCATCAAAACTCAAAGTAAGTTTTACTTAACGAAAGAAAGAAAGTTGAAAACCTTTTTGTTTTTCTCTTTGTTGCTTTTCAAGGCATTCACATTTACAAATTCCGAAGATTTGACGTCATTTCCTGATGATACGGTATGGTGTCTTTTGTTTCGATGAGGCAATTTCCGTTTTGTATGTGTTTCTCGACAAGCTTGCAATTATGTTTTGTCATGTTAAAAAAAGAAGCCATAATAATAATAATAGAGCAAGAGTGTAAGAACAAAAAAAAAGAAGAAGAAGTTAGAATCTTATATAGGCTTATATTGAATTTTCAAGGCAGCTATCTCTCAATGGCATTAAATGAACAAACAAAAGACGACGAAGAGAAAAGGAATTTGATGCCATTTCAAGAGAAATAATTCGATGTCGATAGATTCTATTGAAATTATCAATTGATTGATTTGATTCGACTAGTCGCAGCATAAGAGCAGTGGACTCTCTTTTCCCGTTTGTTTCCCTGTTCTTATGCAATTCTTTGCCCGAGGGTGCCTTGAATCGCATATATGTGAACATATTATGAGAGCGAACAAAAATAGAATAACACAAGCAGTTTAATGTGATGTGTATATCTGTTACGTAGTCTTTATCGTGTTCTTTCGCATGACTATTACTAGTACTGGTCGTTGTCCTCATCACATCAATAAGCATACATATACACATCTTTTTTTCTTCTTTCTTTCGTTTTATTCTCTAAATTCAGCTTCTTCTTCTTTCGTAGGTAAAAAAATCAAACGAACTTGTTTCTCTCTTGTTCTTCTTCTTCTGTTCTGAATCGCGTTTTTTTTCTCTTTTATACTACGTGTATGTTTTCGTTCGACGTCGCCAACTCTCTGTCATTTGAATGATTATTTGCCTATACTCAATAGGTTTTTTTCTTGTGAGCATACAGACTTTAACTTAAAAGAAAAACACCCGTATATAAGAGGGGACAGAGAACTATTATGCCGCGTCTTCCGTGGACAAAAAAATATAAATTGTTACCATCATCAAAAAAATGGACTATTCGAAACAATGTAAGTTTTTCTATTTTGACATATTTCTTATGTTAGTACTCAACAGACACGCACATTGGTTGAAGTAAATAAGAAAAAAAATGATGCTGAACAAGAATAAGGAGAAGGAGAAGCAGAAAACTCATTCTCGGAAAGTGATGATGCTCGCTTTCGGCACCCATCAAACGACAAAAAAAGGAAAAATTGGTGTCGCCATCAGACCCGAGAGAATGCAAGAGGAAGTGAAAGCGTAATTCGATGCTACTTGTGTCGACGAGAAATAGAATGATGATCAGAGAGTATAGTCATATATATGAATTGACGATGCTTGTCGTTCTTATATACCAAATTCTTCGATCTTGTTAGTGGAGTTCGGAACAATTTTTTTCTCGCTTTTCCTCCTCTGTTTTTATGTGTTTCTCATCGAACTAAACGATTTATATTTCTACTTCTTTTCTTAGAATTCAGCAAGTCGGTCAATAGATGGTAATGGTGGTATTAATGGTATATACAAATTAACTGAATCCTCCTCGTCACCATCAGGTGTTACAGCCATTAGCTCGCCTTCAACTACACTTGCCGGTGATGATCTCGAAAATGATGTGATTGAAGTTCCGCCACCAATGGATATTCAAGCTCAACCGAAACTATCTGCTGATACCAATCTTGATAAAGTCACCACGGACGAACCTTCATCACTCGTAAGTTACTTCTAATCCATGTTAAAGTTTTCGTCCTTTGCTCATGCATGTGTCATCCTATCTTTGTTTGAGAATGGATCGTATTGCCCTGTCTCTCATGAGATCAGGTGACGTCAACGAAAAGAATATAACTGAATCTATATTAGTAGTAGTAATAGTAACAACGACAGTAGTTACTCTTTTTTTCTTTACTGTTCTTTCTCTCTCTCTCTGTTTCTTTCGACTTGTCTTCTTATATGTATATCGTTGTTCTAAATAGTACAAGCGTTATCTCGACATATTCATCACGTACATGTTATTGAGAGGAGACGGCGAAGACGAAGTCTATCGAAAGAATGTTGTTAATCAGCAAATAAAAATCGAAGAAAAACCCACTAGAAACACAAATAAGAAATAAATATCTTCGATCGATTATATTCAATTTAATACTAATACATGAAGTATTCTATTCAGCTAGAGTTTTCCCCTCTCGTTCTTGCCGAAAGTTTACGGGCATTGTCAAACATGAAGAATGTAGATAATCAGACAATTGTTAAGATGAAATTGTGTAACAACAACAACAACAACAACAACTACCATTACTACACTTGATCGTTCAGTATACGAACGATTCTTTTCTTTCAATTCTCTCGTCATCTAATTGTCTTGCTTGTTACTGCCACTGTTTCTGTTTCTGATACTTCATCGGTCGGAACGCACGCCTGCGCACACAGGCAGAAGTATGTGTAGGCAAGAACAGTAGAAATGACGTTGGGCGTTCGCATTTTTTCGCGCTTACTCTCGAATAAACGCAATAATAATGTTAGGCGACCGGGCGAGGCCAAACGACAACAGGACCAAACGATAGTAGCTGTTTTTCTTTCTTTCTTTGTTTTTTCCTTTTCTTCTTGCATTTTTTCTCTTTCACATATTCTCCTGCTCTTAGTTCCTTTTTTGCCACTATGCTTCGTTATTGCCTGGCTGGTGAATGAAAAAAAAAAGATTGTCCTCAGTCTGCCATCGACAACGACTACAACGTTCTAACATTGTCTTTCCTATGACATTTTCGTTTAATGAAAAGACGACAACAATAGTTTAACTAGCGGCAACATCATCTTTATCAACTTCATCTAAAAGACGCCGTGCACATTGTTATGTTTTGAGCATCTCTTCTATTAAGTTAGAATAGAAAGAACCTCTCACTTTGTCTTCAACATCCTATTAGTAATACTACAACTACTCCTAACTTGAGAAGAGTCGACGGGCGTGCATTTCCGCTTGATAGAAGACAGTTTTATCAAGGAGAAGATCGTTAGTCAGAGAAGAAAGATTCGAAAGAAATTACATAAATCAATCTTATCGTACAAAAATTGGTTAATACTATTGCACTGGAGTCGTCTAAAAGCAGTAGTGCTGTTAATGCATCATCGCGACTACGTAAAGTACGCGCTTCGCCATTAACAACTGTTAGTCCAATTGAAGAAGACTCGGTCATCGCTCGTCTTGTCCATCATGTTGTAAGCTATCGATTTCTTCATTTTTGTTTGCTCACTATCACATACGAAGCAACACTCATCGTTAGACTGGCAACTAATCAGAGATTCTTTTCGTTTCCTAGGCTCCTATCAATATCGTTGCTGGGTTATCAGCAAGTGACTTTCATATTCCAACTGCCTTGTCAGTGACGACACCATCCGTCAATGATGGTTCGACAACGAGCACTTCTATGCCATCGTCAAGTATTCCACAGCAATATTCGTCAACAACACCAACACCATCATCTCTTTCACCATCTCCATCAACAATAACAACGACAGCTAATGCCAATACATTATTATCTTCATCAGCGACAACTGTGATTCCAAATGATACTCCTCATGAACAAATCGATGAAGCATCTGTAGATGATATCGATACGAACGTCGATCAATCACATAGCTCGCTAACTACGACGACGACAGCCGATGAACATGTTGATGATCGAACAAAATATGGTGAAAAACGACGGTAGGGCTGAATGAACCTTCGCCTGTTTTATCTTGATGAAAGCATATTTTTAGACATAATATCATTGAATTAATTGAAACTGAAAAAGAATACGTCAAAGACTTAGCATTGATCGTAGAAGTAAAATCAAAATCTTAATCCGTTTATTCTTTGAAAAAAGAAGGGTCTTCTTTGTTTAGAGCTATATGAATATAATTGAAAATGATAAAGATTTGAAAAAACCGACAGGACTCATTGGCCTTGAACGTGTTGTTTTCGGAAATGTTCAAAGAATATATGAATTTCATCGAGAGTAAGTGTTTTTTCTTCTCAAATCGGGCATTCCTTTTGAAAACTTACTTTTTACCTGTTTCTTTTCAAGCACATTCTTGCCACAACTCGAACAATGTATCGAAAATCCTGACATTCTCGGTCGATTATTCACTGTATGAATAACGAAGAAAATTACATCCCACTTCATATCTAAACATTCTTTTGTTTTTTATAGACCAACCGATTCAATCCCTATGTACGATATTGTGAAAACAAACCACGGTCAGAATATATTGTTTCGGAATATCACGATTATTTTGAGGTAAGTGTCATTTGTCTACTCGGCCCTTGATATAATTGAAGATTAGTCCGATGAACGAGTTAGTCGTATATATAATTAGAACTTTACCGAACTTTTTCTTTTTTCTTTCTGTTGATTATTAAATATAAATGTTTCCTTTGATTCAATTTTCTATAGACATAAGTGTTGAAGTAAAGTGAGATGAATGCCGTGAAAAGGAAGAAGAGAAGAAAAAATATACTAGAAATGAATAATCATCGAATAAATACAATCACTGACGCACTTTTCAATTGATGATTTCTGTTCGAAAGAAAAAAAAAAGAATCTTATTGACTATGTTTAATCCGTTTATCTTTTCCTTTGATGACAACTATTTGTTAATGTTAGTGTAAAACTTTAATCAAAACAGTGAGCTGAAACGATGAGATACATGTTGAGTTTTTCGACCATGAAATTTCAAAGAGAATTAATAAAAACATGCACTTGCCTCAGGCTAATCTAGATTGATAATGACAGCTATCGTTCAAGGAATAAGAATTAGATAAGTGAGATGAACACTTCATCGAAGTTCTGCTACTGAAAAAGTGATAAATGAATTCGAGATGTGTTCGAACAGTGTCAAGGACATGTTATGTCTATTTATGAGAATTATCGATCAAGATATCGTTATGCATATGAGGAACAAGTTGTATCATGAATAAAACTATTAATCATATTCAAAAACACATTAAGAAGAAGAAGAAGATCGAGACTTGCTGTCTACGCGATTGCAAAACTCCCGAATCTCTGGTCACGTCTGTAATAAATGTCTGTGAGCTAACGAAAAAAGAAAACTTCGTACACCTTTTGTCTCTTTTTCTTCCATCGAACTTCCGTTCGATGATTGTGTTCGGTATGTAGGAGAATTTCATAAAATAAGATAAGATCGTAATCAATTTCCGTTGCTGCTCGTTTTACTTTCCATTCACCATCAATCATTTTGATTTTTTTTCTTTCAAGGAAATTCGTAAAAAACTCGGTCAAAAATTACTTGTATCAGATTTACTAATCAAACCCGTTCAAAGAATCATGCGTTATCAACTATTGCTCAAAGAAATCCTTAAATCAACCGAACGCATGGGTGATGAATCTCGTGCTATACGTAGTGCTTTACAAGTAATGATCGAAGTCCCGCGACAAGCCAATGATATGATGAATGTTGGGCGTATCAAAGATTTACCAACAAATGTTCATCAACTAGGTGAATTAAAACTACAGGATATGGTATTGGTCAGTGAACCCATATCGAAGGATACGAAAGATGCGAAAGAAGTGGAAAAGAAATTGAAAGAACGACGAGTATTTCTTTTTCAACAAGCCATGGTTTTCTGTGAAGAAATACCAGCGAAAGATAAATATTCAAGTCCAAATTATATTTATAAATATGATTTAAAAGTAAGAAGAAGAAGAAGTAAAGTTCGATGTTGATTTGTTAATTCATTTATAGATAAACAAATTGCAGCACAAAGAATTCAAACGGCATAAAGACGCATTTCAATTCACATTAGTCGAAGTAGATGCTGGGAATACACGTCGAGTCATTTGTCAATGTAAAGACGATGAACAATATGAATTATGGGTGACCAATGTAGACAAGGTGCTTCAACGTCAGATGGATCTTATCATAGGTAGCATATTGTTTTCTTACGAGTGATTTCACTTCAAAGCGAAACTTGTTTTTCGTTCTAGCGCTTACTAATCCTACAGCTGCTCTACAAAAAGAGTAAGTATTCTTCGAGGCGAACTGTATGATTTGCTTTATTATTCTCTTCTCATTTATATTTACTAGTCCTCGTTCTAAGTAAATACTTACATGCTTCTATATATTTATCCGTACATGTATACAGACCAATAAGAGAGAAAACTAAGCAGACAAATTCACATGCTATTTTCCGTAAGAAACTCCGTCTGTGTCACGTATTTACTCAAGTGTATTCATCATTCTATACCTGAGCTTATCATTCGTATGATCAGTCTTGTTCGCATGTATTTATTTCTATGTGTATTATCTCATTTCAACCTGCCTGTTCCTTTTCATTTTATGATTTTTGTCCATTATCTTTTGTTCTGTATGTTACGTCTGAATCCTAGGTTATTGACATGGGAATTACCTGAATGGCGTCAATCAGGTCGACGACATTTTACGACTAGTGCTCATGCATTTGTGTCATCACATGCAAATATTTGATCTAAAGTTGAAGACAAAAAAAAAGACACCCACCTACACTAAAAAGCAAGGATAATTTAGAAAGCAAAAATTTGCTCATGCCAGAGCTTTTGGTTGTGTTTTTGTGATTTGAGCTTATATGCGCTATGCTCTAAACTTAATACTAAACCATCAATCACTAGAAACGATCGATGTCGAATACGAATATCACTCACTGATGATTTGTTTTTTCTTTCTCTCTAGGCAAGATTCATCCATGTCATTATTTACTCCAACAATTGCCACAACATCTCGACATCAAATTAAGAAGTCTATGTCTGATCGTTCTGGTAAATCTCCTGAATCATTATCACCAACTCATCATTTATCTACATCACCAAAAGCGTCGAATTCGATGACATCACCTACACGAACACTATCAGGTTCCGATACAGCATCATCGGAGAATTCGACCAAAAAATCACATTTCAATCTATTCGATTCCATCCTACAACGTTCAGTAACCAAGCCACTATCCATAAATACATCAACGCATCATGAAACGACATCACAGAAACGATTAGGTACTCCGACATCTTCATCTTCGTCGACGAATAATACTCAACTACCTGAACAAGCACGTTGTTTGTACAATTACAATGCGATAAAAGAAGATGAAATCTGTGTGCAAAAAGGTGAATATGTACAAATCGTCGCTGCCAATCAAGATAATCGATGGTTTGTTCATCGCGATGCTAATCGAACATCACCCGCTGCTGAAGGTTGGATACCAGGCTTCGTTCTTGGTCTAAAAAATCCCAATTCTACAACATATCATAATTTGTCTCCATCATCAACTCCATCACCGTCAGCATCTTACCAACAACAACCAACATCATCCGTGTCTGCTAGTAGCCTTCATCGTTTAACCAGTACAACGACGTCTACGACGCATCATCCAACCATATCTTATGAATCAACTTTACCTCCTAAACCACAGCCGAGTACTTGCGATAAGGTATAGAAAAGTAAAAATCAGTCTGAAAAGCTTTCTTATTCTTCTGTTTTGCTGTGCAAATGTGTGCGCGAGACGAGGAGATGAATCTCTGTTAGAACTTGTTCTGCGAGCAGCAATCAAATATCCTTTATCTTTCTTTATGTATTATATACTATATTTTGTTTGTATTTTGTGTTCATTCTCTTTTTCTTTCATTTCGGCGTGTATTTCCTCAGTTTGCAAAAAAAAACAACAACAATAATGTATGTGTATGTCATTGTGTGGTTTTGTTTTATTTCGGTTTTTCTTTCTTCTGCTCGCTCCGCATTCTATATAGCAGCTCACACAAACATGTTGTTTTCTTCATTTTTTTCTCTAATTTTTTTCGCTGTTATTTTTGTTCCGACAAAATATTAATGATGATCAATTAAACTATGAGATTGAATGAAGTTACATTTCGAAAGAAAATCTAAATCATTTCCTTAACTGATTATCTTTGCTAACAAGAACCGCCATCCAACGATCACAAAATGACCTTGATCACATTCCAGGGAACTGAATCTAATGATCATACTGTTCGAATACATCGATATATCTTTATATATATTATGTAATCATACGTGTTGTAGTTATCTTTCTTTTGTCTGTTCGTGCGATGTTGTATCTCTGTAGTGTTGTTGTCTTTCTTCTTGATGGACTTATATATCGAGAAACAGAAGTCGACTTATCACTGTATTCGTGCTTTTTCTTTTCGTTCTAGCGTCTTAGTGGTGTTCTACGTCATTGTGGCCCTGAATTGAATCTCTCTGTTCATGAACGCACCCTTTTCCTTGGACAATCGCTATTTCTCCAAGGCCACGTGATTGGTTGTCCACGTCCAGCAATTGTCTGGCAGCATCCACGTGGCTATGCACTAATTGACGATGGAGTTAATGTTCACACACATTATGGTGAAGACGGAATTATTTATTTACAAGTATTTGACAGAAAGAAAAACATAATCGAGATTGATTCAGTGCAATTGTTTACTTTCAGCTTTTGAATGTGTCCGTACAGGACGCAGGCGTCTATGAATGTATAGCGACAAGTACACGAGGGACAGTTTCACAGCAAATCCATATTCAGATCAAAGGTAACCAAATGCAACCGAAGAGCATTAGCATTCGTTATTTTCATAAACATGTTTATTCATCACAGATTCGAATGATTATCATAAACTTGAACAAGTTCAGTGGGCATCCAAATATACTCCAAATGATTATCGTGAATTGAATGAAATCGCTCGGTAAACTTAAATGTACTCTGTTCATTTCATTTACATTTTCATCTTTTCAGAGGTCGTCATTCCATTGTTCGTCAATGTCTCCATATATCAACCGGTGATATATGTGCTGTTAAGCTAATCTCCAAAAAATTCATTTCACATGAACGGACTTTACATGAATATACTCTTGTGTCATCAATTCGTCATAATTCAATCATACGAGTATTTCAATTCATTGAAACCAATTCATTTTCAATCATTATTTCTGAATTGTATGTGAAAAAGTCGTTTGCTCTTCGATAACATACAATTTCTAATTTGATTTCAATAGAATTTCCGGTGGACGTCTATTTGATTATCTTTGTTCACAAACGCTAATTATCGAACAAAAAATAGCGAAGTATATTCGACAATTATTGGATGGATTGAACTATTTGCATCATTCGAAAATTGTTCATTTGGACATACAAGTAATTTGTGTTGTTTTGTTTCGATAAATATGAAGATGTGTTGCCTTTTAGCCGGAAAACATTCTGATTAACACGGAATACGATCAAATAAAACTGTGCGATTTCGGTGATGCGATTCGTCTATCCAATATGAGATATGCACATCGGACATTAGGGAATATTGAATTTGCAGCACCCGAATTAGTCAGTGGAAATATTCCTGTCCATTTCAAAACAGATATATGGTACGACACGCGATAGCATGGATTGTTTCGTTTATTTTTGTCTTTGTTTTAGGTCGGTTGGCGCTATTTTATACACATTATTATCTGGTCTTTCACCATTCCTAGACGAAACTGACGAACAAACGTGTGCAAATATTCTCAATGTTGATTTTAACTTTCCGGAGAGACTATTTCCTTGTGTATCTCGATCAGCCATTGATCTCATCGAACGAATATTTGTTCGTGAACCAAAGTAAAACATTCTTCGCTTGTTTCCACTTTCTCTCTACAATACGAATATTTCAGTGATCGTCCATCCGCCAGTGATTGTCTTATGAACGAATGGTTTCATCGTGCTGGCCAATATCAAATCTCGACAGTTAATTTGAACAATTTTATCGAGCGAAGAAAATCTCAAGTGAAAAGTCTTAATTAATCCATAGACTAATTGACGATCGTATCAAAAGCAATCGCGATCTCTCTCTCTTTTTGTCTTGGCTTTTTTTTTGTTCAGTCTGATAATTTCCTCTTCTAGAAATTCTGTATACGCGTGCAATTCTTCTTTCATATTGTAGTTCTTCTTGAATGAACGGATTTTCTTAATCTTGCTTATATATAACACATACATATATTTATTATTCTAGATCTATCATGCTCACAAGCGTTGTTCTTCTTGCTTTTACTGTCATTTGTGTTCAATCACAAACTGCACTTGTTCTTCCACCATTACCCTATGCATATAGTGCACTCGAACCCGTTCTTTCGGAACATTTGATGAGATTACATCATGATAAACATTTCGACACATATACAAAGAAGACCAATGAAGCATTGAAAACAATTATGGTTGATACCTCAGCTAACGAGCAATTGAAAGAATTAGCCAAGAAACCACTCGAAGAAATCCTCCATGATGTTTTACATTTACCTGAACAATATCAATTTGCATTGAGACACAATGGCGGTGGTTATTACAATCACAAACTTTTCTTCTCCATGTTGAAAGCACCAACTGCAACAGCTGCTGAAAACAAACCAACTGGCGCCTTACTCGAAGCCATCGAAAAAAGTTTTGGTTCATTCGATAAATTCAGAGAATTGTTCAGTGCAGCATCAGTCAATCTCTTCGGCTCCGGATGGGTCTGGCTTTACATCGATGCTCAAACTCATAAACTTGTTCTCAACTTCACAGCCAATCAAGATAACCCGTATGTTGTTGTAATGCAATCAGACGCCTTTGAACAAATTCCTTTCCATTTAGAATCATGTTCGACAAAAACCATGTTGTTCTTTTGGGTATTGATGTTTGGGAACATGGTTCGTAGTGAAATATTCAAAAACTTCATCTGGAAAATGTGCTTTTCTTTTCTCTTTAGCATACTACCCTGTTTATGAAAACCGTCGTAGTGAATATATTGATAACTTCTGGCGTATTGTTAACTGGCCTTTCGTTGCTCAACTCTACACCGAAGGTACAACCAAACGTGCTGATCTTTAAGTCAACGAAGATTTCCATGCTCAAGCCCGGCTGTTGATAGTTATTTTTTCCTATTTCATTCCTTTTTTATTTATTTTGTTTTAACATACGTGATAAAATTGGAACTTTCCAATGTTAAAAAAAAACACATTCGCATTTCAACTATTTTTAAGATCGAACTTTTCTTGCAGACTAAAGGCATGAAACGATTGGCTATTGTTCTCTTTCGATATGATTTACGTTTGCATGATAATGAAGTAGGTTCGGTTAGTTCGATTAGAATATGTATATGCATTTGATTTCTCTGTTCAGTTACTTGTCTGGGCACATGCAAACCATGATTATGTCATTCATACATATTGTTTTGATCCAAGACAAATCACGGATAAAACATATAAATGCGATCTTGTCAAATGTGACAAATATCGATTGAAATTTCTTATTGAAACTATTGAAGATCTCAATATATCGTTAGTCAATAGGGGAAGGTACATAATATGAGCATCGCTCTTTCATATTTTTCATTGTTCTCTTTCATAGTGATCTTCATACGTATCGCGATACACCCGAGAACGTTCTTGGACAGTTGGTTCAACAGTTCAAGGGTCAGTATGAGATTTCAATTGGTTATCATCAAGAAGCCACAAAGGAAGAAACCGACGTGGAAAAAGCCATTCAGCAACTAGCAAAAGATAATAACCTACACGTGAAAGAATTTTGGACATCGACATTGTATCATCCAGATGACCTACCATACAATAATCCAAAAGCGTAAGTCTTTCACACATGATTCTATTGGTTATCGTATAGATTTTGTTTTATGAACAGTTTTCCAGATGTATTTACACAACTTCGAGTAGCACTGGAAAAACAACATGTTCAAGTGCGGCGTTTGGTAAACCCACCTAATGCATTTAAATCATCACCAGATGGATTCCCAAAAACAACTATACCAAGTTTACTTGATTTTGGATATACAAGTAGGATATCATCAGTAGACTATCCAGTCATTAATGGTTGTCTGCTTGTGTTTAGATGCTACTTTACATTCGAATAGTGTGTTTATATTGAAAGGTGGAGAATCGTCAGGTTTGGCTCATCTTCATAGTTATATTTGGGAGAAAAATTTAGTTCAGTCTTACAAACAAACACGGAATAGTTTAACTGGTCCGGAGAATACAACAAAATTCTCAGCATGGTTGGTTAATAATTGTTCTTCTGAATTACCAAATAAGCAATCATGAGATCGTTTCGATTAGGTTAGCGAATGGATCTTTATCTCCACGTCAAATCTTTTTCGAACTAAAAAACTACGAAAATCATCAAGGCCAACGTGATGCTGGATATTGGATTATATTCGAATTGCTTTGGCGTGATTTTTTCAAATTCATTGCCATGAAATATGGCACTCGTTTGTTTTATAGTCGAGGCCTCCGACAAGAACCTTATGTCTGGAAGCATGACATCAAAGAATATGAAGCTTGGAAAAGTATATTTGTTAATGAAAATAACAGCTGAATAGATAATTGTGATCGTCTTACAGCGGGTAATACTGGTATCCCATTCGTTGATGCGAATATGCGAGAAATTATGGCCACTGGTTGGATGTCGAATCGTGGAAGACAAAATGTAGCAAGTTTCCTTACGAAAGATTTAGGAATTGATTGGAGGTAAGTTGCGAAGAAATCGGAAATGATATTTTGCATATTCTAATTAGATATGGTGCTGTATGGTTTGAATCAATTCTAGTAAAAATATCTTTATTTTCTTGTTCTTGTCATCGATTTTCTTCTATCTCAGATTGACCATGATGTGTGTTCTAATTATGGTAATTGGATCTATGTTGCCGGTATTGGTAATGATCCACGAGAAAATCGTCATTTCAACATGGTTAAACAAGGATTCGATTACGATCCTGATGTAATTTAATACTAATGTACTCATATAATTAATCAGATTTTGTTTCTGACAGGGTGTTTTCATTCGCACATGGTGCCCTGAATTAGCCCAATTATCTAACGAATACATTCAAACGCCATGGTTAGCACCGACGCACGTTCTTGCAGAGGCAGGGATTGAACTTGGTGTGAATTATCCTCGTCCAATGCTTGTCGTTCCTCAATGGAATCAACAGGTAAGTTTTGGAAATGGAGCTAAATATATGATTGGATCTTTGGATGTTGTAGTTTAAAAACCGGCGAACGGCAACTCAAAATCAACATCACACGCAACAACGTGGAATTAATTTCTACTTTCGAAATCACGATAAACGACAATAGTGTGTAACTCCAGTCTTCATGTACTCTTCGATGGTTATGGCATTTAGTTGTTTGTTATCTTATACTTCTATGGTGTTTTAAGTTCTTTGAAATAAAATTAATCGTACATTTTATCTGAATAGAAATTCAGTGTTCCTTTCACTGTATTATGAATCGACTCAGATATTTTGTACTTGTTTTCAAAACGATCACGTGCAAAAGCGTGCCAGTACAATCGATTCCGCGGAAACGTGATTTTACATAATCACCTATATGATCTTTGACAGAGAAGAGAAATTCACAAATATTTTTTTATTTATAATCAGATGTCAGTGTCGGATACAAGCGAAACATAAAAGAACGCTCACTTGATTAGACTTGATAAATTGTTAAAAGTTCTTGATAATTTATTAGGAGAATAATTAGTGGGTGGAAGTTATTGACAGAAAATAATGGAGTATGGTATTTCCTAGTACAAGTTCATGACAGTGCTTATTACGATGCACGCATTGCTAAATCATACTAATGAATCTTGACAGAAAAGCAGAAAACATCGTCGAATAGTTCTCTTCGACAACTGCTAGACGGTATGAATCTGTTTTTACATAACTGTGTAAATATTCTGCTGGCTTACGAGAAATATAAGAATATTGTAATTCTCCAGAACACTTTCTAATTTTGTCATGTAACTGTGAAGACATTTAATCAATAAAAGATTAGAAAAATCACTTTCAACAGGTAAAATTGTATTGTTAAATCGTTGCAGACACTCTAATTACTCTTTTAGTTTGATAGACTGAATCGCTTAATGCTTGTTTTCTAAAACCTATTTTATCTTCAAAGTACTTGTCACATTGTAATTGCTCTTGTAAAGATCATGGAAACATGACATTCGCACATCTCATCGTATTCTTGCAAAGTATGAATCAAATTCATGATTTCAATCAGACTAAGTACATTTTATAGCACAAGCAATTCTTTTTTCTTGTGAAGTAATGAATTTTACAAAGTGCGAAAGTCTAATGTCTTTTGAGGGATAGACAATCAATGGAATAAAAACTGTTATTATTTAATAGCATGTCTTACAAGTAATTGTCAGTCAAACAATAATCTTCAGTTCGGGAGAGAACCGTCGGAATTATATACTTTCATAATAACAGAAACTTGTCCATGGGATTTGGCAGTTTCCACCTGGAGTAAACTTTTTTTCTTTAGAAAATGAATCTTTTTTATCTGTTCAGCGTTCTTTTCATGTAATAAAATGATGATATATTTGACAAAAATAATATCAAAAATAAATCTAACGTTTTGATAACAATTCGTGAGAAACACATGAAGATTTCTAGTCCAATATTTTTATATTTCCTTCAACGCTTTAATGTAAATCTTGTGTTTAAGGCTGGTTTTCTATGAGCACCTGTATCACAAAGCTTAGTTATGGTTCAGCTGCACAAAAAACAAACACTAAAGAATAGTTGACTTTAATTTCTTATTGTTAATTCGCAATTTTATAGGCATATCTAGACGAGTAGTTATATAAAAAAAAGTTCCTTTTCTTCTCTCGACAGCAAAACACATGACTATTTCACCCGATCAGCTCGATCAGTTTAGTTTTTGTTGTTATATTTCAATTTGAGAAGGAACATAACAGCCTCTAACATTTGTCTGATTGGATACGCTACATTTGTAGATTATTTTTAAACAGTTCAGTTCTGTTGGGAAAAACACCTACCATTTACGAAAAATCATGATTACTCAATCATGTATGCTCTGGTATCATATAGTTGTTTTACACTGTGTCGCACTGAACCAATTTCGACGTGAGTTACGAAATTTAGAATGGAAAGAGTTAGATCGATGTATTTAGTGGAAAAGAAATCTCGTGTAATTATAATTTCTCGCGTTAAATTAACAAAAAAAAGTCTAAAGAAAGGGACAAAATATTCAATGAAGACAGAGATATAGTGTCACGTGTTCAGCATAATGCTGTTACTTGTAAATATAGAGCAACTTGATCTTTAAGTCACATGAAAGTTTCCTATTCTATCATTTAATTTGAAAGGAAAGGTTTTTCTCTCAAGATCAATATGCTCTCCGTGTCTTTTACTCTGAATCTCTGTAATCTATGTCGTTACCTTCTACTCTTTATTCATTGAATCTATTAAGAGTCGATGCATCAGTGTATTCAGTATATAATTTATTACACTGCGTGGTGTCGTAAAGTGCATCAGAAACTGTAAAATCATTCGCATAGATGTAATACTGGTAATCTTCATTAAAAGACATTAAATACAAAAAGCATCTTGTTATTATCCATTTTATTCCAAGATAGGAAGGCAATATTCTGATTAGATTCGGTAGAGCAAACACTTGAGGGCGAACTTGGAAAACGTCAAAATACGATGATCGAGTTAAAGTAAATATAAAGTTTTTGTGTAAGGGAGAAAAATTGCCATTTATTGCATAGACATGATGATTGAGTGTGTATTGTTTTTCAAACATTACTGACATTATGATAGGTCAACAGTGTCTGCAGTACTTATTCGTGCATTGGGGGCAGAGTTATGAGCGCAACTACGTCACTAGTAAAGTTTTCATCTTTTCTTCAGGATGTAATAGTTCCATAAGCAAAAGACTGAGATTTAAGTACCATCCGATCGAACTCGAAATGTTCTTCTTCATTTTCACATGAACATTTCACTAGTATCGAAAACAGTGAAAGAGTATTAAGTCGAACAGAGTACGTAGCAGATGCTAATCTTGCATGATAAAAAATTCTACTTTTTACTATTAATGAAAAGAAATTATTTATTACAAATGGAAAAATAGTCTAAATCCGTTCAGCATCGGTTTGAGCTTACTCTTAGAGGCGGTAGGTGAGAATAGGTGAAAGAGGAGACTTGCAATGTCCAATAATCTCGGGCCTTCAAACACATCATGCAACACTATAGCTCAGATAGTATTATCTGTTAGGATTAATATATTTGTTATCATGGAAGTTTCTGAAAACCAAATATGACCTTTATCTATGTCATGTAGGATGAAGAGCATCATCTTTCCATGCACTGCTCGTGCAAAGTAGTCAGGTCGTCTAGAACACTTCGTGCCGATATTTGACAACATCTATTACGATGTATACCTTCCTGTGAAGCACTATTCAACTTAATCTTGCGTTACATATCTATAACAGAATAACTATCTGCTATTGAACACTGTTATTCTTATTGTGTTTTACATTTTAGATTTTATGTAGAACGGGAGCTACCGAAGATAAGAATGAACGAATAATTTTAGACATAACAAGAAATTAGAGAGTTATTGTAAACACAAAACAAGAACTTAATGAATGAAATAAGGTGAGAAGTTCAGATTATTGCGAAAACATTTCTTGGACAACAAAACGAGTAGAAGGTCTATTATACACTTCGTTCTTATTCCAAGATGACATACCCGAGAAGACTGGTAATACAACACTTTTAAAAATAGCAAGTAAAATAGCCACAGTCTGAACTTGGTTTTAGTCGTGTTTTTCTACTTTCAATTTCTGAATTAGATTATTTAATTATGTAGAACAGAAATGATGAATGTTGTGGCGTTGAGTAGTATGCGTACGTCATCAAAGCACTGAACATTTACCTTTCTTCTCTTTCTCTAATATCTCTTAGCTTTGTGTGAAAGGAGTTTTCTAGATGGAGCATTTTTCTCTCAGTTACCTTTTTACAACATGGAGAAGTTCAGTTTTGAATATCGAACTCTTCGGATAACAAATTGACAAAACTTCACAGATATTTTGTTGCAGGTAATGACTAAACCATTTTCTCTTGTTCTAGAATGGGACTCACAATGCAACAACTCGCTTCGATTGGACGGTGGCTAAACATCTATCTTGGCTCGTTTATGCTCATTATTGGCCTTTTAGGCTCATTAATTAATCTATGGCTCTTCACTCGGCATCGTTATCGAAAAAGTCCATGTTCTCGATTTATTCTTACATCCAGCATATTCGATATGCTTCATTTAATAGTAGCACTCTTTCTTCGTGTGTTAGCCGAAGGATTTGATACTGATCCCGCATCATGGTCAACTGCTGGCTGTCGCATTCGTTATTATTTGTAAGTACGACTTCTGATAAAAGAATAACGGTAGGACCTGGATAATCACTCGCACTGTAATCACATTGTAATGAACGTTCTTCACATCCGAGGTGTGTTTTATCTCACAGATCAATGATTCTATAATTTAGAAATGCGCAAGTAAAGGAAATCGGGTGAAAAATTAACATTTCAGAGGTTTTGAAAGTATCTCTTCCATTGCGAGAGAACTTGGTATCCTTTTTTTTCTTTAAAAATTCAACCATTTGCATACTGATAACAAAAAATGTTAATGGAATATATAAGCTAATCTTCTTCATCAATGAGAAGACATATCTTAACAATTCTATTTCATTACTAAATGCTCTTCTTTCCATTGATAAACAGGAATTTCCTAATAAAATTTGAGTGCATAAAACAACAATCCAAAAAAGATATGTTCTAGTACTCAGTGCGCTCTAGATTGACGTAAATAGGCCCTTAATCTATATGATCACTATGTTTCGAAACAATATCTGAAAAGTGTGATTTGTTTGTGTATTTAATAGAATCACGTTTTCTGCTTACACTGCACTTGGCTGTCGGTGTTTGGCCGTTTTCGATCGTTATGCGTGTACTTCACGTTCAATTAGTTTTCGTCAATGGAGTTCTTTTAAAATGGCCTATCGTTTTATAGCCATCAATATTCTTATTTGGGCATGTTTTTCACTTCCCAATTTTCTCTTTTTCAACCTTGTGCCCATGGGCACACCGCTTCGTCTTGTTTGCTACATATGGAAGCAAGAATACTACAATTATTTTGCTTATTTTGTCAATCCTGTTCTCTATTTTGCACTGCCGTTGGTTATATTCATATTGTTTACCATTCTCACACAAAACAATCTACGAATGATGAAAAAGTCCAATCGAATCAAACGTCTCGAACGTCAGATGACATCAGTAAGATGGTTCCAACTTCCTTTTCAGCTCTTTATTCTTATCTCTTTATCTCTAGATGATTATTTTACAAGCAATCTCAAATTCTGTGTCGTCCATTCCATACGGTGTTCAATTCGCTTATTCTGTTATCTCGCATAACGCAAAAAAAGATGCATATCGTCTGGCTCAAGAACATTTATTTTTACAAATCACTCGTCTATCGTACTACATTAATTTCATAACAGCGTTCTATATTTATTACATCTCATCACAGCAAATTCGAGCTACGATTAAACGTCATCTAAAATTCAAAGAAGTTTCCAGAACGAAAGAACACACATCTTTGTTAAACCTTTCCAAAGAGTGAAGTGTGGGAAATTATATTCCAAACATAAATTTTATAAATCTATTTGTAAAATGATTTTTATTGTTATTTATATTTAAAAAATTTTGTGATAACAGTTCAGATGGAAGTTGATGAAATATGCGATAAAACGAAAGTTCGAGACACCGAATGATTTCTAGCAATAGCAAAAAAAAAGTACGACTAATTCAATCGGCTCTTTCCGTTCCGAAATATAGGCTATGCCTACTTGATCCCTATTACTAATAGAAAACGCTTATGATTTATAGGATGTCTGATGTGAAACGTAGAAATTTGATAATTTATTGCTTAAAATCAATATACCAATTGAGTCGAACTTCGTGTTTGACTTCATCATCATGTGAATAAGCATTTCGATCGATGTCACCGAGTTTGGCTCCCATAGCACTATAAAATCGGCATGCTGATACATTAGTATTTTGTGTTTCAATACTCATTCGCGTTGTTTTGCCCTGCTGTTTTGTCCATTCCAAAGCCCTTTCGAATAAAGCTTTGCCGACACCTAAACGTCGATGTGACGGGGTGACACGTAAATCGCATAACGCACATTCAGGCATCATTACAATAGCACCGCCGATGGGCTTATCATTTTGAGATTCATCAAGAGCAAGAAATATTCCCCATTCGGTAGTATCCATATCAGACCACGTCTCAGATGCGTTCAAATTCAATTGATCGTAATCTTTGACATACGGCGGATTAACAGGATGTTCAATGAGTTTGATTTCATTATTATCATCAATAACATCGTACACTGAATGAACCTCAAATGCTATTGATATGTCATTGAACTTTGACAGACACGAACGATCAACTTGAACAATACGAAATGCCATGATAAAGAAAAGTAAAAAATGAAATGGGAACCGATGACTACATACTTAGTTGGTTTTCAATATCAACCAATCAAAAGTTTCAGCTTACTTTATCAAAGATTTGAAATCAACAGATATATATATATATATACTGATCGCTATCAACAACATGCGATTGCGATCAATATTTTATTATGAAACAAGTTGTTCTAATAGGCAACACGAAGTTTTCATTCAATCCAGTCATTACCGAAATGATAATGAATACAATAACAACAACATAAAGAAGAAAATAAAAGTATCTGAATAATTAGCAAGAAGAAACGAGATTTTCAAAAATAAACAATATATCAGAGACGCGAATTATCTGACTAGATATCAATCAAATGGCACGAAGTTCATCAGTAAACACAGGAGAAAACCTATAATAGTTTCATACTGTTCTTGATTGTATCACCTGATTGAGTTTGAAAACCAGTGTTTGCGCTTTCATACGCATATCAGCATCAGTTGCCCAACAAGCATCAATTAATGAACATAACCCATCATGTAACTATTCAAAAGAAGTAGATTATATCCAATATAAAGAGAAAACACGAACCAGTGCATGTTTTTTATCATTGGCCTGTCGAGAAAATGTTGGTCGTAATCCACGAATTACGACGATATTGTAAATTTGAGATGCAAAACAAGATTCTTCCTGATTATTTGCTAAATATTCTTCGTACGGTGCTTGATATACTTCAAATAAAGCAGAATTCAGATAGATCCTTTCTTTATCTCCTTCTTATTTCTACCTGTCAATGGATAAATGTCACATTGTGTTAATATCTCCCAAAAAACCAAGGCCAACGCATACATGTCCACACTATACAGAGCATCATGTGTATAAGTAATGACACCTTCAAGTAATTCGGGCGCCATGTAACGCATTGTACCAATTTGCACGAAATCTTTTTCAGTCAACACTTGAGGCAGAATTGTTGCTACGCCAAAATCAGCTAAACAAAGACTTAATTCATCGTTGGCTACGAGAATGTTGGATGATTTGATATCACGATGAACGATAGGCATGCGAATATCACTTTGTCCCGTGTGTAAATAAGATATAGCTGATGCGAGTGAATGTAAAAATGTTAAACATTGTTTGCTTGTTAATGCACGATTTGATGTACGCAGATACGATTGAAGCGTACCATTATCATAATAAGGTAATAGAAGATATAAATGTGTACCAAATTGACCTTCGGAAAGAACCCTTAAAAGAGTATTATAAATATTCAGTGTAGATAAGAGAGTAGAATATGATAAGATAACATTTTCTCTTTGACAGAAACCGAGAGAAAAAGTAGAGAAGAACAAGGTTAGGATACAAGTCAAATAGATACTTTTCGATGTCAGTAGATGCACTGATATGGCTTTGTAATTTGTTGACCTCGACTCATCCAAAGTAAGAGTAAGACATTCATTTCTTCTTTTGCTTCGCGAATACAATTATTCGTGAATCGGATTATGTTATTCTATGTCAAGTACATAACTAGATTGTTGTGTGTAGCTTTGATTCATTTTATAGAAATGAGAAGTATAGATTTTCTAAAGACATACTTGATGATTGACTCATGTTTAATTGACCGCAATATGGTGACTTCGTTTTTCCACATAAGTAAATTGGCTTGTTTGTAAACTTTCAGAGCAGCAACATCGTTCTTAAAAATAGCTTTATAAACAGTACTATTTTTGCCTATAACTATCTCCTGTGCAGAGAAAAATAATTGTTCCATTAACGATGCTGATGATGGTGATTTGAGAAATGATGTCTTATTTTTCTTCTTATTGCTCGTTTTCAATGACTTCCATAGACTAAATATAAACGTGATTAGAATGATAATCATCAGGAAAATAAATATTATTAGGAATAATTTCCATGAAAAATGTTCTTGTTCAATAATAACAACATTGTTGATTGTGGTTGAATTGATCACACTGGCACGTGCTGGCGGAATACTTGTCCAATTCAATGTGCAGTTATCCATGGAACAGCAGCATGTAAATGTTTGTGATTTCATCAAATCCCTTTCGAGTATACATTGTTTTGACATTAAACATTGTTTATCGCTGGAAATCGCGCCCAGTTGTTTGATAAATATCTCTCCGGAATAGTTAGAATAGATGCCCAAGCAAACAGCATGTTTTTCGTCGACAGTTGGAAATTGACAATCAGTTTGACACGATTTAATGAGACGATATTGCGAAGCATTCTGCTGCCGAGGTAAATAAGTCGGACAGACAAGCGCAGACGATAGATTGATTAGATTAATAAAGACGAACAAACTTAGATTCGTTTTAGAAAGCATATTTCTTCGAGATCAAATCTTATTGCAGATTAATAACATTGTTATCGATCAAATCAAAACGAGATTATCGATTTATTTCAAAATGTACGGTTAAACGCAAAATGTGTGTCGGGTGCGTTAGATGTCGCTAGTTGAAAATTATTTGTGTATTCAAGAATAATTTAGTTAGGTATGAACTAGAAATAAAAAGAAAAAATTTCTTTTTCATTTTCAAATTCTACTAAAAAAAATTTTCCTAACGAAATTCATTCGATCAAATATTGATAGGTCTCTTGTTTATTTATTAATCTTGTCTTTGTGTTTTTTGTTCTATCAATAGCGTGTCTTATTTGATCGACTTGTTTATCTTCATGCGTGCATCATTAAGCAAGTCTGATAATGCATTAAGCAGTCTTACAAGTGTTCTCAACAGTCGATTCAAGCGCCATCATAGTATCGATGATGATTATCCTGTAATCTCATCATCGTCATCGTCAAATGACGACAGAAAACTTTATATCGATTCTCAAACTGATCATCGCGTGCCGTTAGTGTCTAATGAAACGAATAATCAACAAATCGTATTTGAGAAATCTGTATTCTCATCTGAACTGGTGGTAAGAAGATTTCGAGCACGAATACATTCATTTCACTTGTTCTGATTTTGTTTTTAGAAAGTTGTCGAATGGTTTAATCAACTCAATGATCGACAAAAAGAAACATTGCTTAGGGAATTAGTTGTAAGTGCATAAGACGTATTTCTTTCGTCTTTTCGAAGAAAAATCTCTTGTTGCTATCTCGTGCAAAGGCACGCCAGAGTTTTTTTTTCTTTTTATATCAAGAAATAAGATCTGTGGTGTCATATTCGAAAAGAATGTCTCTTTTTCTCCGTACTTTAGAATTCCTGTTCCAGCCCACAGTGGCACCTCCTATCACTTTTAACAGCTGATAATTGGCATCGAGATTGTCCATCGGACTGTTCAGATCCTCTGGCACAATTACCATTTGATATATCGTTTCACATTCTTTCCTTACTCGATCCAGGTTGGTTGCAAATTAAAAAGTGGCTTTTTTTTCTTAGGAAATCAAATCTTTTATTATGATTTAGTATCCGTATCGCAATGCTCTCGTGTAAATAAATTGTGGTATTATTTATGTTCTCATCCCGAATTATGGCGAAAACTAGCACAACAAAAGAAGTGGGCGTTTTCGTCACATTTACTCGATCAACAACAAATTCAAGCTTATACAAATGAACAGAAACAACCACAGGTAGAAAAGATCCAATAAGAAAAGAGTTAAAGGAAGATGATTTTCTTTAGTGGAAACAAATCTTTATCGAACGATATCGACTTCGTTCCCGTTGGCTAAACGGACGATGTGATGTGAAAACATTTCATGGTCATGTGGAAGGTTATCATAATCATTTACTTGACAAACTTTTATCTAACTCGACTCGTATCTCTTCAGGAGTATCTTGTGTTCAGTTTGATAGCCAAACAATCATCAGCGGCTGTACCGATGGTACAATAAAAGTGTAAGTTTTCTTTCTTAGTCCATGTTGGACTATGAAATTGAATTTGCTCTTTGTTTGTAGATGGAATATGAATACTACAGATGAGATTATAACATTAGTTGGTCACTCACGCAGTGTCAGATGTTTACATGTTGATGGAACGAATGAAGTACGATTAGTTAGTGGTTCAAATGATCGTAGTATCAAAGTAAGAAACAACGACTCAAAATGCAGAAATCTGTCAATTTTTTAATCGTGATGTAGGTATGGAGTATAGCTATTAATCAAACATGGTCAAAATGTGCGTGTAAATTGACGTTACTCGGCCACACGGATACCGTTCGCTGTCTGGTTGTTCGCGACGATATTTGTGTCAGTGGCAGTCACGATAATTCGGTCAAAATTTGGAATTTATCCAATGGTCTATGTCTTCGAACTTTAGTGTATGTGAAAAGCAGATTTTCGATGTTTATTTCTCTACAGCATAGATCTCATTCTAGTGATCATACAGATAAAGTACTTTGTGTTCAATTTAATTGGGAGTACATTGTCTCAGGATCAACAGATAAGACGATTAAAGTAGGAATTACAATCTGATTCTTGTGTTGTGATAGGATACGATTGGAAACTTTTAGATCTGGCGTTATACAGACGGTATATGTTTACGCACGTTATCAGCTCATAACGGTTCTGTCACATGTCTGTACTTTGATCAACAGCAAGATCTGATTGTGTCTGGTAGTTTGGATTATGACATACGTTTTTGGCATTTGTCAACAGGTGAATGTTGTCAGAAAATTGATTGGATATCCAAAGAAGGTCATCGTGGTGTCATACGAGCATTAAAAGCAGACAGTTGGCGTGTGGTTACTGGTGCAGATGATAAAACCATCAAGGTAAATATTTCACCGCCTATTGAATATTCAATCTGACTTCTCATGAAGAGAATACGTCACACGCCAAGTTTCCAACAATGTTTCGAGAGAAAATTATCTTTTTTTGCGATGTTATGTCTATTATTCCAGATGAGTTACAAGAAAGTAAAACACATTTAGAAAACTATGCATGATTACATATTTTCAAAGACGTTTGCGATTATTCATCTTGAAAATAGATTGCAAATAATTTGGTATCTCTAGTTCGAAGAAGAAAAAAAAGAATGTGTAGCATAGGAGAATTTGCAATGGCCAAAATTTTGTTTTCTTTTAGGTTTGGGATATTCGAACGGGCGTTCGATTATGTACACTAAAAAATCATACGGATGGTGTCACATGTCTTTCTTTTAATGATTATATGATCGTTTCGGGTTCATTTGACGGTAGTGTTAAACTATGGAACTTTCGGCCGTAACAAAAAAAAATTCAATTCCTTTGTTTTCTCTTTTGATTTTAAAACTAATTTGTATGTATTTGAATGCACAATTGAGATTAGTATTTTCTATTTTATATCAATTGATGTCTTTTCTGTTGTTGTTGTTGTTGTTTTTATTCAGGGAAATAGCTAAGAAAGAGCGAGCGAGAAAAAACATACAGAAAGTTCCATTTTTCTTGATGTTTTTAGATTTAATCTTTGCTCTTTCGTTTTTAATCTGATACTTTTCAAAAACAACAAACACCATGCGTGAATATAAAATCGTTGTGCTTGGAAGTGGTGGTGTTGGTAAATCAGCATTGACTGTGCAGTTCGTTCAAGGATTATTTGTGGAAAAATACGATCCAACTGTAAGTTATCGCAATCAAATTAATCGAATTTTAGTTTATTGTATTCACTCATAGATTGAAGATAGTTATCGCAAACAAGTCGAAGTGGATGGACAACAATGTATGCTGTAAGTAAAGTTGAGCTGACCAATTGCGTTCGATACTTACTTGTGTTGGTTTTTTTTAGGGAAATTTTAGATACGGCTGGTACAGTAAGTGAATCTGCTTACTTTGTCTGATAATTATTGAAAGTATGTCTGATTATAGGAACAATTTACAGCTATGCGAGATTTATACATGAAAAATGGTCAAGGCTTTGTACTTGTTTACTCAATAACTGCTCAATCGACATATAATGATCTGGTTGACTTACGCGACACAATTCTTAAAGTGAAAGATACAACTGATGTATGACTAGCTTTTTGCTGTAATAGTTATTCATTGCTTAAACTGACTTTTTTTCTTGTTTAGGTTCCAATGGTTCTTGTCGGAAACAAATGTGATCTTGAAGATGAACGTGTTGTTGGCAAAGAAGTTGGCCAAACATTAGCACGAAACTGGAGCTCAACATTTCTTGAAACATCGGCTAAACAGAAGATCAACGTGAATGAGGTAAATATAGTTTTGTTCTGTTGCACGTTTTTCTTTCTGCATGAACAGCAAACTCATCAATTGTTGAACATATTCAATCATCATACAACTATTTAGATCTTTTTCGATCTCGTACGTCAAATAAACAAACGAACACCAGTTAATAAAGATAAGAAAGCCAAAGGTAAAGGATCTAGTCAAGTAGGAAATGCCTATTCATCATCAATGGACAAGCATGGTTTCGATAATTTACAAGCCAATCAAGCATCTAATAACTCAAGAGATAAGCAAAATTGTTGTACACTTTTATAAGCTAGCCCATCCTTCTCTTCTTGCAATATATCCTACTTGTCCCTTTTTCGGCCTTATTCTTCTCTTCTTATTTTGTTTCTAAACATACCTATTCATTATCCAGATACGTGGTATTGTTTTCTTTTGTATCTAGTCAGAGAATATTTTCTTTAGATCTTTTTCGATTTGGTTCGTCGAATAAAACGAACACAAGTAATGTCAAAAGAGAAATCTCGTTCGAAACTTCGTTTGAATGCTGCTCAGCTTGATAATGAGATAACATACATGAAAAAAAAGAAAAAACATCATCATTGTCAAATTATGTAGAATATTTTTCAAAGCAAATCTTTACGCAGTATTAGTTATCTGTCGCTCTCTGTAATCTTGTGAATGATTCTTTCTTTTTTCTTGTTTGTTTGTTCATTCGACTGTCATCGCTGCAATGCATATAATCTACCTAATCGTTATGTTATGTTTTTCTTTTCTCTGTTCTTTACGTATGTAGATAAACAACACATCATTTCATGCTTTATTGTATACGGTTTTCGGTTTTCATAGAAAAACAACTTTTCCCTGTGTGTATCGAAATAAAATCAGTTTTAAGTATTTGTTAGTGTGTCGTCAAATGTTGAAGCAGTCAAAGCATCAGCGTGAAGCGATTGCCACGTTCTAGAAAACAAGAAACTAATTTGATCGAAGCAGATATCCATTTCACCATAGACTTGGTATCACTTGATTAGACGCATTATCAAAGTGTAACCCACAAAAATTCGTTTTCGATAGTCTGCTTATTTTCATAACGATCAATCATCGATTATTTCCATTGACTCTGTTTGTAGTACTACACAATGACGACAAGGTGATTTACTGTAATGGTTGGCCTTTTCAAATAAACGATATTTCAAACGCGAGAATGCTTTGAAATAAATCTGGTTTTCCAGTTGCAGTATCACATGTCATATTGCTGTGCATAACTTAAGTGTTCTGAAGTACACTAGCACGCTCTATATAATTTTCCTTGAGTGCGATGTCAGTAGTCATGAAGCGATATAATGGACAATGCATGATAGATAGCAAAGTAGTCGATCCTATTATAAAGTAAAGCGCCGAACGAGGGTTAGAGCATTTTACAACTCATTCGTTTTCGGCATCCACAATGTGCGCTGTGTATATGTATAAATTTCTTTGAAAATCCTGCGTGTTGGATTTCCATGCGTCGTCTCAAACGAATGTCTACGAATCTGTTAAACGCATTGGTTCTTAGCGATCAAGAAGCAATATTTGTGCAATATCGAAAAGAATTATTTATTATCTGATTCTTGGTTTTAGAACAAGCGACCAGTCAACGACGATCGAAGCATCAAAACAATGGTAGCTGGAACTGCTGAGTTATGAGATCAAATCAAAGCAAAAGATGCTGAAACTGTAAAATTTCGTGTATTGGTAATTGGAAAAACTAATGCGCGATTTGGCCAAAAGGGTGGAAAACTCAGAACAAGAAAACAAAGCATTGAAAAACGAGCTGAAAATCAACGCGGATCTTCGCCTGGATCACAAGGACCTATGTAATCTGTTGCGACGGCACTGTGATCCATAATCGTTGAAAATTGTGACACAATTGTGCGTAACTATGCTGCAGTCGTTAAAAAGTAGACACCATGGAACGATTGTAATCTCGCTCCATTCAAAAAGTCTTAGAAGCAATGCAGGATATCCTGGACACGGATCCGACCTTTTCTTGAATGGATTCAAATTCGCACACGCGTGTATCCCAACTCTCGTTTCGTTCGTTCCAACTAGAGCTCGATGAGCTCTATTGATTCCATTTATTATTCATCAATTTGTAATAATATACAGCCAAGAAAAATGCCGATTGTCAAAATATTGTGCCCATGCACATTGATAAAAACTCTGATTGGTGAATTCACATGAATCAATAGGTATTTTTCATATCGGAAATTTATCAATGATAAAAATTAATTCACAGAAGGTACATGTCAGTTTTATGCAAAAAAAAACACAGGTTTTTGAAATAAAACTATAGTTGAGCGAAATTTCTGGACAAACTGTTTTCTTTTCAGTTGACTTTCAAAAATATCGAAATTGACATTGTTGGTTCGCAACGAGAGAAATTCTTTCTCCAAGAAAAAAGAAATATCTTGCTTTTGGGCACGGAGAGAACTTATGACACATATTTAGTTTAAGAAAATACCATTTTTCTATTTATAATAAAGATATTTTTGAACATACTATCAATGCAAGACATGAAATTACAATGAACAGTGCAAATGACACTCGATTTCACATACAGTTGTTATACATTAGTTCTTTAGAAAATATGCTATAGTGTATTGTTTCGTAGTTCTAACTCTGCATCATTGGTTTCACTTTGAAAATATGTGTAAGATGTGAATATAAACAAATGGCTGCATATCTTTGCTGAATACATATTTATACGATTCGCTTACAAATCTACTTTACTGCTAGTGTAAGCGTTCTTTCCGAGAAAATCATGGTTATAGTATAACGAATTTGAGAAGAGAACTGCATCTGAAGTAACACTACATATCTCTAAAGAAATCAGAGAACGATATACAGGAATCAAATGTCGTAGCTGTGCTAGATTAGGCGAATCGCAGGCAAGTCCAGACAGAGACGATAGTGACACATAAAATTTTATGCTTTATTATATGCCGTTTTTAGTTTTCGTGAAAAACGTTTTTTTCTTCCCCTATCGAAATAAAAATCAGTTTTACGTATCTGCTGTTGTATCACCAGATACAAAACCAATTAACGCGTCAGCGCGAAGCAGTTTTGAATAAGGTAACGGATGACATTGATCCGAGAACATAATATCAATCGATTGACGAGAATTTCCATTCGGAGAACATCTATCCATTTGGTCAAACGGTGAGATATACATGAACGTTTCATGTTGGTCACACGGAGTTGTGTGAGATACGTTGCCATTGATACTTATGGAGAAGATTCGAGAAAGACTATTATCGTGATTAAGTGTATGATGAAGATGCGTTTGAGAAGATTTTAAATTCCAACAGAATGTCGCCGGTGTATGTTGTTTATTGAAAAAATTTTCAATCGTCGTTTTGTGCAAACGAAAATAGACAAATTCGCGAACCGCTCCTTGGTAGATCAACGCGAAACCAAAATATTTTGGGAAATATTGTCGAGAAGTCCTACGAAACACAAAAAATCATTTCTTTCAATCAGTATCCATCTTACCACTGATACATAAGTATACTGTTCCAAATGTTTTCAATCGGAGTTGTGTACCATGGGCTTGGTGCTACTTGATTAGGTGCATTATCAAAGTTTAACCCACGAAAATTCACTTTCGATTGTCCACTTATTTTCATAACAAACAACCATCGATTATCTGCGTTGAATCTGCTTGTAGTACTACACAATGACGACAACGTGAGTCGCTGTAATGACTGATCTTGTTCAGGTTTTTCAAATAGACGGTATTTCAATCGTTTGATATGAATATAAAAGTTTATATTAGAATATTCTTTCCAATTTCGGGTATCGCATGGATCGGTTGCAAACAATGAACATGTCGAATCGTATATACGATAAGTCATTGAAAGACATTGTTTATTTGAGGAACATAGACATTTGCATTCTAGTTCATTTGAAGTTCTAATGATGTAAAAGCCGGGTGTATTGGATATGTACGCTGTTTCAGCAAAGAATAAATAATCGCCTATTAGAACACCTTCCGATCGACCTGCGAACGTTCGTTTTCTCTCTCCAATAATTGTCTGACATTCATCAATGAATATATGAAGAAGAATGATCGAATGAATGATGATCAACGATAGATAGGTCGACATTTTATTGTCATGAAAAACAAAACATACGGATCTTTGTTTGAATTAAAGAAAAGAAATTTACAAAACAAATTGTCGCACATTTTGTCCTAAAATCAATCCATCCTTTCCGAGCGGCATTTAGAAAACGAAAGAAAACATTCGCTTAATCCTATAAACGATCACCAATGTCAACAATGCGAAATGCTTCGAGAAATTCATTGAAATCAATGACACCATTCTTATTAAGATCGATACTAGCAGCTAAATCCATGATTTGCTTTTCATCCAGTGTCGATCCATTGTGTTTACCGAGAAATGAACATACTTCAGTAAATTCTTGCATTGAAATAACACCTAAGAAAAAGAAAATCATTCTTCTGCTAATAGAATAGTTTTCAGATAGACATTTACCTGAGTTATCCTTATCAATCGCTCGAAAAACAGTTTCGAGCAGATCTTTATTTCGATAGATTGCTTGACAAAGACTTTCTCGTCTCTAGTAAATCGAAGAAATTAGGTATGCAACAAAACTCAAACAGATATTTGTCTTACCGTATTTGTTGACACACTCGATGTAAATTGCAATTCTCTCGAACGAAATGTTGACTCATAGACAACGTTTCCATTCGTATCCGTATCAACAAGCCGTGATTTTAATGTTCGCCATGGAAGTTGTAAATCAAGAACACGTGTAACGACATCACACCAATCATTGACAGATATACGACCTAAATCGAATTACCAAAATGAGAACATTTGGATAAATATCTAGTTTGCCTCTATTTATAGAAGGATTATTTTGAATTTAAATATCCAATCACATGTAACTAACATTATCCTGATTAGGCAACGGAATTCGATTAGCCTATAACAAAATTGTGCTACATATTTTTCTCGAGTAGGAGTAAGAAAAGCGGCACGTGTTCTAAACTGATTTATGAGGGTTGATCATTATGGTATGACGCATGTTTAAAATAAGAAACTAACATCACCTGGTAAGTCTAATTTCCTATGGCTCAATAGGCATTTTACGTCTATTTCCGATGAAGGTTAATAGAAGTTTTCTTGCTTGAACAAGCACAAATGAGCTGTTTTAATATACCTGTATTTTGTACGTCGAAAAGTTGAAATTCGTGCATAAGACGACTTTTATTTGCCGTGAATTTTTCGGCAAGATTTTTAATCGCTTGATCTTCCACATAGGATACTCTAACAAACAGAAAAGAATCGTTACATCAAGTCTAAAATCACTAAATTCACCTTTCCCATAATGTCAGTGTTCTCTGCGACGTTCTAGTCGACATAAACTGTACAATGACAACCGGCTGATTTGTCATTACTTTCACATACGCACCACGATTACTTCCGGCTGCATAATAATTCGACGCTGAAAATATTGTGAGTACCTGGAATAAAATATCACAAAGCTCCTTGAAATGATCATAACGACGAAACAAACTTTTTTGTCATGGCTATAGCCAAAACCTTCTTCTTTACATTCGTGGGAACGAATTAGTAAACTCCAGTTGTGTTTTTGTAAAACTTGTTGCGTTACATCTGGTCCCCAGTAACACCCGCCCCCACGATATGTATTTGGCTCACAACCATCAGATTGTTTCGGATCACTCCAAAGTAAATCTAATATTTGTCTCCATTCGAGTAAAATATCGTTTGGAATACTACTGATTTGGAATTGGTCTTCATTAGGAGGAATAATAAAACTCGGACTTAAGACGGAAACATACTGAAATCAAATGAAAAGCAATGAATCTGAAAACTTTCTTTTCACTATCCAACCTTATGACGTTTAATTTGATTGATTTTTTTTATATCAGTAATGTCACTAATACCACCATGTGTAACAAAGATATGGTCATCTATCAGACTTGCAATTGGTAACCAACTATAGATATTTTCCATTAGACGTAACAGTCGAGTAGCGTTTGATTTGTATTTGTAGATAATCTCCTTCATGAAGCCATATCTGTAGAAGATGAAAAAATGGAGATAAGTTCAAAATCTTATGAGAGTTGGTACGAGGCCTCATTTGATGAAAAGAAATCTTATATAGAACATCTGAAGAACCGAAAAGTTAATTGAACACCTCATGAAAACGAAAAGTGAACGTCCTACATCAGTCAGTTACCGTTTCGTTTCGAAATGGAGTGCTTCTGATAAGTAACATCCATATTTCTAGTTGGCAAGCAAAATCTATAGGAAATGAGGTGTGTAAAAGATTCTTCGATTTCCAAATGTGACCTCTGCTCATCATCCTATCATACAAGTCTTGCTATATAGATAAATCAATTGCATTTACCGTAAATTCAATACATGATCTTCATGGTTTCCGCGATTTAAATAGACATTATTTGGATACACAATAAACGCGACACTGATTAGAAGGAAAACTTCAATGCTTTGAAAACCCCGATCGACTATGTCACCATTGAATATGTACGGATTCTCATTCGATGGTAAGCCATTCTAGGAAAGAATCCAACAAACATTTCCAACAAAGAATCGGTACGAAACAATACCTTGTGAAAAATAACCATCAAATCTGCCAAACTCCCGTGTAAATCTCCGACAACTGTCACACATTTCGATTGGTGAGTGGAAACAATGTTTATATTCGGCAGACGTTTAAGGATGTTACGAAGTTCGTGGAGAATTAAAAACACATAATGAGCATGCAGCATCTGTAAGTGAAACAAAAGATCAGTATTATTTAATCTCATTCATCAGATAATTAGCAAGAATTTTCTAGAAATGCTCGAAGTCTTTTAATAAGAAGATCAGCAGGCTTTCGATAGACAACCTCCTGTGAAGAATCAAACTATAAGTACGTACTTCGCCTCGTTGAAAAGCAATAATTAGTGCTTCAAAATGTCCTTTATGGATTGGTGTGTGAATATGTGGTCCACGGTAGGAAGATTCAACACTAATAACTTCTGCTGTTGCCAAGTTTTCTGTCTCGATCTCTTCGACTAAATAAATTTATGTTATAACTAATGCTTGTTTTGACAAAGGGAAGGAGTGTTGTGTACCTAAACCTGTGAGACTTGAATTCCGTCGAAGAACTTTGGCAACTACTTGGGCATCATGAGGGTTTTTAGTGACGGCCTGCATTAATTCGAGGAAGAAATTATAAAGCTACAAATAAAGACTAATGTTTTTTCGTGAGACTATCTAAATGAACAAGCATACTTTGAGTTGATCTTGTTCACCAGCATACTCGATATTTTGATAAATCGTCCAAGCAGTTTTTCGTCGCATTTCATACAAGGCACGTCGTCGTCGAAACCATGTTTGGATTATAACAACAGCTGCTAGAGCTGAACACGCACATACTTTTCCAAATCTTAATTTCAGGAGTTCTATACATACTTAAATCGGATTTCTTTCGCTTAGGCTTTACTGGCGATGTTTGTGCTTGTGCAAGTAATTGATGTGCTTGTGTTTGTATTTGTTGTTCATGTTCGGGTCGAGTACTATCCATAGGAACAATCACACCTCGTCGAGGTGGTTTAACTATTGGTGGACAACAAAAGCATTTCCATTTTTCAGGTAACATTTCAAACTGAAGTTGTTCAATCGATCATGTTTATACCAATATTTGCCTGTATTTCTCTTCGTTCGTTATTTGATATCTTCGTCTAACTCAAAGAAAAAACACACGTACATATTGCATGTTTTCTCTTTCTATTCTTTTCTTCGTCGCGTCACTTTATCATCTCAACCTACTAGTGATAATCTTCTTTTCACCACTGCTTCCTGTCTTTTCTTTGTGGAAGAATCTTTCTCGCAACGTTATCTCACATTTACTTGCTTTTTTTCCTCGTTTTCTCCGCTGTCTCGTATAATCATCTAGTAATTTTCTAACGGCTTTTTCCACATTTTGATGTGACATATTATTCTTCGTGCGAGTGAAGTTTTTTTTTTTTCATTTGCTGTCATCTGCCATGTTTGTGAGGATGTTATTTGTTCCCTCGCGTCCTCGTTAATGACGAACTAGATTAATTAATTGGAATTAGTCGCAATACAAGATTCTATATATTGTTTTTATTTTCATAAATTCATACAAAAAAAATACAGATAGAAATAAATGTTCATACGAAGTAATTAACTTTGCTTTGGAATTTTTCACAACACAAAAATAGAGAGGATTTAAAATAAACAAACAAGGAAGGATAGAGATTTTCATATCTGACAATGAAAGGAAAAAAAGAAGGAATTTAATTATGCAAAACCATGCCGAGCAATGTTTGATCTTGAAGGGCATCAATCAGTACGTTCTCTTCAACTTTACCGTGGATCTAAAAGAAAATCTTAGTGAATTTCAACCATATAAGTTAATAATGAAGTACCTGATCATCTTGCTTAATTTTACTTTTTGATAGGACGATTTTCACGAGTCCATGAGCTTCCAGTGCATCGACTAAACCTTCGAATTCCAAACCATCTGCTACTGGAAGTTTATATTTTGTGCATAAATCATGAAAGATCATAAATAACTACAAAAGACGAATATAAATTATTGACGTTGAAGAGTCTATTATGCATCGCAATGTTTGCTACAAGATGATCAATGGGATTGAACTCGTCTTACTGCTCACACGCTGATCGTATTAGGGTGATGCAACTGTCAGCATCAATGAATATTTAATAACGAACTAATTTCGTTGAGAATTGTTTGGATATAATACAGAATTTGTGTAAGAATGTATTGAATCTCGTATTACTGAAAGATGATCTGAGTTTTCTCAAATTACACTTGCCTAGTTTTCTGAGTGGGATTCAAAGGGAATCGGAATCGCAATCAACTTACCTTTGCTCGTGTACAAACACGCTTTTTACTTGCTCTCATACACACGATTAATGAGCAGAGAAGTAATTTTTCGAATGTTGGCAAACTTTTTGTTTGAATATGATCCGAAGAGTTAGTATTTTGACTGCTATTAGTAAATACTTCCATCATTTGGGTAACACCAACGTTCACTTTGGTTGGTGAATCCTTCGTTAATTCTATTGATTGACTAAAACAACGAAGAACGATCACCACAAGACGGTTTTATTTTTAATATTCAATCTATTGTGTTACTTACCGACAAACATCGAAAACAGTTCGTAGATCTCCTGTTGTGGACGCAACTTTGCTTGCACATAACATTAACGCGTTTCTATCGAATAGCTCGATAGAACCCAGACTAAAACCGAAAAAATTCATGATACATATATTTCGTCGCGGAAAAACTCATACCGATCATTCACGATGGATAACATCTGTTCGCGATTATAAGGTGAAAAACGTAGTAGATGTGGTTTATGCTCAGGTTTCAATTGCAATCGAGGTAATAATCGATCTGTGAGATCCAATGAGTTCGCAATACCTATTAATCGAAAGAAAGCTTTGCAAAACAAGTCAACCGGATGTTTTCCTTTACCGATCATCAGTAAATTTGATGTTTGATGTGGCCATTCGAGTAATTTATAGACGTTTTCCATGTCACTTGATGAGAGTAATTCATCAACTTCATCGAGAATGAGCAAAACAGGTAAAGGATTCTTTTTGACATGCGAAAGCGCTAGTGACCACATATTTTTAGTTGTGATTTTTGTTTTACAATTGAGTTGTTCGAGTAAATGCTCGAGAACATCGCGGACTATATCCATCGACATACAATTGAGAAAGATAACTTTCAGTTGATGCGCTTCCTAAGTAGAAAAACAGAAGTTAAATATCTAATGTGATATGTAGAATACTTACGACAAATGTTGTCGTTACACTGGTTACCACAGCTGTTTTACCTGTTGGAAAACATAGATACGAAATGTACTCAGACTGCCTGTTCGCCTTACCAGTGCCAGGTGCTCCGTAGATGTATAAACAAGGATTATTAATAGATCCATTTTCATCACTTGAATCGAGGACTTTTTGAGTGCAGAATTCATGGATGAGACGACGTTCTTCTTCGCGGCCACATATCTGACGAGTAGTATGAGAATGAAGAGCAATTTTAGCTGCTGAGACTTCTGAAGAACACTGATATATAGATAATTGAGTAAAGCTATGGAAGATACTCACGAGGATTGAGAAGACGCGCTCGTCGTGCTGGACTAGCACAAGTGCTATCAATTAACGAAGATGACGAAATGCATGAGTCTTCTTTGGCAATATCAGTATCTGTTGCAATAGGATGAAGAGCTTTGCGCGTACGTTTTCGAGTTAGTTTTACAGGAGATGATTCTAAAAAGAAAGATGATTATTCGGTTGAAAGGAGATTAAGAGAACTTGATGAATAAGGATATAAGTGTCATATTGATACTGAAAAGGTCTTATTTTTGGAACGCTCACGATAAAAAGTGAAGCTCTCAGAAGATTGTGACAAGCAATTAGTCAACATGCAATAGGACGTGCGCAAATGGGTCGTGAACAAGAGTTGGAAGTACTTAAGTGAAAGAAATGAAGTTATTTCTAGATTTGCAACTCTTCAATTTCATCAATTAGCTGTCTCAAATCTTAACTCATCCTTTTTCATATACCTTCATTTGATCTTGGTTGTTCCACAAGACTATTGCGTAAACCAGCGCGTGGCATGATGATGTCTAAAACAAAGCACCGTCTAAATCTGAAATAAACAAAAAAAAACAGACAACACTTTAGTTTTAGGCATATTCATACACACATGCATGTATATTTTCAAATATATGTATATATTCATAGATATAAAACAGCAAGAAGTTATTTATTCTTTCCAATTTAAACAAATGTAAAACGACAGGGGGAAAAGTAGGCTATTCTGAGATTTGTTGGATGTGGCCGATTTCTAAACCGAATTCATTCATTTTTCGTCTTACAAATGTATCAAATGCGCGTATGTCATTCGAATGATCTTTCTTCTGATTGGCATAGGCGCGTCCAGCTATTTCTAATAGACGGCTAACATCCGCTGTAAACGTATAAGCATTAGTATAATATTTGTTTTTTAATCTATCTTGTATCATATCCAAATCGATAGGAAACAATGGTGGTGTGGATAAATAATCTTGAAAAGCAGTTCGTTTCTGTACATGACTAGCATAAGGATGTAAACGAATCTCTTGATAAACGCTTTTTAATGTAATATACAATAAGTTAATATCAACTGAATCGTCATTAGAGATTGTGTCATTCGGATCGTAGTTAAGGAGACCTTCGTAGTTACTCAAGTCAGTTGTAGGAATATCATTGGAGAGAAATTTCGCATCGGGATGGGCTAGTTTGATTTGATTGTAACGATGCGATCGAATAACATTAATACTTTCTTTAATTAAGGATAATGTTTCGGTTAAACGTGTATATGTCACCTGAGTATAGAGTGAACATTGCATTAGAGTTGCTCCATCGTAATCTTTGATGTAGCCCGTATAAACTTGTTCATTTAATGTTATAGTAGATGAAAAACCTTGTTTTTTGAAATAACCAACCTGCAAAGAGAAGCATTATAGGATATGTGAAGTACTACGAAGAACATACAGCAAAGCCATCGGCGTAGGTTAATAGATTGGTTATATTTAATCGTATATGATAGTCTTTTAGATGATTCATCAGATGCGTACCATAGCCACGTACTTGTTGATATTCACTTACGGCACAAAAGACGATTTCAGAAAAATTCCTACACGATGAAACATGAGAATAAAATTTGTAAAAAAAAAGAATGAAAATCAACTGATAATACTCAACATACCGATGCGGAAACATCCGAAAACAAATGCCACCGATAACTTTCGATGCAAAAATAATAATTAATGATTGATGTCGCGGGTCCAGTACCGTACGGGCAATATAATTCTGTGGCATTTTTGGTAGAGCGCGTGAAAACACGTTGATTAATTGTAACAGCCTTTTATACATCAAATCTGTTTCATCGGCTCCATGTTTGCTTAGGTCATGTTTGATTAAATGAAATTCGGCAAAACCTCGTTGTTCGGCAAGACGTGCGACTTCATCACGTTTCGGATTAGCTTTGAATAGAGTTTTCTCGATTTCAGCTTGTAAACGTTGCTCATGACGATCACATACACAAGTCCAAACTTGACTGACAAATTCACTACCAGGTGCCGAAGATGAATTTTGCTGTAATTGCTGTTGTAATTGTGATGTTGACGAAGATGCTGCAGCTGATAATGACGATGCTGATGAAGAAGCAAGCATTCGAATTGGTTCTAATCTTTTCAATTGCTTTTTATTCGTTAATGCTTTCGACACGCGTCGAGTGATCTTCTTTTCGGTGGTTTCATTGATTGCATTCATTGGTGCATTGGATGAGTCATTACTCGCACCTAATAGTGATTCAATATTGGCTTCGAGCATAGGTAGGACTGGTCGTTCATAGGATGTTGACCAACATGGTGCATCGGGTTCAAGTAGTGTTTGTTGAAAAGTGTCGAAAAAACGCAACAACGATGGCGTTAACGAACGCGACGATAGCATATCTGATTTGAAATGTTCAAATATGAGTAGAAGATATTCTTGGCCAAATATGGTGATGAGATCGTATTTTGTCAAAGATTTTGGACATAGTTGAGGAATAATACAATAACCGACCCAGCGAGCATACCACAGTTCATAATTCGTGTTCTAAAACAAAAATCAATCAGAGATAGTTATATATTTCTTTCTGGTAGGTACTTTTCTGATATTTGTTTGCGGTGATGATTGCTGCTGTGCCCATAGTTGATGAGCGACATGTGATGACATTTTCCATGTATTTAACAAATGTAAGAATTGTTTTCCCGCTTCGAAAACAACATGTATTTGCTGATTATCATTTGTTGCTGACGAAGTAAACGTCGATGATGTTGAACAAATAAAATTAATCACCGCATCGCGTATGCACGGTTGTTCGAATGGACACATTCCCAATAAATTGACCATATTTGATTGAACTAATTCTCGTCGTGTTGTGTGAATGGCCATTGTTGTAATTGTCGATTGTAAGGTTTGTGCAACAAATAGAAGCGTTCGATTCGTTGATAAATCATGTTGATCAGACAGTGACGATGATGTTGCAAAACGAATCAAAAGATCAGCATCAAGTAAGGTTTGAATGGCTGAATCGACTTGCTCGAGTGAAGATTCTGATGACCAATATTTTGCTTTGGTCTTTTCATTGTAATGCACATCAAATGAATGTTGGCATGCAACGCATAATAACGGTTTACGCGTTATCGTTGTATCATCATTGGTTGTGATATCATTGACTATAATTTCATTAGGTTTGATCCATCCAGCACACAAACATAATGGCGCTGAACATTGAGAAAATGACGAAAGTAATTCGATTTTACGTGCTACAGGCCAATGTAAAATTGTCGTTAGGTTGCTTTGCAGTAATGATGAGGTGCTTATGTCTACCATTTACATCTGAAAATGAACGAAAGATTATCTTGATTGATCACTCTATTTTAAAGCCTAAATTAGCAAGTTAAACACTGAAAGAAACTTGGATAGCCCAATGATCGGAACAAAATCGTTGAACAGATGGTATGATATCGAGACCTTTCAATTCAAAACCAACTGGTTGAAATTTGATAGAATTATCGCTTGATGATCGAAAATATAAACGATCAAAGCGCGCTCGTGGTCGACTTGAAGACATTGAAAAAGTCTTATTGGTATTTAGTTGCATGTCCCACGTATATTCACAATCAGTTGGTTTACCATTAGCAAACCATAAGTCATATATACCAGCTGGAACGTTACCAATTTTGTATAACTAGGGAAAAAAGAAGTTTCGTTCAAAGCTCTTGTGATGTTTATTGTCGATGGAGAGCACTAAAATCAAGTATTCATACCTCTTTTTGTCGCATATTTAAATCACCACCGAAAATTACGAAATGGTCTGATGGGGCATCGAACATTTTTTTAAAGCATAATTTCAATTGCTCCATGCGTTCGTGACTTGAGCTCTCTTCTGTGCCACTTTCGTGATGCGATGTCATCAGATCAATATTGACGGTGTTTCTGTATCTAGTCTATCGGAACAAAAAAGCATTGTATTTGATAAACAATGGACTTCATGTACATGAATTATTAATAAGTTTCGGCCCATTTGAGTGCCTGGATATGGTATCAAATTCAAACTTTGAACTGTAAGTGTTGCTTTACGAGTTAAAATCACCACAAAATAATTTTGAACATTTCCTAAAAGAAAAAAAAAACACAGTCAGAATTTCTATGAATGATCATATCGAATCTAACCAAGATGTGCCTCGTATTCCGGTAAATGTATTTGAATCTGAGAAAGTGAAGATGGAATAACTTCTTGCAGAAAGACAGCATCGGGTCTTTCTCTGTCAAGACAAAGTAAATTTCCTGAAAATATCAGTTCAATTGCGGGAAACTACTTTTTTATCACATCGATAACACCTCGTGTTCGAACTTCCAAAGCATCTGTATCGAGTCCATCGATATTCCATGAAAGTAATTTGAATTTTCGACTCTCCTCAAATAGTTCACCATTACTATAATTGTACAAATCGAAAAATTCTCTTATTTACATTTTCAAAATCTTGCTATACTGACGATGCTGAAGCTTGCTCATTGTTTGGTGTATCAAAATAAGCACCGATCGCTTGTTGAAGATTCCATTGATTTTTTTGTAGCATCTTCTTTGCTATATCTACATTTGTATTAGTAACGGAGATAAATTCTTCATAGAGAGCAGCAATTTGATTGTCATTGTTCCAGTTGTGATTATCATCCGATCGTTCTCGACCTGTTTGAGACGAATTGTTCATTTTTTGCGTTGTACAATTCAGGTAGATGAAAATTTTTTGTTCAAAAGGAAAAAGACATACGGTTGTTCCTTGTTCTCAAATGATCCAATCTATACCGAGAAAATTTGAAAGCCAATAGCATGTGTTAACGACATGTATCAGTCACTGGCGACCTCATAACATATGAACTGCATACATACGATACATTGTATTCATGTTGTTTGCTAATGAGCTCAAAATTCATACACTCATGCACAAATATGTGAAAACTAATTAGTTTTGTCCGCGACAAACGGTTGTCAAGTGTAAAACAACGGTGAAATTAGAAACTGTGTTCTAAATGAAACCAGTCTAAGTATACTCGATAAAACTGAGCTGTGCGTTGGTATTAGATCGAGTATTTGTAGAATTTATTTGAAGAATATATTAAAGGGATAAAATACAATGACGAAAGAAAAACAGTCAAAATTTAGTTCAAGTGTTCTTTGCATCAATTTCCTGTGAAAAAAAAAAGTTCAATGTGGATAGAAGATGGATATATGATGATGAACTTACTTTGCGAACAAAAGCCGGTAACGCGAAACATGCACGATGAATATCGGCTGTGTAATATTTCGCATCGAGTTGATCAGCTATATCGATATTGACGGGTTCGTTTAATTTAGCATCCTATCGAAAATTACGTAGAGTAAGTTTGAATCGCTAAACAATTGACTTACTTTATTGAGGCTACAAACAATGAAACCAAGTGCTCCGCATGGATATGTCGGTGTGAAGACATTGGCGTAAGCAACCGATGGAAATAATTGACGACCAATTGTCATCAGTTTCCTGATCAATGGTAAATCTAGCCAAATACATTCTCCTTGGCAACAGATAACACCGGATGGTTGTTTAAGAGCTGATTTCATCAGTGAATAGAAGGATTTTTCGAATAATCCTTCAGCTGGACCTGAATATATATTTCAACGAAACAACTAAACGCATCATCTCGATTATAGAAGGTTTACCATCAGGATCCGATGAGTCCGTAATAATAACATCGAATTCATTTGCATGTTGCTTGAGATATTCGCAACCATCACTAATAATAACTGTCACTTTTGGACTTGCAAAACCTTTCGCCATCTCAGGGAGATATTTTTTGCTTAGATCAATAACATCCTTAGAAAAATACTTTCATGATTAATTCATATTTCTTGAAATTGTAATTTTACTTGATCGATTTCGCATAGAATCACTTCTTCGACTTGCGGATGCTTAACAACTTCACGAATAACACCACCATCTCCTCCACCGATAATTAGAACCTATAAAGCAAGATATTCGAACCTGAATTAGTTGACGAATAGCTTCACAATAGACTCTAACTTACCCGCTTCGGTTCCGGGTGTGCAAGTAGCGGAAGAAAAGCAGCCATTTCTTGATAGGCAAACTCATCTCTTTCAGTACACTGAATACAATTATCCAATACCAGTACATTGCCGTACGTTTTACTATGACAGTAAATGAATTAAGAATATCGAGAAATATGATAACTGATCATCTACCTTTTGAAGATCAATATATCTTGATACTTCGATCTTTTCTGGCATAAAATCTCTTCAATTTCAAGGACAAACTCTTGTCCTGGCCATAATTCTGAATTCGTTTCATGGAACCACTTTTTATCGTTGGCGTCCGTACGAATTGTCATACACACGATACAATCGATGTATTACCAAACTCGAGTACTAGAAACAAAGGAAAAACGATACATTCATTCTTGATTTTTTTATTTGTAAATCAATACGATCCTACATCTGAAATACGACTGTTTATATACGTTTTTCATTGCTCAATAACACCTATCGTCATAGTATTGCGAAACTTCTATTTTAATACAAACAAAATGAATGTTACCTTTTCCTACCTTACTCATTTACTTAGGTTAACAGACATGATTATTTCGAAAGTTAAGAAATTACAAAACAGCGCAATACAAAGTGACGATCGTTTGCACTCAAAGTAAATATCACATACTTCTCGTCCTATTTTCCTTTTCAATCTTCGCCGAGAAAGAAAAAAAAAAGAAATGATCTTAGGTAGAGAGTAAACATTTTTTTCTCCTTCTACAAACTATTTACAGCAAGAGAAGAATAGATATTCCACTGCTTATACTATTTTAAGTTAAGGAAAAAAGTGTTCAAAGAGTACTCGTCGAGTGTTTACATCAATCTCTGGATGTTTTCTTTTCATGTTATAGATGATGAAATGATAATCATGTTTATTCAATCACCAGTTAAGTCAATTGTAAATAATTTCGTTGGGAACAAAACATTTCAGTAATGTTCGCGAATCTCTCTCGTCAAATTCAATCAACCTTGACACGATCAAAGAAAAAGAAAACAACAGCAACTGACTGAATGTTGACGAATTATGTTGGAAAAGAGAAAACAAAGTCTAAATGATTAGAAAAAGAGGAAAGAATGATTCATTTCTTTCTCTTTTCAATTCCGCATTAAGTTAATGATGATGATCAACATCTGTTTGCATATATAATTATACTGTTCATTGATATGTATTAAAAAGAAAACGCGATTATCATTTGTCATTTGCTACACGATATTTTGTCTCTGGACCAAAATAATTTGTCGATAGGATTCAATTACTGACATGACAGGTAGCTGTTCTATGTCAAATGAATCTCATTGGGAATAGGTTAGCTGATAGATTTATTGAAAATGAAATAGGTTTTTTATTTTCTTATACAGTCATAAAATTCTGTCTAGAGGCGTGTCTCAAACTAATTTATTATCGGTCGCCACCATCGAATGGCTTTTATCTTCTGTCAAACGTTTTCTCTCTCTCTCTCTCTCTCTCTCTCTCTCTCTCGCTCTCTGCCTTTTTTGATCTCATAACGAAAAAAAAATTGAAGAGATTAACGATATAATGTGACTAGTGAACAAATTCTCCAGAGAAAACCAAATCAAGGTGTATATAGAGAATGCTATCTGTTTCACATTCATTAACAATTCACGAGTCAATTATGTTCTACGTCAATGTGTTGATTATCGAATTAATTTGTCACACATATAAAGCAACTGTTATTCATCTCATTTCCTATTATCATATTCATTTTCATTTTCACAACGATCATCATCATCATCATTTTCATGCTCGGAAACAATAAACCGTTTTCCATCGAATACTTGATTGCGAGAAAATCTTCACCACCACCATCGCCAATACCGTTAGTGTCATCTTCATCACCGACTTCACGTTTTCTCTTTCTTCATTCACAACTATATCAATCAACAAACGATGAACATTTGGAAAAGAAAGCGAAAGTTACGATGCTTTCACCACCAGCTCAAACATCATCGACAACCTTTCAACAATTACCATTCGAATTGAAACGAATGCGTACAGCGTTTACAAGCATTCAGCTATTGGAATTAGAACGAGAATTTGCTTCCAGCATGTACTTATCACGTTTACGTCGGATCGAAATTGCTGCCTGTCTAGGTCTAACAGAAAAACAAGTTAAAGTAAAGAATGAATTTCTCACGAAAGAAGTTTGTTCAGTTTCTTTTTTGACATTAATAGATTTGGTTTCAAAATCGTCGAGTCAAATTCAAAAAGGAAGGTACAATACCATCATATGAGAAGAAAAATTCAGTGAAAGTCTTACGAACATGTCATTCAAATCAACATAAACGATCGAATGAACTTTGCGCAGATGATCAATAAGAAAATCAAAGTATTACACATGAACTCGAATTCTTATTCGTTTGTAAATGTTATTGTCGTCATTTTAACTTATATGTATATGGGTTTGTGACTGTTTTGAGAAAAAAATAACTATATTTCAGTATCAGTACAGTATCATGTCAATGTTACTCTGTTTGAATTGTTTTGAGATAAACATGTGAATTTACACGTGACAAAATCGAGCTTAGACTTGAATGAGAACAAGCAGATGTTCAATGTTAAGCGTAGGAGAGTTGTATCATTTTAGTATTTACAGACGACCTATTTATTATTCATGATAGAAAATATCGACTATAAATAGAAAATGACTCTGTTCTTTTCAATATTGCAATTTCGTATTTGTCTTTGTTTTGACGTTCGTTGATCGATGGTAATCATTTGTTGGTATATTCTCATTTCCAGTTGCTTGTGATAGGTTTTGAAATACTCGATTCATAAACATTTCTAACGATTCTCTGCTATCGTATTCTTTCGAAACGTTAGTTGATGAAGCGATGGATCGTCTGATGGAAACGATACGGTTAATAAAACTATCTGGCGTTCGATGATTATATCTTCCGAGTAAAGTTGGTATTGTTGCATCAAGAACGAACTGATTCCATGTTTGATCGTACTTCATTATATTGCCAAACAGATTATATCCCAATGCGCTTATATCTTCAGAAGATAAAATAAAACTGGATTTTCCCAAAGGAATATTTGAGATCTGTGACACCTACGCGATTGTCGTTCGTCAGGTTTTAGTTCTGCGACTGTTGTCATGAGATACATATTTAAAATTTGTTGAAATTTATCGTACGTAATGGATTGTTTATCAGGTGATGAAAATGCAAGAAATAATTGGCTGATTCGATAGAGTTCGAATGTTGACAGTGAATTAACGAGAAGTTTCGGTGGTGTGCGAACAATTTTAAGGCTAACATCAAGAAGCAACAAATCTGTTTGGGTTAACCGATTGGTTGATATATCAGCTATTGTATTCACATATGTTCTAAGTGTTCGTAGATCATCCAATATGATGCTGTTCGTCTTTAATTAGAAAAATTACTGTAAGATATCCTTCATATGCTTAGTTCTATTAGGTTTTAAACGAGTTTGGATATAGGTATCTAGATTGAATACCGTTTGTGGACCTAATGATTGAATCCACGCCTAGTTCGATGATTGACAGCAAATGAGATCCGAAAAATGAATGATCATTACATTTGTTTCTGTGGACTCAGCTGTTGAGAGTAACACCCGAAGATCTTCACATGTCGGACATGACCATCCTGAAACAAATCTATTTGTGACTACGGGCTAGGCTACTCTAAAATATTATTTTCAAAGACCGATTAAATTCAGAGCATTTTTAATCGAATGATACGATTTGATATTTCCCATATCTTTGATGCATTGTTGATGATAGACTTTTCCACAGATTCGACATGGATATAGTTGACCTTGATATTTATGGCACAGATGACAAAGCTGACTAATCTCTGGTAAAGTATGAACCATAGACGGAACACTTATAGGTTCAAATGGCATTGAATGATCATTGAGAGATGGAGTATGCATCATGTACATCTCTGTACATTCCACTAATGAAATGACATATCGTTCAGAAATAGACGATTTCTTGTTAGTATTGCCATGCTTCCAGTCATTCCAAGCACGAATCGTATCATCGAATTCGATAATAATCTAAATAGTTATCTTTAAGAGAGCAGCTTTCTGCAAAGATATTGATATATACTCGCTCATCGCGAGTAGTACTACTAATTTGTGAGCGATACATAGATAATCATCAACATAGAAATGCAAAGGCGCTTATATCAGTGTTCACGAAGTAGTTAATAAGAAATTTGTATTGATATGAAAGAAAAGTCTTTTGATGAAGGTGAACATACTTCAATAAATATCAGTTGATTTTTGATATTTGATTATGTATCACAGATTTATTCCTTCGATGCGATCAGTGAAAGAAAGGATGAAATGCGATCCGAGCACAATTGACATGTATATATAGAAGTATGTAATCAGCAAGAAGAATTTTATTCTTATTGAACCTCTTATTATAAAAGAAACGAATACGATGAAGTGTCTGGGGTTAAATGCACTTATGGCTTTGGTCATTTTATTTCTCATTTGTGAAGGAAAATATTTTCCAAGCGGCGACAGTAACAGCGACGATATGGAATTATTAGATGTTGATGCTCGCTCATTCTTAAAGATGAAGCCATATCATGGTGTAAGTAAACCAACAAGTGACTATGATTGTGTTCTCTGCAAATTCAACATAGTACCATGTTGCAAACCAAATCTATGCATTAAAAAACGACTACAACCAGATGAATGCTTAGAACTGAGAGGCCGAGAAAAAGACTAGATTAAATCATGTTCTGCATTGACTTTTGCTTTATTTTACTTTGCTAACCCATAGAACAGTAGCTGATTAACTTTGTAGATTGTTAACAATCATATATTTGCTTTTTTATTTTAAATAACTAATAAAAGATTAGTATTCAGTTTTATCGTAGTATGATTATATAATATGAATATATCTTTTTACTCGATATACCATGATTTTACATACATTAAGATGGAAAAATAAAAATAAATTCGCTTTTCACACACACACACATCAACTAGGAAACATCGGAGCAAAATACTATAAACAATCACATTTGATCATTTGTTTGAGGATTTTCTTGTCGTTTGTAAATAACAATAGCACCAATTAGCACAATTAAACTGATTACTAGCAATACGATAAAACATATTAGTATTCCAATGAATTCTGCTTGTGTTAATAAACGTGAAGGTCGATACTCAGGACTTAAGTGATTGGTTTGATTAATCATGTAGCCTAACGTCCAACCAATATCATTTGAGTTGATTTTATTCACAATTTGAAAGTTTTTTATATTACTCTCGGTCAATGCGTAACCATATTCGAACAGTGTCCAGTGGTACATTGTTTGAAAACATAAGACTAAAGACAGAATTACAAGGTGAAATGAGAAATGACAATCTTACACGGTCGAAATCGTGTGGCGTTGGTTACATTCAACCAAGGTTGATTGCATACCGTGGCAATTGCTGCTTTGATTTGTGTTAGATTCGTTGTTGAAAGATCATAGTTTCCATATGAATCACTAGAAATTGGTACGAACGGTGCCAATGTGTCAAATGCATAGAAAACTGCCGCAAAGGCAACAAATTTTAATGATGAGGATATTGGAATCGGTTGATAAACACCGTCGAAACTACAATTTCCATTTGTTGAACAAGCTGTTTTGTTCAGACGTGCACGCATTAGTTCTTGACATGCTGAATAATTACCAGTACCTCTGGACAAAAAATACCGAATTCAGTGTTGAATTATAAATAGACCAAAAGCATTTTACCTGAATGTGATCAAAGATGTACTATTAACACCTGTTGGTGTTGTCAATCGACCGATGGCACAAGCCGTTCCACTTATACTAGAATATGATATGTTTTGAATGTAACCGGATTGAAGACACGGATCATCAATTGAAATTAATCCATTTGCTTGCTGTACTAGTTGTCCTTGATAGATGAGACGTAACTGATCTTGACCATAGCATAGATACGAATGTGAATATACATCATAATCTGTATCAAATAGATTCATAAGGTAATGTTCACTTGTCGCTTGTGGAGCAATAAAACTCAATTGAGTACTGGCACCTACACAACAAATACACTACTCGGTATCGAAGAAAGTGTATGCAACATACCACCCATATCAACAACACCGTATGTTTGCAATGGCACATTATTGTCATACAATTGATGCAAAAGAATATTGGCTGTTATCCATCCTGATAAACCTTCTTCACTTCCATCGATGATGCGCACTTGAAATTCAGGTGCGCCAAATAGCACGCCAAGTGTACCGAAATATGCACGAGTAGCATTCAACAAACGATTGATATAATCCGGACTTGTGATGTTGAATAGTCGAAGACCAGCAGTTGCACCTATAGGATGAGTAGAATCGAAATAGAGGAGAGAAGAGAGTCGTTTACTTACCGAGAAAGATTAAAGCTCGACTTTTTCGGTTGGATGGAATGACATTCAGACATTCGATCATAGCCGCATTAAAGTATTGCCTAGTACCATTTTCTGTTGTATCAGTAATCGATGATATAGGTCCACCAGCAACTTCACGCGATATCACTTGACTGACTCGAGATGTTGTACCAAGTCCATCTGATTTATCAGCTGGCCACCTACAAAACAATGTGTAAAATAGGACTAAACGCGTAATGAACAATACTTGTAAACAAATATAGTTGAATGCGACGAGCCAGCATCAATTACGAGAGAATAATCTTCAAATGGTGTCAGTACAGTTAACCAAAGTACAATCAATGTGACAATAGCAGCAATTGACAGAACGGCTAAAACACTTGCCAACACTAAGATCACATGATATCGACTCACCATACTCAAAAGATCGAACGATCAATCTAGAACGCATGAAAGAAAACGATTTTCCACGTGAATAAGGGTTCATTAAGTTGAAAGGAAAAAATTTTCATGCCTACTGAAAAACGTCAATTAATCAATAAATGAGAACTGTTTCCTAGTCAAATCGATCATTAATGATGGATGATATTTCGCAAAATATAATTATTAGCATTACTTTGACAATTTTGTTTTTTGTTTAAAGGAAAAGAAAGTGTTATTCACACATCAATAACATGCACAGTGGGTGCATAGAAATGCTGATGTTTTTCTACTTGTTATTGTAATCAAAACACAAAAGTAATACTTACGAATTTCAGTTTTTTTCTTCTCTTATGCGACTGGAATATGTGTGTATTGATTAGTAAAAGTACGAAAAAAGGGTCGTGTTTTTCATTTTTAGCTCTATAGAAATCAAAACACGAAAGAAAAATGTAAATGATTTGTTGTCATAACTATAGGACTCGATCAACTTTGACAAGTTGACTTCCTAAACATCGGTGAGTTTTCTCTTTCTAGAAGACTACATTTATTCTATAATCCTTAGTAATAAAAAACAAATAATTATATGAAAACTGAAATATTCTCTATAGTAATGAAATTTTTTAGAGTAACCCCGCGACATACCGTCGTGGAAATTTTCTTTTCTCCTTCAAACATATTCTGTGCTTCCCTCAACTTTGAATTAGACTTATATTACAAAGCACCAGTTCAAGTCACGAAGAATTTTTGTAGTCTCGTAAATATTCCATTTTCTCATAGTTTAGATGCATAGGTATAAGTCACTGTCGCCGAAAGGAGTGATCATTGCAAGAAATGTCAATAATGAAGTAAACTGGTGACACCCGTTTCAATAATCTATGATTTCGCCGATGGAAATTATGATCGAAATACTCTCGGTAGCAAAAATATGTAAACAATGATCGACAAAGAATAACACATTAAATAGTTTGTCGAACTTTCACCAGTGTCACCTTGGTAGTGTTTATTTTGACGAAAGTTAAAAAAATTTGCAAAATACTTGCCTCTTTTCACATGCATAGATACTACAAATAAATGTTTCATGAAAACTTATAATTTCGATGATGGTTTGTGTAGTTTTTATGATTGATTCATATAAAAATATATAACTCCACTTATCATCTTCGCATCTCGATGATTCCATACATTATATGTATATGGACTATTCGAAACACTTCTATGCAATGAGGAGTGGAAGAAGAAGTTATTTGTAGTGAAATATGTTGCAAAAATCACTAGAACTGATTTTTCCCTTTTCTTGTACAAATAGACTGCAAATCTCTTTCACTCACATCTGTATGGCAATATTTCTACTTAGGACGAACTATTACAAAAAATAAAATAATTGGCAGTTTATAATCTTATGCTTTAAGGTGAAGTGCAGAATATAAAGAATGTCATATAATTCTTTCGATAAGTAATAGGTTTTTTTTGTGCATACTGTCAATAACTGTCGATTAAGAGTATGCACAAACTGCATCGTCGCACTATTCCCGATTAATTTTCAATATTGATTTCATTGAATATTTCGTTTTTTCGAGATATTGTTTTGCTCTGTTGATAGTATTGTTTATAACGATAAATGATAACCGTTGTCGTAATTGAACCAGTCAAAAACAATATAATAGATAGAACTAGAAGGATAATAAATTCTTGTTGAGTTAATAATCGTGCAGGTCGATGTTCAGGACTTAAGTAATTTGTTTGATTGATCATATAACCTAACGTCCAACCGATGTTATTCGAATTGATTTTGTCAACGATTTGAAAGTTTTTTAAATTTTCATCTGTCATGTGAAATCCAAACTCGAATAATGTCCACTGATGAATAGAATTGAAACATAAAACTAAATGCACATTATGTTAGTCTGCTGAAAAATCTTTTCTACTGTTTTTCCCTCTTACATGGTCGATGTTTAGTAGGTTTGTGCACATGCGACCATGATTGCTTGCATATTTCTTTGATCACATGTTTTATATCAGTTAGATTTACCGAAGTAAAATTGTAATTGTCATGTTCATCTGCTTCTATTGATATATTGGCTGCTAGTGCAGAGAAGGTTTCGTACCATGATGAGATTGCAATAATTTTCATCGAGAATGGAATAGGAATTGGTTGGTAGATATTATCGAAACTACACGATGACGAAGTACATGATAAATTACTAAAACGTTTTTCCATTGCTATTCGACATGACTTGTAGTCGCCAGCACCTCTAAAAAGGTCGAATTAAATAAACACTTGATCCGAAACAATTACACACACGAATGAAAATATTGCCGACGTGTTAAGACCTTCGGAAGGTGCATGCTTACCACGAGCGCATGCTGTATTGAACAGATCTTCGTAGCTTTTCTCTTCAGTGTAACCATATTGTAAACATGGATCGTCGATCGAATAAGATTCGTTGGCTTCTTGTACCAATTGACCTTGGTGAACGAGACGTGCTTGTTCTTCTCCATAGCATAGATACGAATGTGAATATACATCATAATCTATACCGAATAGATCCAAATTGTAATGCTCGCTAGTAGCATCTGGTGCAATAAAACTCAACTGAGTACTTGCTCCTATGGAACCACCGATCAATCCATATTAGAAGTTTTTGAAAGGGTCAAGTACATACCGCCCATGTCTGTTACACCATAAGTCTCCATTGGTTGGTGATGCTCATAGAGTTCTTTTAAAAGCATATTCGTTGAAATCCACGCTGATAAACCTTCTTCACTTCCATCGATGATGCGCACTTGAAATTCAGGTGCATCAAATAGCACGCCAAGTGTACCGAAATATGCACGAGTAGCATTCAACAAACGATTGATATAATCCGGATTTGTGATGTTGAATAGTCGAAGACCAGCAGTTGCACCTATAGGATGAGTAGAATCGACATGAAGGAGAGAAGAGAGTCGTTTACTTACCGAGAAAGATTAAAGCGCGACTTTTCCGAGTGGATGGAATAGTACTGATACATTCTGTCATTCCTGTATCAAAATAGTTCTTAACATTATTCTCGGTTGGATGTATGACTGATGTAATAGGTTCATGAGAAACAGAGCATGACTTCACCTGACTGACTCGAGATGTTGTACCAAGTCCATCTGATTTATCAGCTGGCCATCTATAAAACAATTATTCGAGATGAATGTAATCTAAAAATATACGCTGGATATTACGTGTAGACAAAAATCTTGGTATGTCTTGAACCGACGTCAATCACAAGAGAATAATCCTGAAATGGCGTCAGTTTTGTGTGCCAAAGAATTGATAATGCAATTATACCAAGAAATGAAAATAAAGTCAAATTAATTGCCACGGCACAGATTATTTTTATGTACCTTCCAGGCAGCATGGCTATGAAAGACGTATCTGAAATATAGAATTGACAACATGCATTGACATTCCATGATCTATCGGTAAATGATCCTAATTCGAAAGTGTTTGGAGAAATCTCTCGTTGTTGATGTCACTGAAACGAAATAAGGATTGATGAACTTACACTATATATATCAAGCTCTTTTTTAACGTTTTTCAAGTGCCTTATAAAACAGCAAGAGATTTATTATACGTTGCAAATTTATCAAAGACTTTACCACTGCCTGTTATACACCTACATTCAATTTGAACAGTCTACATAGGCAAATTTTCAGAGAAAATAAGAGAATTGAATCGAACACACATCAAAACCAAAAGCAAGTCCTATGTACTGTGAACTATTTCGATGACGCCTTCTAGTATGGCAGATCTTTCAGTGCGTTCACGACTTTATTATAAACAGAACAAGATAATACAATGATGCGATATTGGATATCTGTAAGGTAAAAGATAAGATGCCGGGGCAGAAAGTAGACGAAAGTACATCATTCGTAATTTTGACAGTTTGGTCGACAGAGGGCATTAGTGGACGAATTGAAAAACATTCTATTTATTTTTCTAATTTCCCGTATTTTTATAATCAATACAAATATTCGATAAATGAAATGATTCCAATCTTCAATACATTATTTATCCATATCATTTGAATGCTCTATTAAATCAACCAATCATTTCTCGACCTTTCAAACTCTTTGTTCTTGTTCATCGTTTTCCCGAAAAAAACGAATCAGATAGGTCGTTATATCGCAATATCTACTTGAAATCAGCTTTTGAATTCCATGGCTACTGAACAATCGTCTTCTGGTAACTAGATGCACATTCGACTTCTTCTTCGACTCTCTAATCTCAATTGTAGAATCTCCAACTCGAAAGCGACCACGTCGTTCGAAACAAGATCCACAATTTATATTTGATAATCCAGCAAATGATACAACAGACATGGATACAGTCATACCACCTACTGCAAATAAACGAACTCCTGTCAAAACAAAGGTTAAAACAATCCAACCTGTTGAATCTATAGATGCAAGTGGTGAATTATACGAACCGGGAGATATTGTTTGGTGTAAACTCGGTGGTTTTCCATGGTGGCCAGCCTTAATTGTATGTTAAACGCGATTTTGAACAAAAAACGTTGAAGTTGACTTTTTATTTCTCTTCGATTAGTACCGATGTGCAGCTGAAGGAGGAATTCATACTAAGACATTAAGTATGTCTTACATATCTGAAGAAAATGTCTCTCTATAGTTTGATTGTTTTAGATTCAAACAATAAGCCGAAACGATTGTTTTTCGTATATTTCTATGGCAAATATCTAGAATATTCATGGATATCAACACGTTGGTTATTGAAATATGCCGGTCTAAGTAATTTTATTCAACATGCTGAGGCAGCTGTTCAACAAGTAAAACAGCATGAGACATATTCTTCATCAACATACGTATATTTATTTTTAGGCAGCGACGAAATCAGAGCAACTTGAATTAGCTAATCGATATCAGTTGAAGGTATCGATGAAAAAACGTGTGCAATGGTAAAACGAGATTTTTCTTTCATATCGATCTTTTACTACTGCTTTAAAGGGATGAAGCAATTGAATTGGCTGATCGAGCATTAACAATGTCAAAAGAAGAAAGAATCGAAGATTTTAATGAGTTACTAGAAGATGCTTTAGATCAATCAAAAAGTAATGTTTGAAATGAAATTTTCTCGGCAAATTTAGTTTTTGAATGTGAATATAAATAGGTTCTCGTCGTCGAAAAACATCCGGAGATCAAAATCAAGAAGCGGAAGATGACGAAGCTGGAGACAAACAATTAAATACCGAAGAGTCTTCAGTGTCATTGAATACTTCTTCTGCTGCTACCGTTGTTGAAGGCAATGAAGAGATAAAAACAAGAGAGAAGCCTGCTATTACACCACGCAAACCTTTGGCTTTTACTCGAAATGGTTCGACAAAAACAGAAGAAGATGAACAAGTAGAAAAGAAGAAACGCAAACGCAAAGAAAAGTCAGATGTGAAACCTGAATCCAATACATCTGTAAGATTTCATTGAACTCCTGTAATTGTTATTTGCAAACAAATTTGATTTAGATTTCATCGACTGATAATAAACCATTAGGTAAAACTCGAACAAAGAAAAATCAGACACCTTCGAGCAAACCAGTACAGAAAAATCGTCGATCAGAAAAAGTCACCAATGGAAATGAAGTTGAATATGATTACATACCAACAACCGATCAACAAACAGCATCTCCTATCGTTCAACTTATTCAGACCAATAACCCACCATTATCAAATTATGAACAGAAACAAATTGCCGAAGGTCTTCTTCATCATCCCAAAGAGAACGCATTAACTTTTGAAGAAGCACAAGCATATGCCAATGATAAAGCGAAAGAAATCGGTAAGAATCATCAAACTGGAATCATTTTCTCAATCAATTTCCTCTTGTATGATTAGTTTTCGAAAATCATAATTATCAAATGAATACCATCTCACCAGAATGGTTCTACGAGTCAATTCTATTGAAATATCCCGCAATTGTATTCAAGTACCGCTCATGGTTTGAAAAGATTCAAACTGACGTGATTCCGAATGGGAATGACATGATTAAGCTCAAACAATGGCAAATTGCATTGATGCTTCATGCACAAGTCAAATCAGAACAACAACAACAGGAGCAGCATTCTACACAGCCAGAACCAAATCCAAGCAATGAAAGTTAATTCTTGTCTATAGTATATATTTTTTGAACTCGTAGAGTTCAGTTGTTTTTTGTACAGAAACCCGTGAGAAAAAATGTTATTTCTTTTCTTTGTTTTGTGTTGTCTAATACTTTTTTCTTCTTTCTTTTTCGTTAACCTTTCTCAGTGGAAATGACTTGTTGAATGTCAAAAGAAAACAAAAAAACTCTGTGTGAGATTGGTTTACTTTTTCAATAAACAACTAGAAATATTCGAAGCATCCTTCCTTTGGATTCGATCTCCATCAGTTACTCGCAGCAATTGAAAGAATATATTAAAAAGTTTATGTGTAAACGTCTAGCGACATCTATTCCATTTTATGCTCAAATACATAAAATCAAGAATTCATTAAATATATTTTTCTTTGATTGAAAATTAAATTTTTCGATTAGTTTTGTATAATGCTCAAATGATCTAACAGTACAGTCTAGGAGGTCTTATACATAAGAAATGGTAACATGAAACAGGAACTATTCAATGAGAAATTGATATGCTTACCCATCGATCTGTTTAGATAGATGTTTTAATATCTAGAAAGTGATCGGTTCATCCTATTGTAGATTCTTACTTCTATAACAGAAAGAGAAAAACTATGGCGGATACAGAAGTAACAACTCCTGGTAACCATAGTGGAACAGGTGGTGATACAGAAATTGATCTGTATGCGGATGTTGTCGAGAATGAACTTGATACAGTAAGAAACGCGTTGATACTGGAAAGTAAGAAGGTTCTATCACTGTTGTTTGGTAGGGGGCAGGAGATGATTATGGAGTTCATGACGAGCAATTCCAACAGATATCTCACGATACTGATTTGTACGATGATGTAATTACAACACAATCATCAGGAACTGATTTCACTGATATAACAAATACAGTGAATCAAAATCATACTCGAATGGATCACGTAAATGGATCTGGCATAACAGGAAATTCATCTTCAAGTGCCTATGGTGGTAAACGAGTGTCACTTTACGTTGGACAATTGACTTGGGTACGTTGCAAGAATGGAAAAAGGTTTCTTAGAAGAATTTGCTTTTTATTTGATCTAGTGGACAACAGATACTGATTTAATTGATGCTATTCACGAAATAGGGATACATGATCTACTTGAAGTGAAGTTTCATGAAAATCGTGTCAATGGACAATCGAAAGGGTAAGACTTGTATAGTTCTCAGTCGTATAGTGCATATTAACATTTCTCTTTTTCTTTAGCTTTGCTGTCGTTACTGTGGGTTCGGATGCATCATCTCGAACAATTCTGGAAAAGATGCCTAAACATGAGATTCATGGACAAACACCGACAGTCTTGCCTTGTAATAAACAATCCTTGAGTTTCTTCGAAGGTCCAACACGCAAAGATGGACCTGCAGAATCGATACCACCTATGGGTGCACCACCTCGTAAGTTCGTCACATGTTAATATTTCGTACTTGTAAAAGTAAATCTCGTTACCATGCTTAGTCCGTCCGATGGGACATCCACAAATGGGTCTTCCATATCCAATGCCTCGCGGTGGTCCTATGGATCAATCGTATCGTTTTCCTCCACAAGGACCTATTCTCTTACCTGGTGGCATGGGTCGTCCACCGATGCACATGGGTCATGGTCCACGTGGTCATCTACCTGTTAATCCAATGGTGCTTAGTCGTATGCCCGGTGCACATCCACAGCAACCTGTAGTTATGATGCCACCTTCACAACGCCCGGGCGGCGTACCTCCTACTGCCACAGGACCTCCTCACGTTCGTCAACCTGTGCGACCTGGTGCTCCAGGTAAAATAATAGTACAAACTTAATGTTTCTTTTCACTTTTACCATCACTGTTCAGGTGCTCCTGTCTCATCGAATTCGATTCCTATGATGCCGGGTCAACATCCAACCAGCTACTATCCTGGACAGCCAGTGCCAGGTCAAGGGGTACGTAAAACTCTTTGTCAATACCTGACATCAGCTTATGCGATTTATATAATAAAAGGCGCCGGGACACGGTCTGTCTGCATCCGGTCAACCGCATCCTGATCCATACTATCGAAGCGCTGAGGCTTCAGCAAGTATGGCACCAATAAGTGAAGCTGAATTTCAAGAGATCATGGAACGGAACAAAAATGTATCAAGTAGTGCAATTTCTCGTGCCGTTCAAGATGCATCAGCCGGTTGATAATTGCTATTAAATTATTTCCTATGCACGATGAAGTTTTTGTTCGTATTTAGGTGACTACAGTTCAGCTATTGAAACATTAGTTACAGCCGTTTCGCTCATTAAACAATCGAAGATAGCAGGTGATGATCGTTGCAAGATTCTAATCAGTTCTCTCCAAGACACCTTGAAAGGAATTGAAGATAAATCGTATGGACAACGGTACTAGTTTTACTATTCATTTTCAATCGGAATTTTATTATTCATGTTTTCTAGACAACGTCATCGTAGTCGATCTGGTTCCCGTGAATCCCGTAAGAAACATCGCCATCGTTCACGTAGCCCACGCGAAAGAAACGAATATCGACGTAGCGAAGATTATGATAGCAAATACAGTCGAGATCATCGACGCCGTTAATCATTAGGTTTTTTGTCTATATCAACAGAACGCGAACAACACAGACAATCTGGTAAGCCGTACGATCATTCACTTTTCTGTATTTGATCTTTTGAAACATGTTTTTGAACTTATTCATCGGTCTATCTATGTGTGTGTGCGCATACGTCACTTCTTTTAATCCCCATACTCATATGTCGACAACAGTCATAGAACAGATCTCATCTAAATCATGATATAATCAATAGTCAAATATGTTTTTCATTTTATTTTTTCTGCTCAACACGTCAAATAATCGTTTTTGTTCTTTTTTTCTGAAAACTGCATTTTGTTTCTATGGATTTTTGCTTTTATGGTTTTGTTTTTACAAACGTCTGGATATGAGATATTTGCTTATTTCATGATATACTTCATGCATAGTTGTGAAATTGTTCTTCTATTTTTTGTTTCCCAACAATGATACAAAGTATTTTCATAAGATTTAGTATGCTCTTTTTATGCATCGATATGTATATCTATATCTCATGAGTCTATTTTTCAAAATAATGAATAAATCGGATGATTCCAATGTAAAATATACGCATATGGTTATGATCGATACTGTCGAACAAAGGTAATGAGGTGAATAAAGGTCTTTTTTTTTGAGTGCGTATCGATTGACATATTTTTCATACTGATTTGTTTCGTATGACGAAAGTAGCGGTTGACAACAGTCGTTCTGGGTAGGGAGAAGAAAAGAAATACTTTCTAGAAGGAGTAATCTCATCCTAAACGATGATCATGTCATCAACTATTTCTTATCTGAACAAATTTGATAGTTTCGTAGGAGAACAGCATGAAACTGATCAATGAAAAGACATGTATTAATATTTGCTTTATTTCTCTTTTCTAGGTCAACGATTTCGAGGAATGATGGCCTTTTGATTTTTTTTTTGTATAAACTATTTGTCTTCTTTTCCTGCTGCTGCTGCTTCTACTTCTTGTTCGTTTTTCTTTTCTCAGAACTCTATCTATCATTGAATTACATTACTCGTTGTATTGTTTCATGTTTTTCTACGTTTGTGTCTGTATATGAATACGAAAAAAAAGCAAAGAAAATAAAAGAAATGTCTCTGGAAAAAAAAGAAAGCGCGCTTGTTATTCATCACAAGCAATTCTAATTTCAGCTATAATCCTTGGTTATTTGTGTCCTTTATTCAAAGTTTAGACATATGTCTTCATTGCTGATTCAGTTATTCCTTACGATATCCTATCAAACAGTGATCGGTAAGTGAAGTTTACTACGCATCAGCACTTGTAACTTCGTTTGTTTATGGTGTAGTAATGTCAATCTATAATAGTGTGTGTACTACGACATGTAATTTTCCTGGAATGATCTGTGCATACGGTCGGTGTAAATGTGATTGGCGTAGTCATCTTTTCTGGACAGGTGTTCGCTGTTTGCCATGTCCAAATAAATGGGCCCTAGCTGGTTGGAGAGAAAGACGAAACAGTTTTCGTTGATTTGCCTATTTATTTTTGCTTGGATAGACACAGCCTGTATAGGCTATTATGGAGTGGCGAGGACTCGAGCAAATGCTCAAGCAACATGTGAAAGTATGCAAGCGAGTTTGATTAGTCTGCGCGATCACAGTAATCTTCCATTCATCTATCGTGAAACCAGCCCGAAATTCCGACGAAGAAAGAGACAATCAGATTTGATCGATGCAACTATAGGTTGGACAAGTGCACAAGCCAAAACACCTTCTAATCGTAAGACTCGATGAAACCATGAATGAGTACCAGTGTTCGTTTAGCCGGCTTATATGTTTGGGCTGATTCAACGGTGGCACAATTCGATAGTACTAGTAGTTGGTGGTGTAAGAAAACTACACCTTTCTTAGGCTATCAACATCTGTTTGATGAGCCGACTCGACGATTATTTGGCAGTGAACGAGAAACATGTGTTTTATATCGTCGCGGAAGAACGGCAAATCTGATAATATGCCTTGATGATGTTCTTTGTGACCAATTACATCCATTTATCTGTGAACGATGTTTGTATAGTTGAGTTTCTACTCACGAAACTTTACAAAAGTCATTTTTGTAGCTGAAACAACCGCAAAAAAATATCCAGGATCTATGCGTAGGTGATAATGCCTCTGAAAATATTCATTAATACTTCTGTTCTTTACTTTTCAATGCAGTCCCTGGTTCCATAAATTTTCTGAACACATTGAGTACCAGTTCGAAGAGAAGCACATTCATTTCTCCGTTGAAACCCGGTAGTAATAATAATCCAAATATTGTGATTGTCAATCACTTAGGAGCTTTAGCTCAACCTCATGCATCAAAATCTAACAGTGAGTCTGTTTTTCACAGCAGGAAAGCGAGAATAGTATCGATTTTTCTTGTAGATAATACTAAAACTGTTATTATTATCGTAGTAATCGTTTTGTTACTACTAGCTGCTATTATAGGTGGCGTATTCTGTCTTATTACGCACAATCGAAAATCCCGAATATTTACACAGTCCAATCATCATAGGAACCATGGATCCGATCCAACTGATATACGACCGTCAATTAGGAGTGGTGTTAGTACATTGAGTGGTGTAAGTGAAGGAACTGATATTCATTCTCAACGTTCCAGTACAGGTCAACATCAGATCGATTCGGCAAGTGAAATCAATTCTAGCAATGTTAGTATCAATTTGCTCAAACAACAAGAGCAGAAGCGCAAGGCAGGTGGTTTTTCTAAACAAACATTTGATGAGTTTGAATGACCTGGTAGAATTGTCTTACTTTTAATCTAAAATTATTTGCTAATCAGTAGAAATCTATTCTATGATGGCAACCATTGAACTAGCTATCACTCAGATTTAGTTGTGTTCAACGAGATTTTGATCGTAAATTATAGCGAAGGTGGTGTCTAGTTCTGTAGTTTGCGTTTCTCGATGTACTATATTGCTGTTTCATTGGAGCTTGGCTCTTTACATGGTTACGAAACGCGAAAGCAGACCTCATTGAAGTTAAATTTGAAAGAGCTGATCTTTGCATTGCTATCCGGTTTGAAGAGAAATTCAATTGAGTATAAAAATAACGAACACGTTTGAATGCTTACTTCGTTCAGGTTTTGACGATTGGACGAAAGCTAGAGGAGCTCTCGGAAACGGTGTGTTACTTTGTTGTCTAAGAGAGAAAGAAGATTGTATGCTGATCTGCTAAGCTATCATTCTCAAATAGGATCTAAAGATTAAGTCTAATAACTTACAGTTTTCCTGTCGGTTCATCGTTCATTGATAAAGTTTTCAGTCGTGGTTCCATTCGTGTTATGGTTTTGTATTTGAAACTTTCTTGTCCACTCTCTTGCAATGCTTGTCTTTTCCCTGTGATGTGCATTGCAACTGCGATGCCAACTACAACACCAATGATAAAACATGGTATCGCAATGGCGATTACTAAAAATGCACGCGGTGGCCGTTTTGATTTATCATAAACTTGTCGTTTGGATCTGTATTGTATAAAATGACATCTGTATTGTTGTTTGAGCTGATTTTCTACTAGAGGGCATTTCGCAATGAGATGTTGTAGTTTTCCGTGGCATTGATCGATGTATCTATTATTGGTGATGTTTGGTTCTATCAAAAGATGTTTGTGAGTGTGATCTGCCCATGAGATAAGCGCTTTGATATATGTTTGATGGAAAATCATAATAAAAAGAGAAGAGTTGGATTTCGAATAAATGCGTTAAGGAAACGAAACATATATTCAAGATCATAATAGAACTGAAAGAGAGATTGATGAAAGATATATGTGGAAATGGAAAATACTCGAGAGCAATTTAGGCGCTTTCTCAATCATAATTGAACACTTTTTAGGTCTCTCAATCTTGACCTATAGTAAAGAAATTTCTGAATATAACATGATGTGCTTTTTCCATTCAAACTAATCTATAGTAATGGATGAATCGAAAGAAAACAATATGTTCACGATACATCGTCGTGAATTGCATGATGGAGTTAAGTAAAAATTGATATAATAGAAGATTTAACGACTAATAGTAGATAGAACAGAGTCAACGCTTGTTCGATTCGGTCGAGAACGATCTTGTGCTGCTGAGCTATTCTTATTCGTACAAATATACAATAGACCACCACCACAAAAACAAAAAATAATAACTATAACGATGATTACAATGGCAACAACAGCCACTGGAATATAAAATTTCTCCCACATATATACATTGATATAATCTAAACATTAACTTACAAACAATGTACAAGATAGTATTATCATCGGCGGCTGCTTGGGGTTTCGATTCCGATGGTGCCGTAACTATTTCTATAACAGAAAATTTGTAAATCCCATCCTCTTTCTGAGATTTTTATATTCAAAGAATTTTGTACGTATTTCTGGCCGTTGTGGTTGAGGGGGTGGCTGTTCTAGTGAAACATATTTGAAAGTTTCATGCGGGATAGTTCTACGTATAGCATACGGTTCGAACCGAATAAGCTTCCAACAAGATTAAGAGCAGGTCCAATTAGTGCTGCCCATGCTCGTCCTAGAGTTGTTTCATTGTGCACTACAACTGGATCAGCTAACTCTAAATTAGACGAATGAAATCAGTTTCTATTTACGAAATAAAACTAACTTTCACAAATATAAGGTAAGCTTTCGTTACAGTTAGCGTGGTTCAAGCAAAACGAGGCAATACTATTGTTTGTCGATGATAGACGCGTAAGGCGCATACATTTCTGTCGTGGAGATGCGTCGTGTTCAGACTGCGGATCACACCACCATTCATAAATATTTCTGTTCAAAACATCTATGTCGCATGGTCGTTTGACGAAAACTTAACTACGCAACTTACTACCCGTAGAGTCAATCCAAACACCATTACTTAAAAACTCGATCAATGCTCTACCACCTCTTCTGTTCACTAAATCTTTCATTTCATTCTCGAACTGTACAAATCCTTCAGCATCAGCTATTTTCAATAGTTCAGCCGATTGTGTCGAACAGATATTTCTTGCTTCTTCATGCATCACTCCATCTGGTGATGGTGCAACAAACAACACACACTTTTCTTCTTTCCACTCCGTCCATCCAGATGGACAACTCAGACAGCTGTTTTGTCTGGAACTCCAGAATGATGTGTCTGTCGGACACATGCATTGACTTTCATTGGAACAAACCAATGGCTGTTGACAAATAAAATCATGTGAACAAAAATCACCGAATGAGACTAGAACGGCTTGTAATGCACATGTATAGATAGTTTCGATGAAATGAAACTAACCTGATAAAGCAGATGAGACGAACACAATGAATAGAACGAAGGCGAACTCAAGACGAGACCGCAACATAGAATACAACAATCTATTTACAACTTAGAATAGTAGATTTTCATTGTTACTATACAGTTTATTTGTGCGAACTTTTTTCATTTTAGTCATCCTCGAATAGTTCTTTATTGATAAAAAATACAACAAAACGTCTGGATATTCGATTGAGCAAGTTTTTTGTCAAAAGACACTTCTCAGTATGTCCCGTCACTGGCAGTTGAGTCGAGACTAGTCCGACCACGTCGTTGTCGAGAAGGCGATGGTTTCACCGGCGGGTTCGATGATCGGTCATTTTTCCAAAGAAGAAAGCCACCCCCACAACAACAGCAGCAGAACAATATCAGTATTAGTATAGTTACAACAACCACAGCTAGTATCGACATTATATTAGCGGTCTATGAGCAGAGAAACACCTACCAATGATAATGATAATCGTACCGTTTGATTTAGAGCTTTCTGTTAAACATCTACAGAGTCACATTTTAGCTGATATACCAGAAGAACTTACGTGGTAAGATTTGCTGTGTTGGATTAGTCACATCTAAAGATGGAAATATGTTTTTTCCGTATCATTCTCTCGTAGATCTTTTTACATATGAGTTGTGGTGCTTGAGTTGGTGCTGGTGTAGCTGCTACGAGTTGATAAGACACAAGCTCAGTTGAAAATGTACTTTTAATATACTTACGAGTGGGAAACAACAAATTACTAACTAAACCACCGATTACATCAAAAATTCTTTCTTGATGCTTTTCATGAGTATGTTCACGATCTACGTGCGCTGATTCTGCAAAATACTAATGTAAAAGGACAGATGCAATCGTGACGTGTACAATGCATGACTGACTCGTGCAGATATATGACAGTTTTCTATCACATTGTACACGACCTAGACAAATTGATGTATCGTTCTTCATGCCGGTTGGCCGCCTTCTGGTAAATGTACAAGTGTCCCATATTACTATCTCACTTGAATTACACCATTCATATGGAATTGTTTCAGACGTATCTACATTCTACAGTAGACCAGTAAAAATATCAATTTCGCAACCTACTACTCGTAGAGTCAATCCAAACACCATTACTTAAAAACTCGATCAATGCTCTACCACCTCTTCTGTTCACTAAATCTTTCATTTCATTCTCGAACTCTACAAATCCTTCAGCATCAGCTATTTTCAATAGTTCAGCCGATTGTGTCGAACAGATATTTCTTGCTTCTTCATGCATCACTCCATCTGGTGATGGTGCAACAAACAACACACACTTTTCTTCTTTCCACTCCGTCCATCCAGATGGACAACTCAGACAGCTGTTTTGTCTGGAACTCCAGAATGATGTGTCTGTTGGACACATGCATTGACTGTCATTGGAACAAACCAATGGCTGTTGACAAATAAAATCATGTGAACAAAAATCACCGAATGAGACTAGAACGGCTTGTAGTGCACATGTAGAGATAGTTTCGATGAAATGAAACTAACCTGATAAAGCAGATGAGACGAACACAATGAATAGAACGAAGGCGAACTCAAGACGAGACCGCAACATAGAATACAACAATCTATTTACAATTTAGAATAACTATTGAAAGAATTGCGCTCAAAATCTTCCACGATGTTCACATGTAAAACAAACACGTGTTTTTCAAATCGAACCATGATTCATCATCCTTTATTCTTTTCTTCAGTTATCTGTTTGTTCGTTTGTATATCCTTATTCAATTCTAACATGTTATCGTTGTCCAGTAGCCAAAATGAACCATCGGCACTTTTATCAAATGCTCGTGAAACTATTGCGACATTGATTCAACGACCAAGTACGGTCACAACGTCAAATGCTTTCGAAGAATTCTCAATCTTAGATCATTTAATTGATGTTAGCAATGATGTCGAGCGTTTCGAGGATGGCGAAAGCCGTAAATTTTTGAATATCGCTCAGCTGATCACTGCTTCCACGTGTATTTATTCGCGTCGTGTGGATGCGCTTTATAAATTGATCAATACATTTCAATCGTCAACATCGGAAAATCAATCTGAAGAGAATCATTCCGACAATGATGAACAATCTGAACCTGTTCCTGTTCTTGAACAAGAGAAATCTTCACTACAAAAAGCTCTGCAAGAAAAAAAGAGAAAATCGAAAGAAGATAAACGGTCATTTATTTGTACTGATCTGAATAGGATTAATTTTAATTCATCGAAACCGTTCTTTCTCGATCGAACAGCTCTGTTTGATCTGAAGCTTTTTCAAAAATATGTACCAATTGGTAACAAACAGTTTTGGATAAACGATAATCAACCAATGATTTTCAATTTGCTCTTTGACCATGAATTACACGAAGTTAAAAACGAACCACAAGATAATTACTATCTTCAGCACACATCTCAACAATCTGAACGATTAGCTGATGCATTGAATAACATACCAGCTGTTGATGTCAATGACATTCCACTACCGATATCTGACGATAATGACAATCACAATCCATCGTGGAACAACGAAGAAACGTTTATTGATCAGGTGATTACAAAGAAAAAAGTTAACCGAAATCGAACGAAGAAAGTTGAACACGACATTGATTTGAATATATTTCGTCAAGGTCTCAGTCATGAACAACAAGCACTTTTCCGTTGTCAAAAAATGAAACCCATAACGAATAAAGTCAAGATTGAACGAGAAGACTTTTTCGCGAAAAAGTTCAATCGATTACATTTCCATGGGTTAATTAAAGGTCAGTATGATCTAAAAACAAACCGTATTTACTTCTACTTTCTTAGATATCCCATCATCAATCATTTCGATTATTATTTATCCGACAATAACAGTTCAACATTTGACAATTCGAGAACGATATTTGACGAAGATCGATCAAACTTCATATCGAACAGTTCGTTCACCTCCAATACCCATAACCAAGGTTCTGGATGATAATGCTCAAGTTCCATTATCACCCTTAGGATCTTTTTCTCATGAGATGAATGATGATGAAGGAATTCAAGAAGATTTTGACATTCGTCTTCAAACTGATATGGAACAATTTCTCGATGCTGCCATTTGTCAATCGAACGAAGAACAAGAACATAATAAGATCTTTCTCGAACTTCGTTCTAATATCACTTGGTATATGAATCAACATAACGCGAACAAAACGATCGACGCTTACGAGTTAATTGAAACATTGGATGAAAAGTATTCGCTACCACTGATCTTTGGTCAATTGTTACACCTATGCGGATCAACACAACGGTATCATCTTCATTCCAACACGAATGATACCCTATTTCTCGAGACCATTGCTGTAGATAAGAGAAAATAGTCTGTTGTTTTTTTTTTAAAGATAGATAGATTTCTTAGATAGTGTTTTTATTCTTCATTCATCACTTGTACAATTAATCGATTTTTTTTACAGTCTTTGTTAATACGAAACTTTCGTTTTCCTTATAATCGTTTAATAAACCTAATGAAAGTGATCATTTGTTTCATTCGTCTACCATACTTTCAACTGAACTAGCAAAACTTGGTCTGCCTTGAGAGACACCTCCCTGTCCGCCGCTACCATGACCAGCCGTTGCTTTCTTCTTTTTAATAATAACATATCCAGCGACAGCTCCAACAACCAAAAGAATTCCAATAATAACAAATATGATTACATTGGTATTCGAGAGAATACCAGACTTTGCGCTCAACTATGGACAGAATGATGATGAACTCGAACGAAAAATCAATGGATGAATGTGATAACTTACAGCGGACGGCGAGTCGTTATTCAGTTTCTCGTAATTTGAATCTGATGGTGGAGGCGGTGGTGGTTGTTCGAAATCGATTTCGTCAGTGCCACCATCACCGTCGTTTGTTCCCGACGATGGATCTCCATTATCGCCTAGTAAAAAATCATCGATAAAAATTCGTTAAATATGTTGAGTTTGAACACACCATGATGAGTGGCAACGGCCAATTTCATACTAGCATCATTCATTTCGCAAATAAATGGATATTTTTGACTGCAGTAATCATCAGACAGGCAAAGCAAATTTGTTACTCTAGGACCAAAATTATATGTTACACATTCTTCACTTTCTGTCCCATTGGTACCTTTAGAATTAGAATTCGATAGCGCATCTGCTCTTACGGGTCTCTTACCATTTTTATTTTCTCTGCTCGGTTGCTTGCCTAATGTGTAACCGGCATGTCTAGTTGGATCACACCATTCTGAACTTGTTAACTCTAATTTCATTCCACTTGGATCCATCCATTTTGTAGTAAACGCTATAATTTTACAAGAAAGAACAGTCAGCATCCGACTTCTAATTCAATAAAACATTCATTTACGATTTAATGAAGTAACAATTGCTCCTGACCATGCAATATAAGAATTTTTGAGTGTTATACCGTATATCGTGGAGAAAAACGATGACCATACGCTCGAACTTGAAGTAATCCAACTGTACATGACGGGTCGAATAAACTGTTCGTCATGATTATCACGCCATGTAAATAGATCAGCATATTGTGCACGGCAGTGAGCTCGGGCTGCTGACCAGGTTTTCAAATCATTGAAATATTTATAACATCGATCAACTAAACATTCCGCATTTCACTCGTCTCCTGCTGAATGCAGTTCATCGTGATATTTTTACCTGTCAAACTATATTCTCTCGCACATATTGCACACGCTTCTCCTAAACTAGATTTTCAAAGCGACAAGTTGCTCTTTAGCAGTACGTTTTACCTGTCCAAAATCGCCGCTCTCGGTCATTACAACGGCAAATAGAGTTGAGACATTTCTGATGTGCATCACAACCGCTATCACTATTACAAGATTTACCGTAAGTATTAGCTAGAGGAAAGTTTGATTAGTGATGAATAAGTGAACCTTTAATTGGCCATTCTATTTACGTGCTTGATGTGAAAATTGAACGAGAAGTAAAAGAGGAAGTACAAGTTGCTGAAACATAGTTTTAGTTAGACGAGAACGTAGATGAACTGAATTGTTTGAACGAACAGATGATTGTTGAATATAAAAGATAAGAATGTATGAAAAGCGCGAAATAAATCATATTCCATTGTTAATCTACATTTGTAAATGTAACTATTTGAATATAAAAACAATGACTATCATTGTTGTGCAACTAGATCTCATAACTGGTATTTTCTCATTGTATTAGTGACTTTAGTCAAATATTTAGCGCTGAATTACTTATTAGTCAATATCATTTCACTCTCTAAGTTCATTAGCCAGTTGAAAAATCATGATTTTCTTCCTTGTTATTCTTCTCTCGTTATCATGGTTTCTATCAATCCATGCGTTCTATGTCACAAATGCTGCGATACTCCAACAATGTCCCAAAGTAGCAGATGTTTACTTGAGCAAATTTGATTCAAAGAAATTGAGCTGCCATAAAAACGCATTACGACACCTCACTTTTACCCTTACTTATACATGTCAAAGTAATAAATTAACATCTACTTGGGCACTGAATTCCAATGATAAGAGAACTCTCAAATGGCCAACGGATATATATGTTCGCATTGATTTAAGTAAGATTATTCTCCTGTGAGTTGTCAAAACAGTATTTTAGAGTTAAATCGCTAGAAATGCGAAAAATATGTTTCGATATTGATAAAGATAAATAAGATATTCTTCTTTTTTTGATAGATTATAAATCTTTCGATCTATCAAAAGAACCTGAAAAGAATCAGATCGTAAAACTTGTGGATGACACGATAACAATTAAGCCGAATGTTCAGCGATTCTCGGGATATATGTGGACGAGTTCATCTGATGCGCCGTATTGTCGTTTTAGTTTTCTAGTAGCAAAAGAGTGTTCGGGAACTGTTAAAGTTGATCGCAAGCCAATACGTATGTATTTTATGTTATCATTCTAAACACCTTTGTTGTCTAGTGGAAGGTTTGGTCTGCTATTATGGACAGAAGACATTTCAAATGAACAATCAGAATCAAAGAGATGACTTTACTAAGCTGATCGATGACGCTATCAAATCCAGTTCAAATTCGTCATCTGCTAGTTCAGTCAATAATAATCTACAGCCATTGACGGACAACGCAAAAGAGCCTGGAGAGACGTTTTGGAAAAAGTACAAAATATTCATTTTCATCGGTGGTGGTGTTAGTCTAGTTGTGATTCTGGCTGGTGTCGTTATTTGGTATTATCGATCGTCAAACAATAATTCTGAGCGAAGAACATCCACTACTTCAACTATCGTATAAACTCTTCGTCTTCTTGATCTTATTTTTCATTCCAGATATATAGAAATGTATATTCAAGATATTATCATCTTTAACGCGTAGATTCTCCTCTATAACCAGTGACCTCTGAATAGACCGTAGAGTAAAGAAGAAACGAAAACAAAGAGAACTGGAGAAAGATAGAGTGACACGCATAAGACAGACTAAACTTTTCTTCATTCATTCGAGTTCGGAAAAATAACGATGACGTCGGTTCCACTAGATCATCTTGAAACAAACGATGAAAATCTATCTGATGATGACAATGATAAATCATCATTAAGTTCTGCAAGTGATTCATCTAATGACTGTCCATTTAGTGCCGAAATCTGCACAAAACTTAGTGCAGCATTTGCCAAAGCCACAGGTATTGACATCGAAGTTGCTGTTCATTTACTCAAAGAGTATGGATGGAATATTGATCAAGCACTACGAGCAACGTATGAAGCCAAAGAACATGCTCAATCCATGGTAAATACGAAGTAAGACGACGTGTCTTATGATTTAATATCCGAGATTATCATTGAGTGTTTTAGACAAGATTGGAAGAAAACTGGAGATAAATATTTCAAAATTCTGTCTTGGAATGCTGATGCTTCAGATACCGATGAAGAGGACTTAAATGACTTAATTCAACAAAGAATGGAAACCATGATTGAAATCTTACTTCGGTAAAGAAGAACGCTTGAAGAACTTTCGATTCGATTCGATTCGAATGGATTCGTTTAGAGAAAAGCCGGATGTGATTCTCTTACAAGAGATTGGAACATTCGCATTAACATTAATAATAACATGTCTTTCGGCATTGTATGATGATGAATCAATTCAAACGGGTAATAGATAACGAAACTCGATAGTTTTGAAATTGTATGTGTATTTTTAGATTCATTGAATTACGTATCAATATTTACACGAAAGTCAACAATGAAAAAAGCGAAAGTATTAGTCATTAATAATCAAAATAATTGGAATATGTTGAAAGTTGAAGTAAACTTGTCGCATTCATTCGCAAATACTGAATCTCATTCAATTGTATAGACTGAATATAAAAATTCTATCAAGTTAGATCTATTCAATGCTATTATCGATGAAAATACATCATCATTTTGCTTCGAGCAAATCAACCAGAGTAATACAAATCATCCTGTTCTCTGTGGTATTACAAGCAAAGTAAGTTGTTCTCTTCTCTGAACTACAATTTTAATTTTGGACAAACAGATCACGAATGCTACTGATCATCTGGAATCCGGTAATCTGGTAGATATTTGGGAAGTGACTGACCAACAACTAGAAAAAAACTATACATACGATCCTGTCATGAATTCGAGTATCTCTAGCCGCGAAAAGCCTCGACGTTGTGATCGACTTTTCTTTCGATCAACCACATCCACAGCGGAGAAATTCAAACCCGTTCACATGGAACTCGAAGGTATCGAACATATTAAAACTTCAGACACCATCTTCCCATCCACTCATTGGGCTCTTCAAAGTTATTTCGACGTCGACATCTGATTCAGATAATGCATAAATGAACTGTATAACTTTTACAAGTATTCGCAAGAATAAATATAATCAACAACATTTCATCGAGCTTCCATCGATTTTATTATGTTTTTCTAACCGAAATAATGATTCTTCTTTACCCTACGCACAGATTTTTTCATTTTCTTCTCAATTATTATCGATATTTGACATTCAAAGTTATTGCGCAAGATTATCTCGTACTTCACCTTTTTTATTTCATATATACATATTGACGAAGGAGCGAGATTGATACCTCTAAGTCTTCCTACTCTGTTAATACGATTTTCGTATTTGTCTGTTCGAACAAATATTCTCCATATCGAGTCATTTCTATTTCATTGGAATCAATTCAACGATATGTTAGTTCTGTCCATAAATAGATAGTTTTATTGGGGAAAATATTTACAGTTCAGTCGGAGGAGGTACTCTGAAACATGTCTTCTGCTTGTCCCATCAAATTCTGAAATGATTTTATCAACGCGGTAAATGTCGGTCGATCTGTTGCAGTCTCGACTAAACAACTTTTGTATAAAGTTTGTCGTAATGTTAAATCTGCCTCATCGACATTTAATTCTAATGAGTACAGTTTTTGAGCAAGTAAACCAAATCCATAAACATAGGCCTTTTCCGAATAGTTTTCCTTTAGTAAGACTTCTGGTGGGATGCGGCTGATTAAATCTTCAGTACTTTCGATCGTATCAAGTTTCACCAAGGTATTCTCGGCTGTGCCATCCAAGTGGTAGATTAGAACGCTATTGGCAGTAACATGTTGATAGGTAAATTTTTCATTCGCGAGATGTTCAAGTGCCGAGATGAGTTGGTAGAGGGTTAAATCACATGTTCTTAAAGACAGCATTTGATGGTTGTCTTTCATTACTTGCAATAGTGTTTTAGCCGGTGGGAATTCTTGGAGAAGTAAGATGCCATCATCCGGATGTTGAACTTTACCCAAGACTCGAACGACATGTGGATGTACAGGAGGTCGAGTATATAAATCACCGATTTTTGCTGCATGATCACCAGTTAAATGAACAAGAACGATATTCGAATCAGCTGGTGACGGACTTGTTGACGTCCATTCAGCTCGATAGATTGCTTTGGTTTCGGTTTGCAAGAGTGGTGCCATTTCAGTTTTCTTCACGTGAATACCAAGTGTATATTTCGGGAGTAATTTTTGTCGTTGACATTCAGCACGAAACTCGTCGCACATTTTCTTCACAACAAAATTTGGAATAAGTTGATTTTTATCCAGTGGTTCACGCGTCGTTGGACTCGTCGTTGAACTTCGCAACCATCGTTTGATAGCAAATTTTTCGTATGTATGACCATCGGTTGCAATAACTGGATCACCAAATAATTGTCCCGTTATTGGACAGACGAGATCTGCCGGTGGAGTAACACCGTCGGTTGGCGATGGGCTTCGCGCGCGTGGCGGTGCACTGGGTGATGGTGATACATCATCAGAAACAGCACGACGTCGACGGCCAGACGATGTTATATGTGGAGATGCATGCCTATTTTGTGGACGATCTGTGATTCGGTGACATGAAATCTAATATATACAGGAAAAATGGTAAACAAGTCGAATGGAAAAAAGCATTATTTTAAATGACTATCATCACCAAATCGGGGATTCAATTTAGCGATGAATTTGGGGTAAATGATAAGCTACCATTATTTTCTTCCTTATTATCTCTCAAACATTAAGTGAAGTTCGTTTGCCTGTTTCACGTCGTAAGATATGTTAAAAGTCAAATTAAATTGATGTAATCTGATATCAACTCAAGAGGAAAAGAAATAATTTAATTATAGAAGACACTCATATCAGCCGCATTCTTTCGTGGTGTCGATAAGAACGAATGAAGGAGTAAATCTCATAAATCCATTCGGTTTCCATACCTGATGACGGGGGAAATCAGCAATCAGAATGGATTGATGGCAAGATTCACACGGAATATATATTAAAGGTCTATACATATGAAGAAAAAAACAGTATTTGTTATTTTCCTAATGGAGATTCATACTCATCCGCATGTATTGCTTGAAATGCATCATCATCTATATCGTCATCTTCATGAACTGTAGGTGTAGCCTAAATTCAAAGAATAAATGGGTAATTGTATATACGATACGAATGATGATTATTTACCGTGGATGTGATGCTTGGAGTATAGCCAGAGTATGATGAATGAAAACTTTGACTGCGTCGAAAAGGTCCGGACGGTATTCGAATTCGCGAAATTTTGTAGCGAAGACTTTGCAGCGATCGTTTCATTTTCAAGGTAAAAGAAAATAGATGTGTTCGGCAGATCAAAGCGCTCGATGTATTATCGAAACTGAAAATGATTCACATAAAAAAGAAAACAGGCGAGCTCTTGAATATATGTAAGTAATATATAAGCAAAGAAAACGAAGTGGCGAGAAAGAAAGAGAATAAATAGCTGCTTCGCATGCGTCGTTTTCATCTTAAAACCTATGATGAAATTTTTGCCATAGTGAAGAAAGAAAAAGAGAAAGGGAAAAGAACAAGCATTTAAATACAAATAGCCTCTCTATTTATTTCAACGCTGCCGATGAATAATTCTGACTGCTATAATGTGCCTGGGCGAATGCCAACGATGTCATTCGAAGGTGTTTCCTGATCATGTTGGAAAAATCCGAAAGAAGAGACTACCTTATATCAAACATTATTCTTTCGTTCTATGAATACCACCACAGTGATGTCATTTGATCAATATTAGATCTGCAATAACAGGAGAATGTCCAATCAGAAAATGAGACAGTACAAGAAGAGGTTTATATCACTGATTGACACAACACTGCAACAACTCATTCTTTCGTCATACTCGCATATCAAGCGTCCTCTATCGAACACCGTATCAACAGTACGCGTAGCGTTGTACGATGCTAGATCGATCTTGCGAAGTATGTGTTTACAATCATTTCGAAAAAAATGAGTAGATCAATATTTAGAATGATTGATATATGAGAAGAGAAATTCTTGTTTCTCCTTCTCTAGTGACTTCTATTATTTACTTTTCTTCATCATCTCCTATCGAAAAAGGAAATCAAACAAACAATAGAATTCTTTTGACTACATTGTGAGAAACATTCCTCTTGACGGTGGTATCAAATGTACACCCAATGATTATCTAAACATAGTTTGAAATGATATCTCCGCCTCAGTATTAGAATTCAACTTTGTTCAAATGTCGGACGTAACCTTAGGTTTCATAAAGAAATCAAAAGTGTGAACACAACGTGATTTTGTTTCAGTTGATGAACTACAACGATAAACAAATATAACCACACGTGTGCCTATCATCGTTCAGATCAAGTCAGATTTTTGTTCTTTTGTTGCTTGCACACATGCACAGCTAATTGGTCCCATATATACATGTATTATCGATAAACATTTCTTCTCCCCTGTGCATATTTTGTTGCATCATAGATGTGTCAAAACTTCTTGTTCTTGTCTTTCTTTTTGTAATATATATCCAAGCTTGGTATGCGTCTAAATGACTACGAAATCATTTACTTTTTGATGCACTCGAGCGAGCGATTATATTCGATAGGATATCATAACTGAACACCACCCCGAGCAAATGATGATGATGGGTGGGATTAAAACTCTTCTCATTGAATATATATCTATAAGCATTGTTTGCTCAGAGACGAAATCAAGGGTACTTTGATCCGTTTCGTATTTGACACTCGCTTGCCATACAAACACACGTTCAATCAATAATATAAAGAGAAAGCAATAGTGTGATGAAGCACAATAGCAAATAAAACGTATGAACTCTTCATTGACAAGCAAAAGAAAAAGAGAGAGAAAGAAGCGAAGTCGTGTTTCTCTCTCTCTCTCTCTCTCTTCTTCTTCTTCTTCTTCATCGTTTCTTCCTTTTTTCCTTTTCTCTTCCGGAGAAAGAGAGGATCACAATGTATATATGTAATCATAGTGTCTTGTCGATGATCAATTAACTAGTTGCTGGTCAACGAGTCGCTCGCATGTCGGTCAAGTGTTGTCTTGTCTTTTTCAATTGACGTAATGGAATGGTCTTAGTACTGATAATTGTTTGTGTTTTATCAACAATCTTATCTTCATTGTCATCCGAAGTAACAAATACTAAACATCTTCCACAAGCTATTATCATTGGGGTGAAAAAGTGTGGAACGCGAGCCTTACTAAAGTTCCTTTCTGTCCATCCGGCAATTGCTGCATCGTCAACGGAGATTCACTTTTTTGATTCACCAAAACACTTTCCATTGGGTCTGGATTGGTATCGGTAAGTTTCGATTTTTCTTTTGTTTCTATTTCTTCCTCATACTCATTTTTAATCGGGATTATTAGTTAAAACAACAGATAGATTAAAGTCATAGTCTCAAGAGTTCAGACGAGCGCATTTATTCTTTCAAGTGCACACATGCGCATACGCGAGGATGAGACGAATGAGTCTAGTCAAGCATGTATAATGATCTCTATCATTAGAGAGCAAGAATGACAGTGACAACGAACATCAATAATTTACTGCTAAACATTCCTTGCATGAAATCGATTTTTCCTTCTAATTTGTTTCTGTACAGTATACATATCGTCTCGCCGTTGACCATAGAACTTCTTTTGCGTGTTGTTTCCTATGTAATCGAAACTTCCCTGCGGGCAAGCTCTAGACTGAAATATAAAAATCGATACGGCACGCGAGTGAAGAGAGACTTTATGTAAAATAGGTTGTGCAGATGTGCTCTTTTTTGATCACATCAGGTGGGCGGCAAATTTAATTGAAAAACAAAATCCGATGAATGCACTCAATCGGAAAATAGACACGAGAAAGAAAAGAGATCAATTTGCACGAAACATCAGGGCATTGAACTTGAATAATATATAGGTATCTATTGAGGAAAACATCGAAGTCTATCGCTTGATCAGATCACTGCAGGTGATGTTTTTCCTCTCCAGTTGAAATTGTCTAATTCTCGGATGAATTCTTCTTCATTTTGCGGGAAAAGAAAGACAAAGATATCACGTCAAGTCATTATTATTGACTGTACACAACAGGAGGTCAGTAGTGTAATGGATCACAGAGACGAAAAGGTGTGCCGATGCATGGAAGAAACATTGCCGTTCATTTCCTTGTTTTTATCTTATCATCATCACAGTATGACGTCTAATCCTAACATACTGTTGCTTCTGTGTATGTTCTCATTTATCATGTCGAAATACATGCCATGATCATAATCGTATAATTGAACGATTACACCTTAAGAAAGGAGAAGAAGAAAGGAAAACTGTCGAATGATTGATGACTTTCATTTCTTTCGCGTTCTTTTTTAGAAACCAAATGCCAATAGCAGATACGAAGCAACATGTAACAATAGAAAAAACGCCACACTATTTTGTCGACAAACGTACTCCAAAACGTCTTGCACGTTTACTACCTGATGTGAAATTAATTTTAATTCTACGTGATCCAATTATTCGAGCAATTAGTGATTATGTTCAAATCAAAAATCGACATGAATCCTACCCGACGTTTGATAACTTCGTTTCGATGGAGAATTTCACTAAGTGGACACCGATTCGAATCGGCTGTTACGCCATTTACCTTCGTCGATGGTTAAAATACTTCCCGCTAGAACAAATTCATTTTGTCGATGGAGAAAATCTCATTCATCGGCCATGGGAAGAGTTAGAATCTGTACAAAGATTTCTCAATGTATCAAATCACATTCGCGAAGAAGATTTCTACTTTAATATGGAAAAACGTGGCTTTCCTTGTATCAGACAACCGAATGGTTGTTTAGGTTCATCGAAAGGTCGCCAACATCCAACGATTTCCGGGCAAACACGCGAGAAACTAAAACATTTGTATTCGAATTGCAATCTGCAACTGAAACAGCTAGCTCAGATAGATTTTCCTTGGCTTTAGCATGACATTTATCAGAGTTATGTCGAAAGTTTTGTATGTTATTTGTTATTTTTTTGCTAACTTTTACAAAGAATAATATATAACGGTTTTCTCATTTTCTTTTCGAAATGAATTTCGTTGTTATGAGAAGATTCGTTCGATAGCAATTAATTTATTCAACTCTCCATTATCCTACAATCGATGTTCATCTTGATGCGCTTATTTACACACCATACACACTTTATCATTCACAGCAGAACACGGAAAGAAATCCAATGAGTTCCCTTTCGAATGATTACTCTCATTCAAATATTCATCACACTCGACAAGTGTCAAAAAAAATTATGTGTTCAATATAATCAATCATCCGAAGAAAGTTTTAGGTGAGAAAATGTCGAAATATATGAAAAAGGCGATATGTACCATCTGCGTGTTTGAAATACTTGTCGTCGGACAGGAAATCTAGTGAACGTTTAATCGAGAATGATAATGATGTTTCCTAATCATACATATAGGCTGACACATGTCTACTGTGAGACAAACCAGTCAGCTGCCCGCCTCTTATCCGCACATATACACGCGATGAGCAGAAGACATCGCATCACATCAATGAACCATTTGTTCACTGAGAGAACAATGGCGGCGAGCTGATGCCCTAATGCTTCCTTTGTCATAATATACTGTTTGTCTTTCATTGTCAAGAGAATCAATTCAATTTTCTAGATAGACAACTGATGACATTTAACCGAAGGAATAACAGTCATCGGATCTTCGTATTTCTTTCCCTCAAAACTTCAAATCATATAACCTAAAGGTAAATTTTGCTTCTTTCATTTTCAAAAAAAAAAAGAAGAAGAAGAAGTAGATCAATGTCTACGTCTAGACGTCAAATGACTAACTATGTGTTTCCTTTTGTAATTATCTCTCTTTCTCTCTACGTCATTATCTTCCATTTCATTGTGATGAAATATGAAATTGAACAATCTGCGTAATGAGAGTTAAATAACATTTCGATATATATGCCATTGCAATGATTAAATGAAGCATTAAGAAAACGAAAATATTAATTTGAAATTTAGCATACCATTGGGAATCTGAAATGTGATGAACACTTTTGTCGATGATATAATAAATCGATGCAGGAAAGTTCAAAAAATACTCATTAGTTTGCTCGTTGATCATAGTGCGCGTAAATAAATCATTGTTGCACAGCTGGATCTCACGTCATACGTAATCAACATCAGATGTTTTCTTGAACAACTATCAAGTGTCTATTATCTATTTTCTTTATGAAGAAAATCAGTTTATAAAACGATTGTTCCTTCGAAGATGAAGAAAGAAACGTACATACACAAGAACTAGAATATCAAACAACGATAACTACATACATATCACCGGTACTCGATAAGGAGAAATGTAAAAGAGAAACATGAGATGAGAATTTTTTATGCTGACAATTACAAAACATTCATTCTAAGGTTCATTCAATGTCATCGATGATGACGAACTTGACGAAGGAGAGAGGATAATACGACGACGCTTACATTTCTTTTGTTTGCGTTGTTTCCGCTTCGTTCCTGTGGTTAACGGTTGTCGGCGACTATAATTATGCTCCCGATCAAGTTTGTATACCGTTGAACCTGATTGCATCGAATATAAAAATTCATTTCGACGCATTTGCCGAATTTCATTACCAAATTTTATATGATACAAAAGAACACGTTTACGGCCTAAATATTTACATGAATAAATTGCACCATCTGTCCATTTTATACGAATATTTGCACCCGTAGTCAGTGGCAACGGTTCAACAGTTGGATCAAACTCGAGAATATCTTCAGCAAGCCTAGAGAAGAAAATGTTTGATGAATAAGAAGAAAAAAAAGCAAAATCAAGCTTATACATGTCGTGACTGTAACATCCATCGCCAAAATCGACGATATAATGAAAATTGATTTCATTGCCCATGACTTGACCTATCTTCCGTTGCTTATCATCATTCCATACAACTCGTGCGCCTATTGGTATACGTTCATTCTCGGGAACGATATCATCATCATCCTCGTCGTTGTTATGTGCGTGTTCATCATCGACTACATTGTCGTGATGCTCTGGTGTTTCGTAAGCATTCTTATCTGAAGCTGAATGTCGACCGTTGACAGACATTGACGATGGATGAGGGATCGGGTGTAGATGACAACGAGTATTTATTATTGAATAATCATCATCCATTTGAAATGTACATCCGCTAAGAAGGCCGCAGGTGACATGGAATCGATTGAAACATTGAGAGTAATTGCATGAAACAAAACTATGAGTTGGAATACATCGGTGATTTAAAGGACAAAACGACCAACAATAATGGCAAGTATTTCGTTGAGTTAGAAATAGCGGAGATTGTTCGTATGCTTGGTATATGGAACAAAGAGCATGAGTAAAACTTGATGATGCATCCGAAGTGAGAAGCAGACCACCACGAAATATACAAGCTGAACAATGATCATCAAGTATTTGAGAAGACTAAATAAAATCGGAGGAGATATTTATATGCAATAGCGCGCCGAGTGTTACCTGTCTTCTTAAATAGCATCTTTGACAGTACCATGGGCTATACTCATCAGGAATAATCACATTCAAAGCTAAGCATAATTGATCATAACATTGTTGATGTACAGAAACATGGCAATCATCGCATTCGAGTATTCTATTTGACATATCATTGAGATCATCTAGTAGAAATAATTGTGAAACGGGGACTGATGGTTGATTGTCGTATTTATTGGCAGTAAAAAGGTAACAGATCGCACAATTTGATATACGATTTTTGATCCATTGATTAAACAATTGTTCGGATGATCTGTTTAAAATCTGATAACTCCAGAGACCATCAAGAATGTTTTCTCGATATTTATTCGCTTGTGGTAAACCATGGAAAACTATTGGAAATAAGACGGAAGAAGATAAGTTAAATGCAAGATTTGCGGTTAAACATAATAATTTCCTCGAGTTCTTCTCGAAATTTTTATTCAATTTAAATTGACCTCGGCAAAGTGCAGCACGAATCAATGGGTTCGGATATTGAGTGATAGACAATTGTTTTAGTTTATCAAATTTAGCTAGATTACGAAATATGCGTGCATAACGTTGATCAGATATTCGTTGTTGATGAAGATATTGAGTCAGTTTGGTAGATGATGATACATCAGTCGAAGCTTAAAACATAGAGCAATGCAGCAAGTCATGTTAGTCTTTCAAAAGAGCATATCCAAAGTTTAGCTTGACTTTGAATCGGTGAAAGCTACTGTTAGCGTATCTTACCTTTTCTCGAATTCGGAGTTTGTAGCAGTCGTCTTTTCGTCGGTGAACTTCGAACGATGGTTGTGTTAGTTATTGAGGTAAAGTCATCTTCTGGATGCGATGTAACATTAATACCATGACACCAATCAGCGTAGAGTTCAGGTTGATATTTCAAGACAAAACGATCCATACCGATTTTAACCATATCATGACGACAGGAACATTGTAGACAATGTTTTCCGTATTCAATCCAACGTTCTAAAGCAAAATTAGTAGATTCTGCACAGTTAAAGCCATAATTGAATCCAGCGTGATAAGCATATGGAAATGTAATGATAAATTCATTCTCATATTGAGTCATTTTACTGTATGGAATCGATTGTTGAGTTAAAATAGATGGCGAGATAAGAGTCATTTTATGTCGAAGAAATGCTGGACAACGTTTGGCCAACGACGGAAAGTGTGATGCAGCGAATTTTTCAAATCGTTTACCATACGATGGCGGAATAACATACCTAAAACGTACAAGATCCTATTTAATTTCTGACATGAAAAGATCGATGTGCATCTTTTGCAAACAAATTAAAACTCGAATGAAATGAAATGGTGTCAACCTCACCCTGTAAGATCTCTAGATAAATATTCTAAATATATATATAGCATGAAGAAGAAACAAGTGAATTCGAACATCTGTATATTTACCATTGTTTCGGTGCACCGAAATGAAGATAATTTATTGAGTATAGATCCATGTCTTCTGTGTGCCAAGCGAATGTCGCTTTCCACATTCCAAAGTACAAATAGGCTGTATTAACACCTTCAATTTTTGTGCCATATTCCGTTTCTAGATCGCTGAGAATCGTACCCAAATTATTGACATTCCATACTTTCTGATTTTGATCATAGAACGAACCACTAACATCTATGCAAAGCAAGAGAAATGCATAGTGTAGCTTGTTAAACTTCGTTTTGCCATACCTGCTCCATAAATCGGTGCGATCGAGGTTAGATTCTCCCAATACTTCTTCTCTAATTTCAAAACATCATGTTCGATTGCACTGGGTGTTGCATAACGCGTGGTCGATGTTAATTTTTGAAATTGACTTAGTTTTACTGATCGCTGTTGAATATTATACACCGAATAGAATCCATCTTTTCCATGAACTTCTTGTTTGATGGGATTCTGTACCATTGTGTCGTCAATTTGCTTTTGTTTGTAACCCATTTTCCTAGCCACCCACTCTCTGGGTGGTACGATTTTGGCCAAACCAATTTGATGTGCACCACATGATTCGATTTTTGATATATAAGACGAAAAATTCTTGAATTCATCGAACGTTGGATAGTATATCGGTACTTCAAGATTTGACGATAGGTTTGACATCTGCAACATAATAACAAACAAATAAAGAAATCTCTGGTTCACATAATCATTTCTATTTTCATTATCAAAGACAAATAAAACATAACAATTACTATTTCCTTTGTTGCGAGACATCATAGAAACAAGAAAGACAAAATATATAGAAAACAAATTGGACTACGATTGAGAAATTAAAATCGAATCTGTTCACAAGCATGATTGTACTTTTGAGCATGAGCTGGCTTAGTATATTGCGTACGACAATGTTTACCATAGTAACAATTTTCACGATTACGCATGGCAATTGGTGAAATATCTTTAGGTTTTAAAGCTACACGAAATTGGTAGGCAAGTTCTTTGAAGATGCGTAGACCACATTTATAACAAACGACTTTTGATGATGGAGCTATCATAGAAAGCGAAAAGATAAATTCTTCAATGAATATTTGTAGTAGTATACCAGGTGCATTACGATCGATATCTGTGCAAGCGAACTCTTTTCGATCAAGACGTTGACAACATTCGATAAGTAATTCTCGTGTTGTGAGGTGATGAGTTGTCAGGTAACTCTAAATCCACAAAGATCAGTTAGTTTTACATGAAGTCATGTGTCTTACTTGAACAATTTGTGTTTCAGTCGGATTATCATTGACTAGATTAGTTAAATGTCGAGCACCAAAATTGAAATCTATTGGAGAGGATAAGACAGTTGGATGAATTTTCTAGGGAAAAGTCTTTCGTACTTCGTAATTGGTTCAAACAACCGAGACAACCTTGGCGTTGACATTGTTTAAAATAGATATTGCAAAAATATTGATGACATATTTCACCTACAGAAGTTCATTTTACAAACTTGTAACCAAATAGAAGACGAACTTACAGCTTTGATGTATGTTGAGTTCATCTGATCGGTCAGGCATTGGTTGAACACAACATTGACAGATAATATGCTTTTGACCTGGACGACATCGATAACCAGTAGGAATAACACTAGCATCAGCTCTTACAGCTGAATCATCAATGTTATTTTACCAAGTGGATAGAGAAAAAACTAAAAAACGTACCTAGAGCAATTGGTGGACATTGACGACACATAAATCGTGCATCAGGTACAGTATTAGGCATGAGTAAAACACTTTTTCATAAACTTAATGAGAGCAATCTTGTGAAAATCAGCATACTTACAAGTGATCTTCATCATCGTCGCCGTCGTCATCCATCTGAATATAGAAGTATCTTTTAATATTTTGCAGAAAACTCTCTGAGTAAAACTACCTGGTCATTTTCATCCTCATCATCTTCATCTTCATTTTCTTCATCGTCATCATCTTCATCTTCGTTTTCATCATCATCCTCGTCGTCGTCATCCTCGTTTTCGTCATCATGACTGTTAATATCCCGTCGAAGATACATTCCATTTGAATCAACCTAGAAACAAAGCTGTCATGTTTCTTGAAAGAATTATTTTTGTATACCAACAGCATTATTAGCATTGACAATTGTTTTCGGTTTAGCTTTAATGTTATCAATAGCTTGCAATGCAGGTCGTTTATGTGGATACGCTTTGAAATATGCTTCCAAAATACCATTGATTACTACATTCTTTTTTTTACCAATCACCTTTGCGCGACATTTAGGGCTGAAAAGAACAGCATTATTCACTGTTGTAAAAAGAAAATGAGTCGTTACCATGTACGTTGAACGGCTTCCCATGAATGATAACAATCGCTACAAAAAGCGTGTAAACAAGGTTCGAGACAGATCGGATTGTTCATGATTTCTTGACAGCAAACACATGTGAGTATATCTTCCATATCATCGCCAGCTTTCATAGCTGAATCTTCATTTGTTTTCATTCGTTTTAATTCAACATCGGTACTCATAGTCGATAAATCAACATTTTCTTTAGTGTCTATAACAAAAACAGTAAGATCAACTTTTATTTGACTCAAGATGACTGACCATTTGTTGTTACGAATGAATTTGATGGAGTGTCTGAAATCAATCATCGAAGAACAGAACTTCATAGTGATACCGGCCAAACTCTTACCAGAATGTTTCCGTTTCAATTTGTTATCCGATTGGCTTAACGTTTTGGTTACTAATGGCAATTCCAATTGAAGAATGATATCTACACAACACAGTACGTATAGAAACGAATGAACAATTGGTTTTCTGATCAGAGTCTTACTCGCTGTGGGTTCGTCTTTCCGAAAAACCAGATGAATGATATCCCCAGTTTGTAATTCAAGTGGCTAAAATTTTTCAATAGATTCCAAATCATTCAGCAACGACATCTTACAGATTCATTTTTATTGATCTTTTTTGTTCGATTGATTAACGTTCCATTTGAACTGGTATCTCGAATATAGATATGTCCATCATTGAATTCGAATGTACAATGGGCTGATGACACATAACGATTATTCTCGATAGTTAAATCATTTGCTAAACAAAAGACAAACATTTACATTTGATTAATTCCAGTAATAGTTTCAATTCACGTTCGATCTTTATCTTTTATTCTATTAATTTCTGGAGAGAACAAGTGAAATGATTTACTTGATGCTCGACCAATTTTGAATTGGTTTTTGTAAATTGATATGACGCTATGATCGATTAAATTCTTTAGACGAAATAGAGCAGATTCATCTTTAGATGACATCTGAAATGGAAAACAAAATTTGAGTTTTTCTGCCAAAATTTCAGTGTCTGACAGTGCCCTCCTTCTTTTAATTAACAAGATTTGTAGTTTTCTTTTGTCTACATTTTTGATTGACTGCCGTTGACCACTCCTGCTTCGCAACCAACCGCCTTACAAGAACGAAAGAAAGAAAGAAAAAAAGAAAGAAGAGAAAAACATCAACAATCGACACAAAACGAAAAAGAAAATAAACAATTTGACACAACGATCGATTTAGATATTGAATGAAATTTTTTAAGAAATTTTTCTTGATAAAATTCTGTAATTAATTTTCCTGAAGCGTTGCCATCTCCAAATCTATTATAGACATCTACAGACACACATAAGTTAAAAAAGAACCAATAACTTCCGCAATATCATAGTTCGTTCAATGTCTCTGATTCCATTAAGATGGAAAGTTAAATGAACAAAACATATGAATATGCTTTGTAGACTGGATTAACAAGAAGAAATCAAATCTATTTAGTATTTTATCAATTGACAACAATTATAATCGAATAAAAACTTAAATAATTAGAAAATAGAGAACTATGCACGTTCAGATGCAGGATGTCGATCTCTCAATTGTTCGATTGCGGTTTTCCACTGATTATAAGCAGCTTCATTCATTTGCCAGCCAGCTTGATACTCATGTGAACCTTTCGTGTCCGTCACCACATAAGTTATGACCATGTGTGGATAGTCCGTACGATAGCGACCATTGAAATCTAGAAGAAGTCCAGAGAATACTAATAACAAGAAAATATTTTGTGCTTACATGCTTGTTGTCGAATATCTTTAACTGATAAGACTGGTATACGAAGCAATCCTTGATCACCACAACATCCTGTGACAGTGACTTGAGAGTAAAAACAATCTTCAGTCAATGCCATTTCTGCATTTCCTAGAGTCTAGATCGAATGAAAAGTACACGGATAATTACTAAATATCGAGCAAACGGAAACGAACTTGACATCGACCTCGCTCGGTAGTGCCACTATATGTCGCTGTGCCTTGCCGTGTTCGCAACACAGCTGGCTGGATTGTATCGAAATCGATAGCTTCTGAGGATTGAAAACAACCCATGTGTAGAAAAGCCGACAAAATGTGACTGTGTTAACCATGATAGATATAAGGCGCAACAAGTATGGATGACTCAGTGCTACACCGAACAAATGAAAACACAGACGCGACGAAAAGATGGCGATGGCGCATAAGACATATGAAAGCAAGTTAACGCTTTGTCAAGTCAACAGTAGTAACAGCGACTAACTTTTTTTCCCATTGAAAATGGTTTTTTCTGTCTGATTTCATGTCGTGAATTGCTACTTAATCGACACATTATTTGATTGTTGCTCTGAAAATAAAAAAAACTTTTTTGAGTGTTAGACTCTGTTAACTTTTCATTCGCCGTGACATGTTTCGCATGACTTCGTTCCAGACAACCGTTTACACGCCGCTACTTTGCTTTTTTTTCTATAAATATAGCTCTCATTGTTAGACAATTCAATTATTCCTAGAATTGTTTGCCTGAAAAGTATCTTTTTAGGAGACAAACTAGAAAAAAAAGAATGCTTTGTGTAGGAGAGGGAAGACATTCAAGTATAGATCTTGAAAACAAAATGATTTGAATGAAATCTAGCATTGTCATAAGTAACACATTTCTCTTCCATGAATGTTCTATTCTTGCCTAACGCGAAGCACTATATCGGCAAAATATCATGGAATATGAATAAACATCACTTATTACAAGTATCTTTTGTGCTTCAATAATAAAAATCCGATGTTATCTAATTATGCTATGACTATAGACAATTAGATTCTCTCCAGGTTCACTCTACGTTTCTTCAAGTTTTCCTAGTTTTCGTAAAGGTTGGTTTCCGTCATTAAATCTCATAGTTCATCAGCCAAAGAACGATAGGCATGCATGGAAACTATCTAAATAAAGTAAATCTATTATTAAACTAGGGTCTCGAAAATTATTCACGGAGTGTATTGGATAAAAATAACTCCTACATGTTCGAGTTCGGACTCTTTTTCAATGTATAATAACGCAATAAATGTGTAGTTTATTAAAAATAAAGGGTTTCTCTTTTTAAATATAACCACGACGAAAGAATTGTTCGACTTATGCCATCAGTTGATTATGATCTGTATCACTTCCATCACCGATGACAGTGATATGTCTTGCAAGTACTTTACGTGTTGATGGCGAGGTTGGCTTCTGTGCTGACTGTCGTGGTTCCTGTTGTTGCACATTCAAATCGTTTTGTGTAACTTGAGCATGAATATTTTCTAGTTCCACTGTGCGATGCAATGGCGCGAAGTCAAGTCGTTGTTGTGTTGACGATGGATCTGTTGACATGGAAGTAGTATTTTTGCTTGTATATCGTAAATCACTCTGTGTGCGTGTGAGTGTATTTATTCTTGGTGCTATTCAAACTAATTTCTCATGAACGGAAACAGAAACGAGAGAAGAAGAAGAAGATCAGACTATGCTTTTCTCCTCCTCTTTTTCTTCTTCTTCTTCTTTCTCTATCTTGTTCGCTTTTTTCTGCAGATTATATTACGTCTGTTTCTCTCCTCCAATTTATGCTTAAGATTGACACGCAGTGTTAGTCGTCTTATTATTAATTTAATCAAGTTAATTCGTTTCCTCAGTGGATGCATGCGTTTACATAAAGGTCAATTAGTTTCATACGTGTCCTTTTCGAAAATTGACAAGTTAGGAGCGCTTTTTTTGGTTATCCGAGAGAGAAAAAATATGATCTGTCAATGTTTTCGAAAAACACACACAAGCCGCGCTCAGTCTCGACTGACCTTAAACAATGAATTAATAACTAGTTCAAAGCAACTAACTAGAATGAATGATGAAGATATTCTCTATTGGTTTGAAACCTTTCATCGCGATTGCCCGGATGGTTTCCTAACTCAACAAGTCTTCATTCAATTCTATAAACAAGCATTCCATGATGGTGATCCCACGAAGTTTTGCAAACGTATATTTCATATTTTTGATCGCGATAAATCAGGCAGGAGTTGTTCCTCTCTGGATCGATTTTACAAATTGATCTTTACTTCTGCAGGTACAATAGACTTTATGGAATTCTTATTAGCGATAGACCTGTTCGAGAATGGGAGCTTATACGAGAAGCTTTACTATGCATTTCAGTTGTACGATTTGGATGGTAATGGGATACTGACACGAACTGAAATAGTACGATTAATTAAAATGATTCTGTCGGTACGTGGAGAAACGACAAATGATCAAACAAAGCAAACAATCCGAGCACATTTGAATGCATTTTTAAAACATTTTGACGTGAATACTGATGAGAAAATAAGTCTAGAAAAATTTTGCATCATATGTGAAAAAGACGAAGTTTTGAAAAATTTTCTTTCAGTTGCATTTGCAATTTAGTCATCGACAAAGATAAGAAAATTCAACTCAAACACAGCACAAATATTCGAATATTACACTTTCCTCTTAAAGACGATAGCAACTAGCAATTTTACAAATATTTCACGTGACTTGCACTTATGACTCATGTATATACAACTGATTGTTAGAATGTTTCATTCTCAGTGATCTTCAGCATGAAAGTATCATCTTATCTTGCGAAGGCACATTTCACCAGGATTGTTATTGCATCACTTGTTCAGAGAAATGATAGTCAATGCCATTTTATAACGACAGAGTTCTGTGTATATGAAAACGAAGATAAGAATGTCATGCAGTTGATATGTGCGACATGCACTGAGATATTTTTATTCTAATTAATCGCCATTGAACAACAGCTTCAATTGCGTCTTTTATCAAAAGAAAAATCTTTCAGGCTATACTCCAGTGAATATCAATTTGATAAGACGTGTAAAATTACGACACGGTATTTGATTAATGTGAACGGTTTTTAGTGAGAAGAAAAAGTGGTTAAATACAATGTTATGTGAGTCTAAACAAACGAAGTCAGCAGTTGATGCTCGTGTTTACAGATTATGTTACGAAAGTTCGTTTCCTGATGACACATTTTGTTTCGGATTACAAACGAATGTATTGAGTTGTTTCAGAACTCAACGGTCGTTGGATGCTTTTAGGGATTATTTTGGTTGCCGTGATGTTTTGCATTCTGGCACTTCGTATGTGAAATATGTCTCTTTGAATGAATATTCGATATTATTCATCATAAAACAATTTCCATCGAAACTAGTTGAGAATTCTTTGTTTTTTTTTATGGCTGTACAAAATGTTTTTGTGTAAAACGAAAGGAAGAAAAATAAGAACTTGGAAAAGAAACGAAATGATGTAAGCAGGGCAAATATACGTCTATTTGCTTTGAATATGATTCAACCGTATGACGTCGCAATTCCCTGACAAACAAATCTCACATCTTGATAATTCATTCTTTTTCTCTCCATTCATGTAGAAGCGAAAGAAAATTCGTTTTTATTCGAACAAAATAGACGAAAAATGTGACAAGAAAAATATCCCACTAAGTCAATATGCACTGCACTAAAGCAAAAATAGGTACCATATATATCCTCATATTTGTCTCTTTTTTTACGCGCTTTTTCTCGAAATGCTTTTCGGTAAAATCTGTGTGAGTAGGGGCGGTGTCGGATTCGTTCGGCGTTTTTTTTTCTCCCAACAGTGACACGGGTCGTTGTTAGGGTGTGATCGAAGAGTTCTGGCTAAATTCAAAGTAAATTTTTTTTTCGTTTTTGCTTTTGCGATCCGCATGTTAGATGTAAGCGACGGAAGAAAAGTAGCAAAAAGATTTTCGTTTGTAACTTGGTCACCTCTGCTTACATTATACATGAGGACAAAAAGAATAGAAGCGGAGAAGATTGTTCCCACAACAACAACAATAATAACAAAAGCAAATAGAAAATACATGGGAGAATAACGTGAAAAAAAAACACTTTTTTCGTGTGTCATTTTCGTCCTTTGTAAAACAAAAGATAAGCTAAACTTCCTATCTCATTTCTACTAGAGTCATTCTTAAATGTGACGTCAGACAGCATAGCTGATTTTCTTCAGATTTCATTTGATAATTCTACTCAAGACAAAGAAATACTCTTATAAATGAAGTCAAAGCAATGTAAGTGCTTCCTATTATACTATACAAAAACTGATTTGTCTTCTATACACTTCTTATGTTTTAGTGTATCCAAAATCTGTTCGGCCATCATCCACGAATAGTTGTTCATCAAGCAATGCTACTAAACATCGTGTACGGTGCTCATTGTGTGATGCGTTGTTGAAAGCTTCCTCAACGCATCGATATCTCTTGTCCGGTAAATCAGTCCATGATAGTTTAGACCCAGGCGTAACTTATGGTGAATGCTGCCAACGGTATTTGAGTGAATCTTGTGATCTGAATAAACTTCATATGATTTGTCCTAAATGTTGTCAAAATCTGCAACGAATTCACCTACTATATAAAGATGCTGAACAGTTAAAACAAAGTATTCAACATACGTGGTGTAAAACCAAACGGTTGAATCGTGCGCGCCATTTACGTGTGAATTACTCTCGTATTCAAGATGATATCTCATCTTCTCCTCTTCCAACAATAGCAACCGATACTGACATGATCATTTCTGTAAAAAAAGAACCTGATACTGAAGGTTTATCAGTAATAATGAGACCATCGGAAAAAATACCATTTAGCGTTTCCGAAAGCGTTGTGGCGAATATTCCCCACGATCTGTCAAGTAAAACTCAACAGCATACACATCAAAATGAACTATCAACGAAAATACCCCAATCAGTCGATAGAAATCATAATTTCACCAATGGAAAAGCATCCGTATGTTTAATATTTCTAGATTCAATTGAGCATTTCATTCATATTTCAGGTGCCAAAGAGAATACCGTCATCATCATCAGCAAAGAAATCTCGTGTTTCCAATCCTTATCTGCCATTTCGATCTGCACAATCAATTCGATCGACGTTATCAAATGGACCCGAGTGTTTTTATCCAAACTCGTCATATCAGCCAATAAACAGCAATCAAGTTTCTGTATGTTTCCTACGATAATACAAGACACTTTAACCTATTCTATAACTTCTAGTCCCAATACGCTCAATTAATGATTGAAACACCCTCACCCTCGTCGTCGTCCTCATCTCATCAACAACATCATGCAGACATCACCCGATGCGATAGTTCAGATAGCGAACAATTACCTTCAATTTTAAAGTTTCAACACTCTATGAGTAAGTAAGAATCACTTTCTTTGACTCTGATGTTCACTATTTGTCTCTGATCGCAGACGGTGAGCGATCTATTTCACCGGCAACGAATGATGATGAAACTTCATCAGTGAATGGAGCGAAAGCCACGCGTCTAAGTCGACGTCAATATGATTTCTTAGTTAAGTTACCTGATCAACAATCATTGAACGCTTTTATCGAAAGTTCAGCGGCTGATTCTGGTTCACGTTGGACATGGCGACGAACATCTGCTAACTCGCGAGGTTACAAAGTATATTACGTATGTAACTTTTCCATGCGTCGTCATTATCATCCATGTCCAGCTGCGATGTACGCTTTATTTCATCCTGAAGGAAGTATATCAATTTATTCTTGTGGACAACATCAACATATTCCAAAAGATCGTCTACCAGTTAGTATTACAGATGCAACAAAAGATGAAATCTTCAAATGTCTACAGGCTGGTATGGCAACAACCGATATTCGAGAACATTTGACTCGTCTTCAGTTACCATTTGGTGATACAAGAAAATTGAATAATTTCATCAAATATCATAAAGAGTTATTACGTTTTGGCACGGTGACAAATGTTCGAATAGGTGGAACAGCCTATCGTCAACCTCAATGTTGGGCTATTCGAAGACAATCATCAGGTCCGATGCCACCAGTAGTACCTTCAACAATCAATGATACTGATACAACAGTTACACCACCATTGACTTCATCATCGTAAAATAGTCTGGTTCCTTTTTCCAAGTAAAAAAAAGAACAATTTAGTTGTGTTTTGACAGTATACAATATGTAATATTTTGTCGGTGAAATTTTCATTTTTCTAGTAAACAAGACAATACAAGGAATGATTTATTCTTGCTGATGTTACTTTGTTTTATTTTATTTGTTTTATGAAAACTAAAGTTCTTAGACAAAAATATAAAAACCACTAATTCACTTTTAACATATTGTTCAATGTCTTGTTGCATAATCGTCTCTCATTGAACAGCCGTATGGAATGAACGTCGGCTGAAATTGGTTGCGAAATGGATAGCAATATCAACTTGTCGCATCCATGATTTCCGCGGGAATTTACTAGCTTCCGTTAAACTGTGTACAGCTAGGGAAGGTAGAGTACAACGGGATATTTTCTCCCAATCGTACATGATTTCTTTGTGAAGTGTATCATCACCGCGTAGTATAAAACGATAATCCACTTTCCGACGTTCTCTCGGTAAAGGTATTTTGGCTGATGAAGATTCTTCGCGTTGCATGTCGGGCAGTTGAGTCGCTTTAGTTTTGATTTCTTCTTTCAATTTGATTCGTTTCTCTTTCATTTTGGCTTTTACCGCTGTACTAGCACGTTTTGTTTGCCAAGCATTGTTCTGTCCGCGCCGAACTTTCGCCCATTCGACACCACTCAAGTGACGCAATGTTCGCCCGTCCTTATCTGGTCTGTACATCATCTCCTTGATTAAACGAAATTGTGCAGCAAATAAACGAATACGAATCGGCACATATACATTGGCTGTTGAAGCCGATGAAATCGATGATGATACTCGACTGGTCATCGCACGTTGCGTCTAAAAAGATGAAGTTTTTCTTTGAAGAATACTTCATCTCAACGTACACGTCGGCTTGGCGTTGGCGACACTTCATCAGTGATAAGTCCTGTTTCAATGAGTTCTATTGCATTTCGAAGGAGTGATGTTTCCAAACGATATAATTTTGCTACCTAGATGGAACGAAAATATTAAGGAAACACGTCGAGATCAGACACACTTTCGCCCATAGTTTTTTCCCAATACTGATTTCATGGGACTCTGCTGTTAAAAGTGTGGATTGTGCGCCTTTGACGTTTTGAGTTCCTGTTGGATTTGTCAAGATTTTTGATTGTAATGAAGTCGTGACATTAAAGCTGAGGAAAACAAAAAAGCGAATTAGTTTCTATCAAGCGATCACTTACTTTTTCATATAAAGTTCGGTATTTTTCAATTTGATCTTTTCTTTTTCATCTAGTGTAACATACGCCGCCCGCATTTTCTCCTTTGCATATTCAGCTGTCGAATAATAATCATGAAAATTATTATTATACCCGTCGATTAGTATTTTATAACCCAACAATGATTCACCATGTCTGACTAATGGTTTACGTTTCAATGAACTGTATTGTACACCGTACGTAGCATAAACTTGTTCACGTGCTCGATCAGCCCATTGTTTAAAAAGATAAATGTGCCGATAAGCAATTGTCACTTTATTCGAAATTTGAACACCACCGAATTGTTTGGTTAAGATGAATAGAGCAATTTCACGTTGTTTTGGACTTACCTCTTGACGTAGAGCCAGCCGCCACGGTTTTATGCCATATCCATCCGGTTTTTGGAGTATAGTAACATCACGACTACCGAAAAGAAGAACGACACCGACTTGTTGGGCTTCGATGGCTTCATGTATTGGACAGCGAAGATATTCTTCGTGAGTGCAATCTCGAGAACACCATTGCCGAGAAGGATGATGACCAACTGGACGATCTGCCCGTGCTCCTAACTGAAGTAAAGCTCCAGCCTTGAGAGAAATAAAACAATCATTTCAAAATAAACTTGTCCATTAGAAGAAAATGTACATACTAAATCTACATTTCCATAATGAGCAGCACAGTATAGTGCAACTTGTATCATATATTGACGAACAAGTTCATCAGAATGTAATAATTTCAAAACAGCTTTCGTATAACCTTAACACACAACGAACTCAACGTATGAATACACAAGAAATTATTTCATTGAGAACCTTTGATTGTATATGTAAAAAAATCTGACCAACCAATCCATGTTTGTATTGTCAATGTTGAACGGTAATCTATGACGATGAAATAGAAGTGACTTCTCTTTGAGATCAATGAACTGTCTACCTATATCATATTGTGACAATCGAATATGGTCGACTAAATCCGTATTTTTATCTGTTATAAGACGAAATGCCGATAATGGAAGGCCTGATTTATGACTAGCAACGATCCGTAGTTGAAGAACAGTCGTTTCTGTTGGATGCATTCCCGAATCGTATACATCGAATGTTTCATTTCGAATCGGTAGAAACAACCGATAATCAGGTATACGATCTAGGTACGAAAGTCAATTAGACATTCAATTTTCCTTCGAAACATAATATTGAACAATTCAACTGGGAGAAAAGAAGTCGCTCTATGACGTTCTAATGAAATTTCTCGGATCATTTATTAACGACAGACATTTAAAGCAATTATTAAACGATTTTTCTTACAGGAAAAAGCTCTCATATTGATGGTAAAACATGCAGAGGATGAGAAAGAATAGAAATGCTGGTTAATGCAATGATACGTCGCTCATGTTTAACTGTCGATTGAAAATAGAATCTTATCCTATGAGGATTTTCTTCTCGATCATGTTAATTAGACTTTTCAAAGTCTACACACGTTTTCGTGAATCATTATCATACTAATTTGAATTCCATCGGAAGAAAATTATCCGCATGAAATTGGTTCACAGTTAAACAAACAAGTTGAAAAGCAAGAACTTCTTCAATGTGTGCTCACTTATGTGATTTGATCAAAATCTCTTCGTGTTAATGGGATGATGAAAGTAGCAATTCAAGTGTAGAAAATTTCTCAGAAGACAAACATTTTTTCTACCTTCCTTCACCATACATCGAACCGTCGCACCAAATTGAATCTGAATATCTTCGAGAAACCAGTGTGGTTGTAATTCAGTGCTGTTATACATCAATGATAAACGTCGATTGCCTGTTTCACCAGAACTGTTTTCGAAATGAAATCGTCTGCAGATCCATTTTAGCAGATCTTTGATGGTTAATCGTTCAGTCGTATTGTCGTTTTGAAAAATCGCCCGTTCATTTGTTGGTTCGAATGAGACAATGAAATGCATTGCTCCTGAATGAAATCGAATAACTCACAAATGATATTCGCTCCTTTGTTCTGCTTCTTCTCCTCTCGGTATTACCATGACGAAGAGAAACTCATTTATTTCTTTCGAGATGAAATTAGTATAAAAACGCGAATATACTCGTTGAATTTTAATCATGATTAATAAAAAACACGCGAGAAAGAAGTTTTTTGTTTGATTATTGTTGCAAAAATGCTATTTTTAGTTTAAAATAATTTCCATTAACAAACAAATGAAGAAGACGAGATTCTTCCCAATTGTGAGTATTATATCATTGAATGAGCACAAATCTTCTCTCGAAGGGTAAAACTTTTCATAAGTACAGATAAACGTTGGCCGATAGTTAGATCGTTTATTGTTCGTCATACACATGTTGCATGAGAAAACTCTAATCTGATATTAACCGAGATTGAAAAACAAAACATGGTCTCGGCGTAATTGACTCGTCTAGTTCGCTTGTTTTCATCGGAAATAACAATACAAACTCTACTGATGCTTTGGGTATATAGATCTAAAACCATGAACATCATTCTCTTTTTCTTTTCTCTCTTCTTCTGTAATCAACATCAGAAGGAAAGGAAAAGTCTATTCTCTTTCTTTGCATGATAGACCAGAGGGCAAAAGGAAACTCGAATGAAATCTTCCAGCGGAACACACTAATGTGCATCAATGTCTTCGAATGATATCTATTTAAGAATAGCATAGAATGCGTTCACATGTATTCTCTATGTTTAATCTTATTTGCTATCATTTCGTATTGTGATGTTCAAACAGCTGAACCAATTGACATACATATTGGTGCATTATTCGATCTGAGATATTCATCCTTACCCAATGGTCGAGATGAACTTCGAGCAGCGGAATTAGCCATTGAAGATATCAATACTCAAACGAAAGATCTATTTCAAGGACGTTACAGACTTCGATTATTATCGAACAATTCACAAGTATAGATTTGATTGTTTCGAAGAGAACGAATAGATTTACAGAGAGAATTATTTTGTGTTATAGTGTGATCCCGTTTACGCTGTCGATGCATTCTTTCATGCAATTTTTCGTCGACAGCAATTACTTTTTCTTGTTGGAACTGCATGTTCAAACGAAACAAAAGCTGTTATTGAAGTAGCTGATTATTATAATCTAATTCTTGTAAGTTCGTTCGCATACAGTGGAGATATGGATGAACTTGATTAGATGAATATTTTAGTTTTCACATTCGACAACATTCATTTCTCAAGCAAATCAATCAGATTCGACATTAGTTCGACTTTCTGTCTCCGATGAAAATTTTAATGAAGCTCGTGTTGCATTTATCCGATCCAACAACTGGTCACACGTTGCAATTATCCATCAAGATTCCACCGAACATTCACTTGTAGAGAGAAACTTTAGTTAATTTAACTTATTTTCTCTCGACTTTTAGATGAGTGCACGATTGGCGAAGCGTTTGAATGAATCGAATATCACTGTTATGTCCACACAGAGTGCGTCTCAGACAAATCTCACATCGACGTTGCAAACACTCCGAGTAAAGTATCGTTTTATTCTTTGACTTTGCTGAAGAGTGTTTTAACTTAGGAAAGAAAAGCTCGAATTGTTTTCATCAATTTTGATACATCGTTACGATCGAAATTCTTTTGTAAAGTGTATCGAACATTTCCGAAACAATTACGCGAACGTTATGTTTGGATTCTAACGGAAAATGATCATCACCTCTGGGACTTGTCCGTTGACAATTGTACTCAAAAGGAGATTCTCGATGCTGCTCGCGGTCATATCATAATCGCAAGTTCGTATGAAACAAAACCGAGTTTAATGAATCGCACACGGGTTCGTACGTAAAATTGTAAATTCGTAATTCCTTATCGCTGATTTTTAGACAGCAGATGAGTTGCAACGTGGACTTGATCGAGACGAACATCTGAACAGACAAACTTTGCATGCCTATGATGCCATATGGGTCATTGCTTTACTAATTCATACGTCAATAGAAGAGAAGTAACTGAACTATGTTTAAATCTATTAATAAATCGTTTCTTCTCGAGTAGAGTTCCGATTGAACAGTTTACATATTCAAGCAAACATATGAGAGATCATTGGTTAACCTTGGTTGAACAGATCTATTTTCTCGGAGTATCTGTAAGTTAGAAATGAGCTGATCCTTTAAATATTAATAGAGTTATTTGCTCTTATCCTTCCGTCACGAATGTCACATTTTGTTGTTTCCGACAAAATCTAATTAGAATTTTGTTTTTGCTAAAGGAAAAGAATGTCTTCGAAAGATTTTAATATTAAGTCAGATTAATCTATTCTGACAACAAATCAAATTTGTACATTAGGGACCCGTTTCGTTTCGACACCGTCAACGACGTGCGGAAACTATTCTTACTCAATTTCAAATCGAATCAAACCGAGAATCTTTTCGAACGATTGCAGAATACTCTCATCTAGCAGGATTTAACACCAGTTGCTTGAATTGCCGATCATTGAACTGGCCAGGTAAGCATCGATGAATCTCGAAGAATGACAAAGAGCAACTTTTTTTTATTCAGGCGAATTCCCAGTCGATATTGAACGTACAGAAATTCGACGCGTCGCTTTGAATTTCGTGGACATTGTCTTAATTACACTTGCTTGCTTCTTGGGTCTCCTACTTGCTATTTTCTTTCTAACATTTAATATCATCTACCGGCACGAACGGTAATTGTTCACTAAAAGTTATTCATATTGGCAATGACATATTCGTTCATTTGTTAGTTACATCAAATTGTCAAGTCCGAAATTGAACAATGTCATGGTTATCGGTGCCATGCACATTCAAATAGGTATCTTTCTATTTGTTCTGGATGAGTGGTTCTGGAAACACAATATACTTGGACATATTTGCATGGTATGTATTTTTACTGATTTGTCTGATTTTGTTCATATTATTGGAATTTTGATAGTTACGAATATTTCTGTTCTTCGGTGGATTTTCGTTAACATTTGGTTCCATGTTCTTGAAAACACTACGTGTCTATCGAATTTTTACATCTCACGATCGTCCATTGCTTCAGTCAAAAGTTCGTTCGAATCCGCAAGCAACTCATTTTCCCCAATAACCTTTATCTTTCAGCTTTTGCAAGATCACCATCTCCTACTCATTTGTTTATACATTTATAGCGTCGATCTATTGATCGTCCTCATCTGGCAACTATTCGACCCACATTCCGTTGAATTCACCTATGGACAAGTTAACTTCTTTCTCTTTCAAGATATTTCATTCATCACGATAATTTTTTATGTAGATGAGACGCCCAAATGTGGATACAGTCGTTTGGGATCAGATTTATTATTGTACGTCGACATATCGTCCAAAAATCCTTCCATTCATCTATCTTTACAAGTCATCTTTTCTGGTCGTTGGAGGTTATCTTGCCGCAAAAACACGGCAAGTTCATATATCAGCTTTGAACGATTCAAAATTCATCGTCTGGAGTATCTATACCGTTGTGTTAACAAGCGTTTTTACCGTCACTATTATGGTTTCCATACAAAATATCCGCACTTATGTTGTGCTATGTTTTGTGGTTATCATTATGAAAAGTTTTATCATCTGTCTTGTTTTCGTCCCTAAAGTAGAGAAAGAACACTTTTTACGCCGATGTCTAGTTTAGTTCTCGTGCATTTTAGGTGTTAACTCTCCGAAGTCGAAATCGAGATGAGATCTTCTCCAAAGATCTGTGTATGGGTGATTCACGTACAAGGCGTTTGGTTGTAGAAATCAGTTGGTTCGAAGAATACTGTTATGCCCAATTGCAAAATCGAGAATTGAAAACAGAACTGATGCGAGTAGGTACTCCATACATTCCGTTTTCGTTGCATTCTCTTGTTTTTCTGTGATAGCTAAATCAAACAATAAGTAATCTTCAACACACACTGGACAGTTCAACTTCACATGTCACCATGGCACTTCTTCCGTTTGCTGTTCGTCTAGCAGCAACATTCTTACAAACAGCTGATATACAGTACGTAACTTGCAAGATGTCATATCAATCGAAATGATTGTAATCTTTTCTAGTGCATCTGTCTCTCGTACCAACAGCAGATCGAACACAGATACCGTACCTCCAGTCAAAGAGCCATCTGTTGTTCCGCCCAGCACCAGCGATGAAGAGAAAGAAAATAGCATTATAGATCCGACAACATCGTACAACGTTCTCGACGAATTAGGACAAAACTTATCATCATCAGAATCTGAACTTGATCTGTCAGTCGCATTACTATCACAACAAACTGCAAGTTCATTATCATTGACCGGCGTAGATACTCATCAAGACGTGTCAACCGATGAAAACGATACTTTATCGTTGACACCAACATGTAGCATAAGTGATAATGAATCGGTGCTGTATTCCCGTCTATCCAAAGAATTGAATATGAATCACGCTGTGTTGGATAGTGATCTAGACAAGCTGGGTCGCTGAAATGTTTTCGATTGTCTTGGAATAAAAGTTCTAATGAACACCCTACTGAAAATCTGTCATCCGCGAAGTCTTTTTGCTTAATACAAAGAGGATAATGCAAACTGTCGATCTATATTAAATTATTTTTGATAGATGCTGATGTTTCTTTGTACCGTTAGTACAAAAAACCGTTTATGTATCGTCGAAGACCATCAAATGTTCATTCGTTGATGTTGTGGATGATCTTAAAAATTGGTCGTCTGTATCTGTTGATGATAGCTCCTGAGTCTTCTTTAGATGCCGTTTGAAATCGTGTGTTAATCGGAGTCGTACTGGCAAATTCTTCAATTCATTATCTTGAATATGATCCAGGTCGATGTCATCATGGTCAGGATTAGCTCGAAATGCTTCAATTTGTTTGACATGGTCGTCATTTAAGACATATCTAGCAAGAAATAAAGTAGAATTCTTTCGAAATACAGATACATTTCCGTTCTTTGATATTTCATCAGTAGTTCGACGTTCCCATTGAATATGTGGATCTAGGAAATGAACAACATCTTCGAAGTTTCTATACATGGCAAATTGTATAGGCGTTTGATTCAAGTAGTTGTCTTTCGCTCTAACATTAGCATTGTATTCTGTTAGTAGTTTAACAATATTCAAATGTCCATTGTTGCAGGCATAATGTAGGGGTGTCCATTGTTCGACATCAACGTCTTCGGCGAGAGTTACGTCTTGTTCTAATAAGTATTTCACAACATTGAAATGACCCGATCGACAAGCGTAATGAATGGATGAACCAAAGAGATTAAATGCTCGATTTGATGCATCTTTATGACGATAATTGTGAAGCAAGGATCTATCTTTGGAGACTAGTTCTTTAACGATTGATAAACGACCACAATCAGCTGCATGAAGTAAGTCCATGTTCGAAGTTGTATTGCGAAATAACAATGATGTTATTAAATGACTATGAGTACGATAATAAAATAACGATTGGTTGAAGTTTTGCTGCACCATTTGCTTGTGAATCATAGCTAAAATATAAAAATATGAAATTTAAGAAAATTCCAAGTCAGTAGACCGTTTATTAGGGCATGTTATGCAGGCAAAAGAAGTCGATTTTCAAGATCTATTCGCGCAACGCGTCTCCAACAATAGAATTTTATAAATGATTGAGATAGTTCAATGAGGCCGCAGCATATTTCGCTTAGAAAGGTCTTTTAAAACTAGTTTATCCCCTTGCATGTTCGAAATACCCAACATAACCATCAAGGCTATGTGATAAATGAAAACGATTCACTCGATCGAATATTTGTACAAAAACAATATTATATACTGTATAGATTGCAGTCGAATCTGACTTGACTAGCAAGGCATATGTCATCTTGTACGATAGCGACACCATGCGACAGAATCGTATTGATTTCAGCGTTACTGACTCACACCTTCTATCACATGGCCAATCTGTCTCTATTTTTTTCTTCATACACAACTCAAACTCATTACTAAATCTGAATACGTTCATAAAATGTTTGTGTCTTCGAATTATTTTATAACGAAATGTATTTTAATCAAGTCTGCTTCCATTTGTTGTCATCAAAGTACGAATGCATCTCTTGCGTCAATATTATATCCTGAACCAAAACCAATCGATAAGAATGATACGCAATCATCGACTACAATGCCATCCTCATCATCGCCATCACCTTCACAAACAAAACCAACAACAAAACAACAAGCACAAGCCGTTGTCAGCTCAGCGGCTGATGCTGCTGTCAATGCTCTCGGAATGGGCTGGAGTGCACTTAATGCTGTCAGCAATCGGATTACAGGGTTAACTACGAGCACATCAACAAATATACCGATTAAGAATGAGCAGTTAGAATCGATTGTACGTATAGTTACACCTGAAACACTTGAACATCGAACAAAGTCTTTGATCCGATCGATTGAATCAGCATCATCAACATTATCGTTAGCCATACGAATCGAAGCACTTTCCAATCATCTTCTTCAACACCCTGACGCAAATTACTTTACAAAAAAGGTTTTGGAGCAAATCAAGCACAATAATGTATGACATTCGTGTCTTTTAGGAACGGTTAATTCCCTATTTACTGTTTCTTCGCCGACAAGAACGTCACAAACCTGTGATTGATAAAAAATTTATCAATATGATCAATGAATGTTTGACATTAGCGAACTATGTGGAAAGACCAAAAGGCCAAGGTATTCGACTATTATGCATCGATGGTGGTGGTATGAGGTGCGATGTGAGTCTGATAGACATATATACCTATATTGATCGTGTTCTATCCTTCTAGAGGTTTGATTTCCATCAATGCACTTCGTCGTATTGAAAATCTTCTTGGAGAGCCTATCTATAGTATGTTTGATTATATGTGTGGCGTATCAACCGGTGCTGTCATTACGGCTATGCTTGGTAAATCGTTAGAGATTCATAGGTGGAATGTTTAGACGTGTTTTTTTTTCTTCGGCTTTCAGGTGCATTCAAAGTGAATTTAGATCAATGTGAAGATCTGTATAAACATTTTAGCTCAACAGTTTTTCATCGAAACAAAGCGTTGGGTATCAGTTCATTAATCACTAGTCAATCATACTACGATACGAAAAGTTTTGAGAATTATTTGAGGTAAGCTACTCCCAGAATAAAACTGATAATAGAGAAATACAAATAAATTCTATCAAGATCACGAATGGGTGAACGTTTAATGATAAAGACTTCTCAAGATGCTGACTCGCCTAAAGTAAATATACAGAGTTTCTCTTGATTCGATACTCACCCTCAAGATGCTTTTCATCTTATTTAGTTCAGTTTGATTTCTGCATTGACAATTCCCGTTGGTTATAAACTATTTTTATTTCGTAATTATTCGATTCTATCATCACCTCATACGCACTATGACGGCACATCAAAATATAAAGTTTGGGAAGGTGTACGCGCGTCAACAAGTGCACCAGGTTACTTCGAAGAGTTTCTCTTAGATGGAAATGTATTTCAAGTGAGAAAAACATCTTTATTCGGATGAGTAAGATAATTCTTTCTGCTTGATTAAAGGATGGTGGATTAATCGCAAACAATCCAACAAGTATCGCTCTGCACGAATGTCGATTATTATGGCCAGATGAAGACTTTCAATGTGTCGTATCATTGGGCAATGGTCGACCTGCACCCGACGTCTTATTTCAATCGAAATCAATGACTTGTAAATAAGTATTTTGTTTATTTAAAGAAAAGTTCATTCGATAAAAGAATGAAGATGAAGTGTTTGCATAAAAGACTTTCCAGTCAGTCTAGAAACTCGAAGCATTGTTTATAGATCCTTGGAATTGAAGTCTGATGATTGTGATGTATTCTTTCTGCTTTAGTAAAACAGAAACTATCATCATTGGTCGATAGTGTTACAAACACAGAAACAATCCATGTCTGTTTACACGATCTTCTGCAACCAAATATTTATTTTCGGATTAATCCGTTTATGAGTGCGGATTTCGTCTTGGACGAACATCGACCAGAACGCATTGAACAAATGTTGCGTGATACTCAAACGTATATACGTCAAAATGAGTTTAAGTTTGTCAAACTTGCTCAACAGTTAACTCGACTACGCTCACCAATTCGACGTTTTATCGATAAAATAAAGAAAATGCTTCTCATTTATACATAGACTCTTCCTATTTGTTGTTTGTTTGTTTTCTTGTACATTATACACTTGTATTTAGTCAATAGAATACGGTGAAGAACAATGAATGAGTCATTCAAGAAAGTATTCCTTATTTTGATGTCTTTTTTCAGATGATTGAATTTTAGGAAGTAGATTAGAAATGTTCCTGCTAGTATTTGGTGTATGTGTTTGTACAATTTTTTACATTTGTTGGAAATTCGTTTCATCAACACCGCAATTCAACCAACAAAAGGTATGGAATCGTTTTCCCAATCATATTTCAAAGAATTGAATGTTCGTTTTTAGAAAACAACCGATTTTATCGAATACTCAGACAATTCAATAGTACCTCTTAACACTATTGATGAATCACAAGTGGTATTTTACGATGCAATAAATTCTTTACCATATCTGTTCTTTTCCTTTTACTTTGTATAGTTATCAACCACAAGTATCTGTGATACAAATGCTCATTTTATTCGTAGTACATTAGAATGTCTTCCAGATGAAATTCTTCTTGATGTAATTAGCTATTTGAAACCCTATGACATATATCATAGTCTTCATAAGTAAGTTGAGTATATTCTTCGAAGTTTCACTCAAACGATAAAACTATGTTTTCTATTAGTTTAAATAATCGTTTGAATTCGATTATCAATGATTTTCAATTGAATTTTCATCTGGACATCTCCCACATTGCCAAACGTGAATACGATTATTGTCTTCTATCGATCTTATCCTTACCATCCGTGCTTTGCCGACTTCATTCTTTACACATATCGAACGATGAAACCTACGGTGCTATTGCACTCTTTATACGTGAATATCCTTCGTTAACAATTCCATCGCTTCGTTCACTTTCGCTTCTCGATGCTACCACATCTCAAATCAAATCTCTTCTTGTTAGATTATCACCTCAACTAGAAACTCTTTCAATCGTGACCAATCGAACAATTGACATGAATGACAAACGCTTTATTTGTCAATATCTCCTCAAACATTCAACACTTCGCTCATATCGCTTATCGCTCTGCGATGGTGTCGATTGTGATGAAACGATTCTAAGCCATTCGTCCAGAAATCGATTAGAAACGATTTCCATTGATTTATCCTATTTTCAAAATATCCTTTCGCTTCTTTCTTTTATTCCAAATGTTAAACGATTAACAATCAATATCAATCAGCAGAAGTATTACAATCAAGATTATAATGCCGCTGCATTTGATATGATTCGTTTGTATGTACCAGTTCAGTTGAGTTATTTCAATTTAAATTTGCGTTTTTCAAATGTGGAATTCGAACATATCGAACAATTACTGAATTGTTTAGTCAATTTGAAACATCTGTGTTGTTCATCATTTCGTGCTGAACTTGTACGTCATTTTTTGAGAGAAAATCGAAATCAAAGTTGAAATTTGTTTTTGTTGTTGAACAGGTCGATGGCTATCGATGGGAACGTGTATTGAAACGTTTACCATTACTCCGACGTTTTGAATGTGTAATGACAACGTATATTTACCATTCACTTGATTTAAATCTAATCTCTCAATCCTTTCAAACCTCGTTCTGGAAGGAAAACAATTGGTCAGTAATTTGTGATTATTTCCAGTGTCTTTCGCGTTTAACAATTTACACAATACCATTTTATAAAAATTTGTTCATTTCAACATTGAATGGTTCCCAACCATTGAATGACACCGATGATCAAAGTGTACTATTGGAGAATGCCTACGACAAAGTCACTCATCTGAAAGTATCAGTGCAAGGTATAATTGACGTTCTCTAAAATCAAATCAGTGAATTCATTTCGTTTCAGGTTTGTATTCGGAGACTACACCAATTCGTAAATTTCGTTATGTTACATCGTTATCCATCTGTGATGGTGAATCATATAGTGATCATTCGAATAGTTCTCTTGTTTCGTATTTATCCTCTACTATTGACTTGACAAAGATTCGCCATTTAAAACTTTACTCCTTACTCTCTGGTCATACATTGTTTGCACTTCTTTGTAAAGCACCAAATATTCATTGTTTAAGTTCGTCGTATCATAATCTTCTGCAAATGATAAACGATTTCGGCGATGTCTGGTTATGTTGGTTATTGAATATGATGATCAAGAAACTGACTTTATCCTATGGACGTTTGACATTGTCGATCGTTGATCAATTTGTCGAATTGTTTTCGAACGTTGAACATTTATCTCTATGTATGAATATGGATGATGTCGATTTTCAAGAAATTCTCCTTAAACTTATACAAAATTTCAAACATCTATCTTCAATACGCATACGCCTAGCAGGCAAACTAACGGAACACTTTCAAGTTCAAACATTAACATGGCTATCAACAAATGCGGAACTACATTCGGAATTTAATGATAATTTTCTCGACATCTGGATGACATGAACAAAGAACAGATCAATATTGCGTTTTTTGTATTTATGAATTTTTTGTTTTTCATTGAAATTTTTATTAACAAAGCATATTTGAACGGAAGTTTTAATATAGTTAAGAAATAAACATGATGTTCTAGGTTGTTTAATTCAGTGTACTAAAACACGGTATATCAAGATAGAGTTCGTTTGGTTACTTACAAATTATTTTTCAAATTTTGATAGTGTTTGACAAAAACTGGTGAATCTTTTAAAGAAGTGCAAACATTCCATAATCTGGATGCGCCCATCAGAATGCCATCAAAGCTTCATTGATTGATAGTCGAAGTGAGAAAACATGGATGGCCACTAAATCCATATGTTGATGGTGTATCCATGAATAATTTATCACCATTAGTCAATCGTACTTTGCCTGTGCAATTCGTAAATATTTATGCATGAAGAAGATTTGCTATTGACTATTTCAACACTTAGTAAAAGGTGTGGAAGAAGAAAAAAAAGCGACTCAAGTATAGTATCAAATGTTAATGGTGCACTCTTAACAGAGCCAATTACATTTATAGATTTATCTGACGTTGATTGAGTACTGATTTGCACTCTTCTAAATAGTTATAGATGCTTGTTTCGATGTTTGAACACTTGACTAATCCTAAAATTATATACATATTCATATTGTATTTAATAAATTTTCTTCGAACGAATGAAATTGATCGATTAACTTACTAATATCATGCTACCAGATATTTAATAAGACAAGATTCGATGTGATCAACTCACAAGATGGTTTCAAGATACTATTTTCGTGACTTAATATAACTATTTGAAAAAAACGAATGAAAAAGAAATGAATAAACCATTACCATAGAATAATAGACCAAAAAACATTTCACATAAATGCTCGGAAATAAATGAATAATATCTCACACTAATGATTAAACTTATTGAAACAATGGTTGAAAAAACATCGGCCATAATTGCTATCAGACTTATGTCTAATTGAAGTACAGCAATATGAAATGCTGTTAGGATAATAATGTATGGTGTAGTATTGACAAACGATTTTTGAATAATTGTTCCCGTTCCAACTACTTCTACAACAAAATCCATCAAAAGAGATTTTGGTTTATATTTATGAATAACTTGCAAAATACGACGTGACATAGGTTAAATGGTTTTTACTTCAGTACATGAACTTAAAATCTTGTAGGTTTCATCATATTCTGCAAAATATCGATATTTTGCCGTTAATGCTGATGGTTGATCGAAATCAACACTGGCTTCATTTTCTTGAAATAATAACAGTAGAGAAAAGAATACATTTACGGTAATAAATATTCGCTAAAAGATCAAATCGCATGATTACGGGAAAATACGATAGCTTTTCCTACGATAAAATATGACATTTTTGAGAGTGAGAATATTCTTCATTTGTCGATATCTAACAATGACACGATGGAATAAAACGATATTGTGAAAAACAATGGACCTCAGAGCAACCGGTACATTGATAAAGGTGACTTAGAAAAGCAACACATTTATGCTGATTAATAGAACATAATGAATTTGTTTGATTGATACGCATTCCAAACATCTTTTGTATTTTTAGTATATATATGATACACTGTGTCTGATTCGATTCCATTTTCCGAAGGAAGAGGTTATATAACGATCAAAAATTAGTTTCAAATACCAAAACGTTTACCTGTCTGTTCTATCCAATTAGAAGTCAATATATCTTAAATGAAAGGAAATTCAATCAAGAGTCATCAGAAAATAACTGCCTTGAAGGTAGTTTATCATTTCATAGTTCTAACTTCAATGATGATATTCTCTCGTGTTTTAATGAAATACATCATTCTCCGTTTCACTTCAAGAAGAAAGTGTCTATTACACATTTTATGATTGCTTTTGTGAGTTACATTATCAATGCCTATTTGTTATAAACTGGAGTTTGTCTGGTGCTTTATTCAAACAAATCAAAACAAGAATAAATTCCAGTAACCCATTTGTTTGCATATTATCAAAACAAACTAATAGAGTTCATATAAAAAAAACAGATTTGTCTTCACATATAAAATACACCTGATAGAAACCCATACTCAATCAGTTCTGATTTTGTCATTTTGTATTTGCTTGCTTTCCATTTTTCTCGCAGTTTTCGAAGAAGATTGGGAAAGCGGTGACTCGATGTTAAACCATTCTCTCGTAGATCCCACGCATTGATAGTAAACTTTGGTATTGACCATTGTTTCAATTCGTTAATGACTAGAATATGTCCCTGATATTTCAGCAGCTCAATAACAAATTCATGCAGAGTGTCTTGCTGTGTCAAATGGCTATTAATAAGAAAATCTTTGTAAGAATAGAGCATATCAGGATTATTTGATGGTTGAATTACGTAACGGTAATGTAGAAGAAATTGACCTAGATTTTTATCATGGGAAGAACATTTAATACGTTGACAGAAAGTATCGAACTAGAAGGACATCAATTATAGTCAGATATTCCTGGTGTACGAATAGGAAGTTTACTTCTCCTTGGTCTTCGAAAAGTGTCATAAGTAATGTGATTGGTTGCGGTTGATAATTCATACATCGCAGCCAGCGATTCTCCAATTCAAACATTCCTTCAGACGATTCTGGTAAACCTTTTTTTGCGAGAAGAAAAAAAAACTAAAACATTAAAAAGTTGACATTCTAAAACACCTTTGCGCACCCATGAACGGGGCAAGTTGTTGTTGAAGTATAGTTCGTATAAGATGACCAGCGAAACGATTGGTAAGGATCATTTTCAATTCCAACCAGATCTTTTCTCCAGGCACATCTAAAACAATTGACAATGTACCGAATCTCATTGTAATTTCGTCATACCTTGTAAAAGTATTGCACTTCGACGAATAGCGTCTAATACGGTTTCGTCATGCGCATATGGATCAGCTGATAACTGGCCGAAAAATCTTCAACAGAAATTAGATCTAGTTTGCCTTTTTTTCATTGAAAAATTAATACCGGAAATATCTTAGAATTCGAATCGGATTCTCCTGTAATCGTGCTAGAATGTTTCCATTAAAACAAATTCGATTTAGTTTTAAATCATCAATTCCATTTGTATAATCATAAATCATTCCGTGTTCATCCATTGAAAGACTGTTGATTGTTAAATCTCGTTGTTGTGCATCAACACTCCAATTATCCGTGAATTGAACTTGAACATCTCTACCATGACGAATAATACATTGTTTCAAAGTTGTTACTTGAAATGTTCTCTTCACATATATACATAGAAAAAGAAATCAAAACGACTAACGACAAAATATGTTTGATTTACTCGTATGGTAGTACCAACGATCATTGTCAACGTTCCGAAATGTTCAGCACGCGTATAGACAAGTTCGATATTCGAATCACCTTGTATGATTTTCATCATATCACTGGTCGTTGCTGTTGTCGCTAAATCAATGTCATGTGGTGTAACACCTAATAGAATATCTCGAACGGCTCCACCTACAAGCCGAATTGAATGATCATATTCATGAAATAAAGAAAACAGATAGAGTAACTGAGGTGAAAATAAACACGTATATTCAGATGGATTCAGTTGATAACAACGAACAGATGACGGAGATGTCATTGTCTGAAATTGGAAACTCGGATTGTACCTCGCACTTTTAACATTCAGTCGGCGTTGACTTTTTTTTTGAAAGAAATGGAAACGAAACATTACAAAAAAATAAGAATGGAAATTATCTTCACGAAAGAAATGTCTTCATCATTTATTATTTATCTTTTTGTTTTTTTCTGTTTGGAACCAGTTGTATCCGCATTTTCTAATGCTTCTAAAACATGTGGTAGAACTTCGTCGATTAATTGTTCTTCTGTAGCTTGAAAATGTGACTGTTTCCAGCTGTCTCTCAACGCATTCAAGATCAATCTGAAATTCGGTCCTTGCTTGATACCTTTGGAGGTAAGTGTAGTACCAGTGACAGGAAAACGTGGCATATTCCATTCGGAAAACTGTTGGGCTTCCGCTAAATGATGTTGATATTTTAATAACTCAACGATTCGTTCTTTCACCATTGGATCATTCATAATCAAGTCGATCATTAAGTCTTTGTATGGTTTCAGTCGATCATTTGAAGACGGATCGAGAAGAGAGATGGAATCACGATAAGTAACAAGCAATTGAGACAAACGGCGACAGTCATTGGAATATTTCATACGTTGATCGAATTCGCCCAGCTGAAGAAAGACACAATAGAGCGATATACTCAAAAAATATGTCTATTACTTCGTTGATATCACAAAAAAGTTTGGTTAAAATAGTCATTTCATGTGGCGTAGCTTGATAACACTGCCGCCAATGGTCTTCCAACTGAATGAGGTCGACATTTGATGGAATACCTTTTCATCAATCAGAAAACCATACATCGATATGATCTATCATTCAAAGTAACTTACCTAGGTACTGACCGATACCTTGTTCAAGCATTACTTTCAGAACAGGACCAGCGTTTCGACCGGTAGCGATACGTCTCAACTCAATCCACAATCGTTCACCAGCGATATCTAAATATGGCTTTTTAACCTAGTGATGATTTCAGTATTCTTCTACCTTTCAATCCATGACCATTGTCTCGAATCGCTTTCAATGTTTGTTCGTCGTGCGCCGCATTATCCGGTGCAAAACGACCAAAAAATCGAAAATAGCGAAGAATACGCAAGTAATCTTCTCGAATACGCTGTTCGGCATCACCGACGAAACGTACGCATCGGTTGTGAAGATCTTCGATGCCATTGAAATAATCATAAATTGTTCCATTCAAATCTGAGTAGAAAACATCTGTGAAAAAAGTCCATTTTTCATATTCACAACTGACCGAGAAACAATGCATTCATAGTAAGATCGCGGCGATTAGCGTCCAATTGCCAGTCTTGTGTATATTCTACTTCAGCATGTCTTCCATCAGTGGTAACATCGATTCGTAGAGTGGTAATCTCAAAGTTTTCTGTATCATCCACACGCGCAGTTATTGTTCCATGTTTTTCACCATTTGAATTGATCATTCTTATTTGCGCTTTGGTGAACATGTCTTTCATTTGATCCGGTGTTGCTGTTGTTGCGAAATCGACATCATGAGGGAGAATACCCATTAAAATATCTCGTACGGCTCCGCCGGCCACTCGAATTTCATATTGACTAGCATGAAATAATTCCGCTAATTTCAATAGATGTGGCGTCAACAGCGCTCGATATTCCGGTGTATCGATTTTTTGTGTGATTAACATACTTTATAATATGAAAAAAAAATCAATGAATGATACCGACTAGATTGATGACATGCTTTATAACATCATCTAAAAAACACGTCAGAAACACGAGAAATGATGCAATTACACAAAATAAAGAAGGAAAAAACGGCGTCACAATTATTATTTCTTGCCACTTTTCTCCGCAGCAGCGGTAGCGGTAGCGCCACGCAAGAGTTTCGCTTGTTGGGCTTCTTCAGCTTCTTTCGCTTGTTTTTCATGAAGAGCACGAAGTTCATCCATATACTTTCGATGGTCTTCCACATTGAGATTACTCACAACTTCTATGCCAAGCTTGGTAGCATGTTGAATCAGCGTACGACACATCTCTTTCATAGTTAAACCTTGATAAGGTTCGTCTAAATGTTAGAAATAATATGTGAATGTACGTGCTGTCGGAGTCCAATGTTTACCTTGGATTTTCACTTTGGCAATTTCATAGATATGTTTCACAGTTATCTGACCACCAGGTTCTTTGCCTACAAATGGAGACGTTCGTAGTGGAAAAAGTGAAGATAGAAAGAATTTACCTATATTTAGTGCAGGTTTTTTTAAACCAGCTGCTTGAAGAAGGAGATGCTCGATTGTTGGTGTATAGAAAACTAATTCATACGTTCGATCCGGCTGAATAAAGAAGAGCTTTCTATGAAAGGAAGAGAATCAAAATAAAGAACAAACTTTGACATAAACGTGGCATGGCAAAGGTATGCCTTCTATATAGTCTTTTGTTCTTTCATTGAAATCTTTACAAAATTGGGCGATATTCAATGAGTGTTGACCAAGAATCGGACCAAGTGGTGGTGCAGGACTTGCTTGACCAGCTGGAATATCCATTTGAAAATAAGGTTGAAGAACAACTTTGGACGCGACTGCCTTCAATTTCGAAGCCATCTTACCGACTAGAAAAAACAACAACAATCAATTGAAAGGGGGATCGTTCAATTTCAAACATCTTACCTTGCTTTGCAGCTGCCATGATTATTCTCTCAAATGTTTATCTCAATAATCTAAAAACAATCAAACAAGAAACATATTATTATTCATCCGTTGTTTTCAATGAAAGATTTTCAACATGAAGATTTTCTTCGTACGCTTCGTCCCCCTCTTCTTCTTCAGATGATTCCGATGGTGGCATATCACGGTTAGGCTGATAACTGTCTCCAAAACTTTCTTCTCCTGTCCGAAAACGTCTATCACATTCGATGACAGCCTGTGCAGAATCACATTTCTCATAAGTTTCAAGCAATGATGCGTTCAATGTATAAAACGCGTGTCCCCATTTAAATTTGTCCAATAAAATTGTTCCATAGTCTCGTAAACCAACAATTGCCAAAGCAGCAGCAAAAGCTTCGACGCAAGATAATTGACAGGGTTTTCCTGAAGAGAAAAATATGTTTCCTCCATGAACAAAAACGGCAAACATTATACATACCGTAATTAACATTGTTCGTTGCGACTAAGTATGGAAGTAATCTTAAATGTTTACCCTTCATTCGAGAAAATGGAGTTTCATCTAGTTTCGCCCATGAACAATCGACAACGGCGATGCCACTTTCCAAAACGATTTGCTTATCTTCAGGCGAAACACATTTCTGACCCATTGGAGATAGAATAATGCCACCGAAATGATTCCCTAACTTCAATGGTTTCACAAATCCATGTCGAACAAGTTTACGACCAGTACATCGTTTAGGATCACATTGATTGACATCCCACATGGCTAGAGGTATTCGAATTTGCTCAATCGAGTCATCTTCGTCGTTTTCTTCATCAGCCGAATGAAAGTCATCTTCATCATCGTTTGTAGCTTTGGGTGCTCGATCGATATATTCACGATCTTTGTGATGATTCTTCTTCGCTGTTCTATGAGACATCTAGAAAGTCAAAATACTACATATAACATCGTAATTGAAGAAAATCATCCAAAGAATTGAAATCAAAAATTTAAGAATCTTTCTTTTCTTTAAATATCTTCGAATTGAACCTTGTTTGAAGAATCGATACTGTTTTTCTCCGTCGATGCCATCACATTCTTCACAATGTCTTCACTAAGCAGCATACTACTATTCCATGTGCACTACATAAAAGAATGACATGACTGTGAAATGAGTCTATACCTATTCACTTACTGCAAATTTGAAATTTTCTTCAATAGTATGATCACGTGCGTAATTCAAGTTTATTTTCGATCCTTGCACAGCTACCGGACTTTTGCTTGCAATTTTACTAGCCAAACAAATAGCTGCATCGATGACTGCTTCACGCGTATCAAACACTTGACTGACAAACGACAAAATTCATACATTTCACTCGAGGATAGTTCGTACCTGATCAATCCAATTTGTTGAGCTTCATCGATTTTGAATGCGCGTGCAGTATAAACAAGCTCTCGAAAAAGACTGTGATTAGTGATAACTTTAGGTAATATTTGCAATGTGCTAATGTCGGCGGCTATGCCCATATCTACTTCCTACAAGTATAAATGCAAGAATTGATGCTTTGTTCTGAAAAAGTTCTCAGTTTACTTTGATGGAAAATATTGTTTCACGTGAAGAATAACGAATATCACAGCTGGATAGGAGATCGATGGCAGCACCTAGACAATGCCCATATACGGCAGCGATGATTGGTTTTTCACACTAATAAATTTGATCAGAATTCAACGAAATTCAGTGTTACGGTATCTACTTTATCAATTGCTCGGAACGATGCTTGAGTTTCGTGTATGAATCGTCGAAGATGTAAAGCTTTTCGAGCGATATCATCAATTTGAGCAACATCACCAGTAGCAAATGTCGATAAATATTTCAAATCAATTCCTTCGAATATATATAAAAAAGAATAATCAGTCTAATATGCGCATCTCGCAAAACAAACCAGTAGTGAATGTTCTTCCAGCACCAGTTAAGACTATTGCACGACATGTTCGTTCTGTGTTCAAATATTCGAAGCAAGTTTTTAGGTCACTCAAAAAAGCGAGTTGTCACTACAATAAATCAGTCAATGGAAGAAATCATCTACTCGAATAACTGTTTATTTATGGCATTTAGTTTTGTTGGTCGATTTAATTCCACCAGAACTACGCGTGGTTGAGGATAAGTCAATTTCAATGTTTGATAACTAGGTAATGAAGATGTAAAACGTTGGATCGATTGAATTAATGTACGATCTACAGTACAACATATAGATTGTAATAAGAAATCTGGAAAATCTTTACTTAGATTTGTTCGTAACATTGCAAGAACTGTTCAGGACTAAAAGATTTTGTTAAAAACCATCCCGTTGATTATTAGAATAAAATCTGTACCTATGTTCTGCTACTATTGCTTACTACAACATCCAGTCTCTCCTGAAAGTTATTCAACTAAACAGAGGGCGCTCGATATCGATGGTATTCTTTTAATTATAGAATTATAGGCATATTAACGAATTAACACTATCCAAACAAGCAGAAAATCTTCTACACATGAGCAAATTCTTCATATGAGACCTATCATTTCTGTCCTAGTAAATAAAGCATGAACTGTAATTTATATTTTCGATTACATCATTAATGAAATTTAGACAATGAACGCTGGTAGGATGAGTTTTCGTCTCCAGTACTTTTTGTTTTGATACGTACGCAGGAATGTTCTCCAATTCGATTACTACGGAAATATTCATGTCTTTATGAACAAAACTTAATAAAGAGTGAAGAATTATTGGTGATGACAACAAATTCTTTACTTAATTATATCGCAATAATATCTCATTGTATAGCACATAATTTCTTCTAACCTTGAATTGTAGGATGTTGCACTTTCAACGCCAGAACATCGTGAAAACACATCCGTTCTCTTCCTAACATGTTTATAGCCACAATTTCACATGAGAAAATCTTATTAATATAATGGAAAATACGAGGTACATCAAGCATTTTCGATAGATGATCAAATATTCATCAAAAGCACAATTCGTGTGAGTAAAGTCCGAACATGCAGGTTTGCAATTAGTTGAATATTACTTGCGATTAGATAGACAAAAGAAAAAACATGCCGATGTATTTGATTTACACTATCATTGTTATCAATAACAATTAAGACAATAAATACAAAGAACAAGGTTTGAGATCAAGAACGATGACTTCGATCTTCTAGACACTTGTCATTCAAGACTTCTATTGTTAAATAACATATTCATTATTAATCTTGAATCAGTTCGATAGTATATATCAGTTTAACGACGTAAAATAATCATTCTTTGCATATCTATCAAGGTTTGAAGATTGTATGTTGATTATCGTAAGACAAGGCCGTGCTTCTATCATTGAGTTCTACTACTACTACTGTGCATAAATATAGAAATATATTAGAGAACAGCAAGATACCTTCTGGGAATGACTTCGCTTCATAGATAGCTGGTAAGATACTCCTCTGGCCACCAGAATATAACGTTCAAAGTAGGAGAACATTTTTGGTAAAGACTATTAAATAGTATAGCCGAAGCAAACGTATTGATGAGAAAAAAAAACGAAGATCAACCTTTTCTCTCCTCAGGTAACAGACGTCAATAAATGAAAATAGATGTGTTCGAACATATCGTACAGTTAAGGTTGTATATTCTTGTTTGACAACTATTGAGAAGAAACAATATTTTCGCTCATTATTGATCATCACAACATGATGTCAGTGATTTCATTGTTCTGATCTAAGATCAAAACAATCCTTAGTAAACATATAATTTGTATTATTGAAGTTGATGACGAGATGAAACTTGGCTAAACAAATGACATAACGGAATATTTTAATTGATAATTAACATTTATTTCGATTTCATTTGCTTTCTTTCCTTGTACATATTCAGCAACAGCTAGGGTTCGACGAACGAACATGACAGCATTGATGTTCTTTATCGAAGTAGATGAAGTTGAACATACACATGTTGCCATTACATCTGTGTCCAACAAAATATCACATTCGGTCGAGGTCGTCGATGATGAGATAATTGTGGCTCGTTATTTTGTTACAATTACTCACTCTATCTCTTTTCTTGACGATATGGCGCACT